CACCAAAAGGCAGCAGGTGTGCAGTTCAGCGCGGCTTTGCGTCCCCGTCGCCTTTAGCAGACAGCGAAAGCGCTTAAATATCACGACGGTAACAAGAGTGCGAGACCCGTCATAGTTGGTTAAACACTCCGTCTCCTGTGCGTACCGTCTCGTTACTAAAGCGCCCTACTGTTTGCTCTCACCATTTAATGGCATTGGTCTCTCAAGGGACAAATCTACATAACTTTACATTTTTTGATAGTTCATTATTGAAGGAAAAAATAATATCTATGAATCATAAATGAGAGACTAATAGTGAGACCAACCAGTGGCATGAATGTCCTGTCATACTTAAGTCCAACTTAAAGTCGATCTTAGTCTTTGTGAAACACCCCTTGTAGTGGTTGGTTGTAAACACTTATCAGCTTATTTCTAGTAATACATTCTTGTCCTGTATGCATTATACTATGAAGACATGTATGAAACCAACACAGTAACAACTACAGGAACACTAAACAGCTTATTATTGTCAGCATCAAGGTCTTGGGAATAGACAAGTATTATGATACCCAAATGAAGTAGCTTATGAAAAGGAAAATCGATAGTACATTGCTCTGCAAAGAAGTAGAACAAATAGAGAAGCAGAACAATTAGAGAAGTAGATTGGTGAAAGTTTGATCGAAATTGTGCAAACAATAAGAAAGTCATACATTTTGGACAGCTGTAATCACTATATATATATATATATATATATAATGGAATTTCAGAGAAATTTCAGAGAATGGGATTTGTGATGAAGTGGTTAAGTCGGAAGAGAGAGTAGAAAAAAGTCATAGAAGATAGACAGACAAGTGACAGAAAAAAGAGAGAGGGCAGAAACATATCAAGAGGGAGAGTGTGATGGAGAGGTGTGATCTGTGTGTAAAATGGGGCAGAGGAACAGAGGGAGAAAGAAGATGATGAAGTTTTATTTGGAAAAGGGTATTACGTAAATTGAGGAGAAAAGCAAAAGAAAAGAAGAGAGTTAGGGAAAGGGGAGGGAGAGGAGAAGAGAGTTGGGGAAAGGGGAGGGAGAGGTGCAGAGAGTTGGGGTTCAATTTTAAGGTCATTGGAGCAGGTAATAAAATAATAGACAGTGAGAATCACAAGAGAACAAGAAGCAGAAAGAACATGGATGAGCAAGAGAAAGAGAAATTAAACTTTATAGAATGAAAGGAGAATACATGAGGGGGTAGCAAGATGAAGGTAACACGAGAGAGATGGAGAGAGAGGGGAGAGAGAGAGAGGGAGAAAGAGAGAGAGAGAAAGAGAGATTGTGCAATAATAAATATCCAATAAAGTTTGAAACTACTTTGCAACAATTGAAATAGAACTAGAGCAGGAACAACAGAGGCTCAAAAAGGTCCATATGAAATGTAAAAGAATGTTTCTGTAGCAATACTTTAGGGTATGTGAGCATTGCTAATGCCCTGGAGAAAGTGCATTCTGATACATAGAACATCATGAGAGCAGTATAAGAATTATTATTATAAATAATTGCCTGAACATTTAAATTAAAAAGAATGATATTGAAAAATCATTATCCATTAATAAAGACAAAGAGGTGATAAGTACCTTGGGTGCCTTTTCATGGTAGCTCGGCTAGAGCTGGGTAATATTAAGATTGCAGGGCCGTCTGGGAAAACGGTGCTAATACTGAGGAAGCTACCCCGGATAAACAAGATATACCATTATTGTTTTTTTATAATAATTAATATCTTATTATTATCATTATTATTCTTACTTTTTCTATTATTCTTATTCTTATTTTAACTGTTATTATTATTTATCTTATTATCATTATTATCATAGCACCAACCCCATGCTTTTCTATTCTGTTTTGTTTGACATTCAAAGTCTATTCACGTGCATCAAAACTATAAAATGATTCAGGGGTCATACAAAGTTAATTTTCTCTGAAAATATGACCCATGATATAGAGCTTTAATCCTCCCCAAGAGAGGCCTTGTTTCATGTCCAAGTTTCTGGTCAATTTAACAAGATCCTAAAGAGGAAAACCATAACTTCCTTTAAAACTCCCTAAATTATAACCAGATGCATAATTATAGGTATGTGGCTGTATAAAACTCTCTATTTTGCATGTAGGTAGCCATTGGCTGACCTATTTAAACTCAGGATTTTATGTCTCAGCAGATATTTGCTATTCTTTAAGATCAACTGATTAAAGATCAACACACACATGCAAAAGAGCAATCCTGTCTTTACCACAATGACCTTATTGTCAAATTAATTATTTTTAAAATTTCATACATAATCTATGAAGAATGAGCTCACTTTCCACAAAACACTTTTGCAAAGATTAGTAGGTGCAAGTCAACAGCACTTCTTTATAAAAATTGTCATGTATACAAGGACAGGTATAGTTTGGACTTAAGTTTGTACTTTGAGTTTTAAAAGTCACATATGCCATTTGCGTTAGACTTCAAAACAATCCGAATATATGGTTAGTTTGTTTTCACAACCTTCAACAAAAAGGAAGATAAACATGGCAAATGCCTTCATCCTGGTGTTCTTCCCCAACCTAACAGGAACCATACACAATTGACAAAAGGAAGATATTCTCTTTCAATCTGTCAAGTTTAGGAGAAAGGTGTAAACAGTTTTCTGTAGAGGTTTCCTATAATCTACAAAATCAGCCTTGACATTACGTATCAATTCCCTACGTAATAGTAAACCTGGAATCATTTGTAACAAGTTAAGTATAGTTTCATAAAGTGCTTAGTTTTATGTTCAACTAGTATATTTGTACATGTAGCTGCATAATGAACTATATTGGTTTGGGGATAGTCATGTACCATAATTTAATCTACTTGATTGCCTTATATCATTAGGTGATATGATTTTTGTTAATATATTGCTTAATCATTGTTTATGTGTAATGTGTCACCGCAGTGAAACATTTTCTTGATATGTATTTTTGAAGAATAAAGTACTACTTTTAAGAAACAAAATATTGTGAAGTGTTATGATTTACAGATGTTGATGAGAAGGAAAATGTATGATTGTCTGCAGTGTAGTACTAACCCATTGCTTACTGGAACCAGGTGTTCCCTGTGTTAAGCATATATGAGAATTAGATAATGCAGTAGTCAGCAGGTTAATTTGCAATATATTGTCGCCTTTCTCGCCTTTCTATTTCACTTCTATTTTCTATCCCCTTCCTTAGTCCTTCTAGGACTTTACACATGGTGTACCGTAAACCTCTACCGCGATTAATATATTGTTTGTCTACTCAGGATCATAGTGCTTGGCAAAAAGTGTTTCAGATTGCTCTATATGCTTAAGAATACCAATTATATTATAATTCATTCTGCTGCTAGAGCAAACAAGAAAATAGTTTTATGGCTTTCAAATCTAGTTTGAAAGTTATTGGAGTGGCTCAGTTGATACACTTTAACTATATACAGTTTTATACACAAATAAAATGGATAATTGCATTGAACTCTGACACAATATATCTCCTAATAATAAATATAAATAACAACTATAACATCCCTACATACTACATTTGGAAAATGTTCCAAGGTTGTTGAAATCACTCAGGGAAACCAATTTGAGAAACAGTTGAGTTTATTACAATAAAACAATGTTAAGGGTACATATTTTACAGTAAACGCTACACAGATATCAAATGTAATATTTTGTAATTCGCTGCATTATGTTACATAATCATAATTCTAATGTATGTCATAAAATAGTATTTAACATGGGCTTTGAGACACACAAAAACTACATCTGTCAAAAAAATATATAACGTTTCTTGAAAAAGCACATCAAATAAATCATGAGCCATGTCACTTCTGATAAATGAGATCTGTAAAAAAGAAAATCATTACACGCCTTAAAAGGAGATACCTCCTGCTTTATAAAATACTTGTGGATTAGCTGATCGTTATTAAACAAATAAAATCAATGCTATACATCTGTACATTTACAAGTACTTAGAGAAGGTAACAAAATGTCTCAATGGGTAAAGATTTAATAAGAATACAAATGTGATATATGTAGAAAAAATGCATGCAGGAACAATTGTTTCATTTTCTATACAGTTTTCGAAAAAATATCATAAATACTATAATGAATTTACGTCTATACATAGCATTTACATACATTTACATGTAATCCAGTCTAAATGTTAATACATGGAGAGAAATGATAAATACATGTATCTGACTCAGCTGTTAACTGCAAGTGCAGTTGTCATGCAGCTGCAATACAAATGTAGCTCCTAGAACTTTAAACTATGAAACTTTGTATCAATGTTTTACTCAGCAGGACACCATTTTCCATTACGTTGAATCACTTTATTTGAAAAGAAACCAACAATGTTCATTTTTGCTCAATGTTTAAAAATATGGTCCAGCACCATTCTTACAGCACTAAAACGCTTGCTTTTCAGCCCTTTTTAAAGAAGTCCCTATTGAATGCATTTGAAATCACACCTGCATGTATACAGGAAGTTCTCATTCATCACAATCACATCAATTTTGAAATCCCTGAACAGCCTTCAAAGTGGTGTCAGTAGTTATTTTACTGCATTCACTCTTCATCATCATTTCTCATAAATTAAAGGATATTCTTAAACCTCCAACGATTTATAAGATAATGGGTTATACTACGAGCTGATTAAAAAAATTTACGGTTCTATGTAGTCTCTACATTATCACAATCACCAGCACAACATCAACTAAAATACATCAATTTTATCAAAAATACCATTCAACTGATGTAGATCTATGCATTTAACCTCTTATTATATCCACCATATTGTGTTAATTCATAAAATATAAAACATTTGAATTACAGTGAAATATGTGTATAATAGGAAAACATTTCATATTAAAAACAAAATGTTAAAGACAGGAAACATGACTTTTAAAAATCATGGAGGTTCTTCCACAAGCTACTATTTTAACATGGTACTGCCCGTATAGGGATCAGAAATGAAAGAGATTACTCACGTTGAACGGCAACATAGACACTGCCCTCTATAGGGCCGGCTGCACAAGTGTAGGTGCCTGTGTCTGTTTCCTGGAGGTTGTAAATGATCAGGCGTGTTTCACCTAGGGATGGATTCTCTACACGGATACGGCCAAGGTCTGAAGAAATAAGGAAAAAAATATATAATTTCATTTAGAATGTAAACTATACAGATAACTTCTTTAAAGTTTTTTTTGGACGTGCAAATGAAAGTATGTGTGCTGTTTATTACTAATCAATTGGGCTTAGAACAAGAATATTGTTCATACTTCTCAGAAAAACGAAGAAAGAAACCTATTATGAAGCTGCTCTTTTATCTTAAGTTTCAGACATGATACACACTTCTAATATGTAAAATATGATATTGTTATGAGAAGGGTAAAAAACTTCTTTTTTTTCTTCAAATTGCTGAACTCTCTAGTATTTAAGAGTTTTCAGAATGTAAATAATGAAATGTGGAGCATGGATGTAGTCGAAAAGTGTACATCTCTTGACCGTACATCCCTTAATACATACTGATAGGCACATGACAATATATGAAATGTGTTCATTGGTGATAGCTCGCAAACAGCTGGAAATACCTTGCCGACTCATAATAAGATACCATGGAATTTAAAGATAGTGTCTCACAATTTAAAACGTCCAGCCCTGCAAGGTCCCTCCAGACCGGTGGTTTTAACAAGTTGGTATCATTTACAGAGGAGAGGTAACTGATTGTACCCCCGAGACATCGATCCCCCGAAATACCTCATCATGTACCGTACTACATAATACTGTCTTACCGTATGAGATGTCAATCCTTTCAAGGTTCCTCCAGACCGGTGGTTCTAACAAGTTAGTATCATTCACAGAGTAGAGGTAACTGATTGTACCCCTTAGACATGGATCTCCTGAAATACCTTATCATGTACTACAGAATACTGTCTTACCGTATGAGATGTCAATCCTTTCAAGGTTCCTCCGGACCGGCGGTTCTACCCAGAGCAAAAGTTACAGATTGTACCCTTAGACATGGATCTCCCGAAATACCTTATCATGTACTACAGAATGTTGTCTTACCATATGAGATGTCAAACCTTTTAAGGTTCCTCTGAACCGGTGGTTCTACACGGAGCAGAGGTTACTGATTGTACCCTTAGATGTGGATCCTTGAAATTCATATAACTCATAATAATGTCCTAATGAATGCTTTCTTCAGGGGTAATAGTAAGCACTATTTTTTCTTTAATTCCTCAAAATATGGCATCTAACAACTTTCCTCCCTTTTGAGAAAGAAAGTTGGGAAAAAATAAGGAAAATAAGGAAAAATAGGGAAAGTCGGGGTAAAATCTGGAACAAAAAAAATATTGGGAGAAAAAAAAATTGGTAAAATATATATTTTTTTTAATCAGGAAACAGATTTAAATAGGGTAATTATCAGGCCGGTTTCTTACCGTATGAGATGTCCACCCCTGCAAGGTCCCTCCAGACCGGTGGTTCTACCAAGTTGGTATCATTCACAGAGCAGAGGTAACTGATTGTACCCCCTAGGCGTGGATCCGAATCCTGACTGGGGACGATGTTAATGCTGACTGGTAGTAGGACTTGGCAGTGGTCTCCAACGTAACCCGCCGGGCAAAGACACAGCCCCTCCCGACAGACTCCTCCATTGATGCACATTGGGAAGCATCCTATAGAGGGAGGAATTATCAATCATTTAGGGTGTTGGTATGTTGTTGTTGTTGTTGTTGTTGTTGTTTAATCTAGGCTATTCAGTCAGTTAATGACCATTATTGCCGAATACTAAAAAAAGCTGTTTTGAATTCAAATTTTTACGCATATACACTCACATAATATGCGTGTGTATATATATATATATATATGTATATTTCTTCTTCTTCTTAAAAAACCAACAAAGGGGGGGGGAGATAATGATATCATGTTAGATTATCATGGTAAATGTGTAGAGGTGATATAAACAAGTGAACTAATCTGAGGTGTGGACAAAAAGGTTAAGGGTTCAAATTCCTGCCATGGTACTAACAACCTTTGGTTCGACATTGATCTACATTTCATCTGTTTAGAACCATAAAGGCATGAACTGTTTCAATACAGAGTTAACATCCTTCTGGCTCTGAACAAACGATTTTTCAGTCTCCATTGGTGTAGTGTGTATAGCTTCCCATAGGCAGGAAGTCCTTGAATGCTTAAGGATTGTTACCAAGGTAGCTCAGCTAATTTGTGTAAGTGTTTTGTATCCTCAGGTAAATCTACATTATAAATCCGACTTCCATTGTCATCATCAGCAATAGTATCATCATTATTATTGTCACTAGCAGTAGTAGTTGTAGTAGTCAAAGTAGTAGTGAAAGTAGAAGTGGCAGTAGAAATAGTAGTACTAGAAGAACTAGTCTTCTAATATACTATTATTACTCTTCTCCTCCTTTTACTTTTGTTTCTTCTTCACCTTCTTATTTTTCTTCATTATTTTCATTATTATCATTATCATAATTATCATCATCATCATCATCAGTATTTTCATTATCTGTATTACTATAAATATTATTATCATGTAGAAGTAGCATACCTGTGAGTTCACAGTGTCCACCAATGAATCCATCAGCACAGTCACAGACTCCATTGTTACATATTCCTCCATTAATACAGGGTGGATCACATGATCGTTCTGAAAGATAGGGAGAGAAAAATTCCATTACATGTTCTGTATTCTCCCTCTCTCTCTCCCTCTCTCTCCCTCTCTATCTATCTATCTATCTCTTCCCCCTCTCTCTCTCTCCTCCTCTCTATCTCCTCTAAATTCCAAGTCATCATTATTGTTATAATTGCATAATTCAAATGGTAAATTCTCCAACATCCCTAAGTCTAAAACAGGAAAACTGATATCAATAGGCAATACAAAATTCATTGTTATATGTTCCTCCATTCATACAAGGAGGATCGCAAGATTATTCAAAAAGATGGGTGAGCAAATATTCATGTTTGTGCTCTCTCTCATTACAATTCCAAGGGATCCCTTATATATCTGATAGGCATACGACCAAAGATTGATGAACATCAAGTTCGTCTCTTATCCTATTATTTCTGAAAACATCCCTGCCACAACACTTACGCCTTTTGGCAAGACAATCATCTTCATTTGCCACACTCCCCCCAGGTGATGTAATTGGGTACCTGGTGGGTCTATTCCTTGAAATGCAGTGCACTGGTAACGAATGCCCCAGGTAAAGCTAGTTTAATAAATTCCAAAGCTACTTGGAAGTGCATAGGGATGTTAGATCATGTCTGTTACAAGAACAGACTATTATTATTATCAACATGTGCTTCGAACCTACCTGCCAGGACGATGGTGAAGGTGGTTGTAAGAGGGCCTCCGTTGCAGCGGTAGATGCCCATGTCATCGTTGGTGAAGTTATGGATGATCAATTTGGTCTCGTAGTCTGAAAGACGCTGGGTGTAAACACGGTGATCCCGAACTGAGGAACATCAGAGAGCACAAAAATAATATGTTTGTGAATAGCGTATATTCTACTTCTATAAGACAGAAGTAATCTTACGGTTTCATTAATTCGTTTTCCATCTTATAGTTTCTATTTCTAATGTATTTCTGTTTTCATGTTTTGTTTGTTTGAAAACTTAGTTTAATTTTTTACAAGTACATTTATCAAAACGATGTAGAGGATAAAAGTGGTAGCATTTTAGTCTTAGAGAAATATTTTTTTTTAAGCTGTAAAATTAATGTGGTGATGCTGTATTCAAAGATTTTCCGCAGTAAGATCAAATGCTTCCCTCCCCCAATTCTGAAGACCAATATAGGGTTAAATCAAAACATTTGTTTAAAGTTACACAGTGGACCTGAAAACACTCAACCTTGATCCCTCTGAATGAGTAATCAGAACTTTCAAAGTCATTCGAGGATATTTCTTCACTAATCTCAATAAATACTACCCAGACAACCTGTGAACTTACTTTTCTACCCTTTATACATTCTGGAGAAGATCTGAATTTACTTCACGGATTTGACGAGATGATCTTGCTGTTAGGATCCTTCCAGGACATATACCCTAACAATAATCTCATATTTAAGAACTCACAAATCTCTTCAATTTTGAATTTTAATAATACAACTCAAAACAAGATTTCACTTGCCCTTTTAGGAAATTTAAAAAGAGGTTCTTATTGCATCAATCCTACCTTATAGATGTTATCTAGAAAAGACATGATGGCATGGTGGCTTAGTGGTTAGAGCGCCCACCTCATGAACGGGAGGTTGTGGGTTCGAACCCCAGCCGAGTCATACCAAAGACTTATAACAGTGGGACCTTCTGCCTTCTAGCTAGGCGCTCAGTATATTAGATTGGAGAAGGGTAGTAATAACATATTATGATATGCAGGGCCCGCTGGAAGAGCAGTTTCATGACTGAAGTGGCTACCCTGGGTAAATAAAACATTATTATTATGTGAACTTACTCGAGGGATTCGATGAGATGACCTTGCCATTAGGGTTCCTCCAGAATGGATACCTTGGAGCATTGGTTCCGCTGGTCCTACACAAGAACTCAATATCCTCACCAACCATTGGACTCTTTTCAATACTTGGGATGATGACAATAGATGACTGGAACCCAACTAAGAATAAATGAGAAGTACAGAGATGAAGTCATGAATATTCATACGCTGGATGCTATATTCATGAAGAGATGAACTTATGAATATTCATTAGCAAAAACTGTTCATGGTTCCGCTGGTCCTACACAAGAACTCAATATGATTACCAACCATCGGACTCTTTTCTATACTCGGGATGATGACAATAGATGACTGGAACCCAACTAAGAATAAATGAGAAGTACAGAGATTAAATCATGAATATTCAATGGCAAAAGCTGTTCGTGGCTCTGCTGGTTAAAATTACACATGTGGCATACGAGCGCCTATGCATAGAGGCGAAGGAAGCAACCAAAATTTTAATTCAGAAAGACAAAAACAAAGGGATTTCAGAGAGAGAGAGAGAGAGAGAAAGAGTCAGAGAGAAGAGAAAATGGACTTACTTCCGATCTGGCAGAAAGATCCTTGGTAGCCTTCAGGGCAGGAGCAGATGCCATCTCTACATGTTCCTCCGTTAGCACAGTTCAGAGGACAAGGGCGTTCTAAAAGAAAACAAACGTGATGAAATATCATCTTTGATTTGATGCCAAAATTTCACTAAAATTGTGTAATGATGTGAAAGAGGATGTGATATGACCCTTAACTCTGCAAGTATTTTAAGAACAAATGTGTTTGAAGATGAATATTGATGAAAAAATACAAAACTTGGGTTCTGTGTTGTACGCAGAAAACCTAAATTGTGTACTATTTCATTATTATACGTCTTCAAACACATTTATTCTTAAAATCCTTGTAGAAGTCAGTGTTAATACATGACATCCTTTTTCACTTCATTATACAATCAAAGTGAATGTTTGCTATCAATTTTTGTTGGGCTCCCGACACTTTAGAGAGGCTTTAAGCAAAAGTCACATTACATTTATATGACTTATCTGTGATATTATTTCAGCAGAAAATTTTTGATATGAAGATTTTAACATGTACAATTGAGGTTCCAAATAGTCTCAGCATTCAAAGATTATAGAGGTTTCAAATCGTAGTGCCATGAGACCATTTGTGTGATTGGCTATGATTTGAATATGATTGGCCTTTATTCCAATTATAATATTTGCCATGAACCATATTTTCTATGCATAGTGTTCACATTATTATTCAAAACAAAGTGGGAAAGAATTTGAATGTCCACGTAATGTTAATGCGATACATTTCCAAAATAGCATGGCACTCATATTGTAGAGTATGCAGTAGCCTCTTCGTCTATTAAGACCACCACATTCTTCTTATTGGTTTTATACAGCTTTTGAACAAGTTCAATACTTGGGAACTGTCTGTAATATGAAAGAAGGCATGATAGGTTATTCACAATTTACCCCAGTCTAATTTGTCTGTCTGAACATATATAATCAGCATAACTGCCTACATGTACCTTCAATACTGATGAATATAGTGCTGTTCAGAGGGCCAGTTGCACAAGTGAAGTAGCCAGCATCTCCCTCAGCTAGGGGTCTGATGTAAAGCCTGGTGGCAGTGGAGTTGACAGCAAAGGTGAATATACGGTCCACACCTAAAAAAAGATAATGAGTTATCACATGTTATCAATAAGCCATTTCATAGTTGCAGTCTGAGCACGAGCAGATAAAGGGCATTGCAGATCAAATTGTGAAATACATGGAGACAAAATACTGGATACATGCTTATGAAACTTATGTAATTATTATTCATTTATGCACAAGCAGTGGACTCCATGACACACAGGTGGAAACAAAGGCTATTTATGTAGCAGCTCCATCACTGTAGTAGTGATTATTTCAAAATCTACAAAGTGGAACCTCTTCATGTTATGAAGATCTGTGGATTTTCTGGGTCATTTGGGACATTTGCTAACCGTGAACTGGTCTATTGCCAGCAATTCACAAAACATATACAGCAAAGCATCACATTAGCAGAAACCTGCTCTACGGTCGGGTACATTAGAACTGAAACAATCAAGAAGTAGAAGAAGTATGTAACATCCATGTACTTACGAGCTTCTGAGAATCAAACTATGGCAAAAGGATTGGCCTTGAGCATTACATATTACAAATTTACAAGCATTAACAAAAGACATTTGTACTTCTACAATTTCTGATGATAATATAATTGCCTTCAATTGCAGCAAAGGGGCATGTTCAAGATAAAGACGAAATAAAGGGCCACAATAGATGGGTGGCCATTGAGCCAGGTTTGATTGTAACTGTAAAGGGGGTGTAGCATTGCAAATACTGGTTAACGCCATCTACAACTTCTTTTGGACAACTGTACGTAAACAAATAGACTTGATTAACGGTCAGCACGGGCTAGCGTTCGCGAAACAGACCGCAGTTCTCCTCACACTTTGGTTTCACTTATGTTGCATGCACGTGAATACTGCGGTTGCGTCGTCCGTAGTCGTATTATACCCGACTGGCCCGAGTTAGGCCACAGGAAGACACATAGTCTCGTCATGCTACACCCCCTTTAACTAGCCTATATCTGTGATGCTACTTACTTGTTTGCCTGATGCCAGCCACCCTTCCACTGGGGTCTCTCCATTGGGGATTCTCTGGGGCGAAGGTTCCTTGGGTGAGGCATAGGAAGGCAATGTTCTCTCCGGTATAGAAGACTTGACCCTCCTCAGGGTGAATGGCAATGGAGATGGGCTCCACGACTGAAACAAAGAAAGAGACGATTTGATGGTTTTATTGACATTGGGCTAAATGAATATTGGACCAAGTCAGAACCAGAAAAAAGAGGCATTAGACCAACGAGTTATCAGACTATACAGGCATAAGAGGAAATGACAAATGAATGAGTGATTACTAAATGGTCTCTTACTGATGAATAATTGTGAGTAACACAGTATTCAAGAGAAAAGGATAATCCTAAATATAAAGCAGATTTGCTTTTATGAGGTACGGTACACGCCGAAAATCTCCGCAACACGATTTACACGATTAAAAATTTACACGATTCGACTGCTCGCAGGAATCGTGTAACCATTTATTTTTACACGATTCGTTTTTTGCCAATGAAGCGAAATTTGAATCGTGTAAACGTGTAATCGTGTAAAATTACACGATTCCTCAATTCAGGTCGAATCGTGTAATCTGCCCGCCGAAAATCTCCGCAACACGATTACACGATTCAAAATTTACACGATTCGATTGCTCGCTGGAATTGTGTTACAATTTATTTTCAGTGGTGATGGTGAGCAGGTTAAGGACGTCTAGTTCAGTGAAAGCAAGAAGTTACTTCTTGGTTGAACGAGGACAACGTGGACGATACGAGGGGATAGCGAAGATTACGCTTTCTTTCTCTTGTATATATTTTTAATTGCAGTGTCTTGTCTCTAGTTTTATTATAGAATGTTTGAAAGTTAAAAAAATCAGTCCACTTCCCGAAAAGCACTCTCGGATTTAATCCTCGGTGAGAAAAAAGAAAAAAGCGATGAACGACGAAGGAAGGGGGGAATTTTGTTATTCCTAAGTTGTAAATAAGTAAAAATGATTACAAAATGTAAAGGAGGGCTAACATAATTAAGTATGTTGTGATACTCTTACATTACAAGGCTGTACCAATTAGAATTACGGTTCACCAGCTCATTCGTTACTATGAATATCGTTATACTTTTTTTTATTCAATCATTATCCATTTTACAAACCTGGTTTGTAAAAACGCGTCATATGACGCACGAAAACCAAGGTTTGTCGACAAACCTCCTTTGTGAATTCGGGCCTTAGACTTTGATCACTTATTGCTTTTTTAGTGTTCCTCATTTTCGTTAATTACCTTTTACAACATTGCATTATTCAGCTATATGTATAAAGAGCTACGGTCAAGGCTTAAGGGCACACTTCCTGTCACATACAAAAGAAGCTTACTCTGAATGTGGCCTGCCATTGACCCTCGCCGGGGACAAAGGCCGTTGCCCTAGCTACAGGCAGAGATCCTTACATAATACCTATTGTTCAGGGGGTTCCCCTTCGAACATAGGATCCCCCTGAACAATAGGTATTACATGCACGTAAGTATGTAAGCCACTGGCTACAGAGTGTAGGGAACAGTTGCAAGCCGAGAATGAATAGAATAAGTGAATGGCCAACTGTCTTTGAGTTACGTTTAGCTAGCGGCACAGTGTCCCCCCACTTTTTCAAGTTCCCCCAAAGTGCCCCTTTGTATGTAGGAAAAGTACCTATTTTACTTTGACAAGTGTCCCTATTAATTTGTAAAAGTGCCCCTTCCCCTTTTCAACTCTGATAAGTGCTCCTTTTCTTTTGACACACACCCCTTTTCCTTCGACGAGTTCCTATTTTCCTTTACAATAAGTGTCCATTTTCCATTCTCATTAGTGTCCTTTTAATCTCTAGTAAGTATCCCTCTTTAAGTACGAGAAATGCCCCTCTTCACTTTTGATAAATGCCCCCATCAACTCCGATAAATGCCCCTATTAAAATCTGATCGGTGCCCCTTTTCTTTCAACTAAAGCTTTTTTTTTATCTCTCTCTCTCTCACTCTCTCTCTTTCTTTCAATATCTTTCCATTCCCCCATATCTTTCTCGCCTCTCTTTCCCTCATTATGTTCCCCTCTTACCTTATTTATTTGTCTCTTTTCCTCTCCGTTTCATAGCCTTCTCATTTCTGTTAATTTTACTAGGTTTCGCCCTTCTTTTTTTTTATCACTCTATTTCACTCTTTCTTTTCTTCCGGTCAACTTTTTAGTTTTCCCATTTTTCTCTCTTTTTTTCTGTTTATCTTTATCGTGCCTTTCAACCCTCATTTTCCTTTTACACGATTACACGATTCAGAGCGACATTCTTCAATCGTGTAAATTTACACGATTACACAGTTACACGATTCAGGTGAAACGTGTAAACCGTGTAATCCTAAAAATAAATCGTGTAATCGTGTTGCGGAGATTTTCGGCGTGTACTGTACAATTTGAAGATCTATTCCAATTTAAATGTACATATTGCAATATACTGATCTTCCATTTTAAATATCTAGGAGAGGTGTACTTACTCTGGTGTCGGCAGGCTGTTCCATTGAAGCCTCTAGGACATCTGCATTCCCCTTCTACACACTCCCCACCGTTCTCACATAAGGGTTGACATTCTGGAACTATAACATGAACATAATAATCTGGCATTATTATATATTCCGTGATCTATATTTGAATTCGTGAAAAAGGAAAAAATATTTATAAAACTGTGACAATAATATTTATCACCATCCATATACTTGTATATAAGAATAAATAATAATAATCTGCATTTATATTGCGCTTAATACAAAATACCCTTTCTAAGCGCTTTACAGATATCATTACCCCGTTGTCCGATTCATTCACGCACAATGAGCACCATCTCCACTCCCTGGGGAGTATTCCTACGATATGATCACCGTGAGGGCATATGGCAATTATTATCACAAATGCTTTCATTATCCTTCCAGGTCCACGTTTCTCTCTTGGGTATGGGGTGGCAAATGTAGATTAGTGCCTTGCCAAAGGACATTAGTGCCATGTCGAGATCAAACCAACATTACAATTTCAAGTAAAGTGCTTGAACCACTCGACTATGACAAATCTACACCATTATACACGTTCAAAGAAACCAATAAATGAACGAGATAAACACATTTCTAAATATAATATCTGAACAAAACTGAAATCCGGTACATAGTCGTTACTACCTTCTTGTGGATAGCAAATTATATGTCATACATGTAGCAATCAAAACAAGAGTAATCCTCTTACTTATAATAGATTTACAGACAAAATGTTCTTCTCTCACTAGGAAAATAAATCTCAAGAAAGAGATTATTCCAAAGAATTTGGGCCACTCCGAAACTTAGATCCTAATCAAATGATTGGTTGAAAGCGTACACCTGACCAGGCATTTATTTTGCCTGACACATAATTTTGATAACGACCGGTCATTATCCATTTCTAATGACTGATCATTAGACTGTTCCAAAGGTACCTTGTGTGGGTAATTCTTACTAATGCCCTCACTGCTGTGTATTATTTGTATATTAACATTGTTGCCATTAAGAGAAAAGTTGACACATGAAGATCACATCTTACCCAGCTCATCACAGGCTTCTCCGGTGTAGCCTTCCAGACATATACAGATACCTTCTATACAGTGCCCTCCGTTGACACAACGAGGGATGCAAGGATAGGCTGAAAGAACAAGAAAGAATTCCGATCACTTAAGTTAACTCCACATGGAAAAAATGTACCGTATGATCAATCCCCTCCTTTTGTACATGACAAAAACAAATTATACATGTACATAAAATTTAAAAAACTGCTGCAAGGGATTCAGGGGTATGAACTTTCCCTGCAGTGACTAAAAGATTGCGGAGTGCAATTTTCATTTGGGCTTGGACAGGGAATTATTATTGTTTCATATACTGTATAATGAGAATATAAAATGTGAAGTTTATTCACAAATTATTGTTTACTAATGTCAGAAGCAGAATTGTAAGCCGTAAGGTGGCTCACAACAGTGAGTGATGAATCTTTTAAATATGGTAGAAAATGATCTTTACCAGTCAGGTATGGGATTATTGAAATCCCAAGCATTTAATTTCACTATATTCTGTCATCTACATGTAAGTAAGAATCAATCAATCAATTTACTTTAGTTATTTTTGGACCTCAAGGAAAATCAGATAACATTTTTTGGTTGATCTGAAGCAGTTGATCCCTCGGTCTCCACTTTAATTTTAAAATGTTATTATTCTAGAATAGTCCTTGTAAACAAAATGAGTATATTGTTTCTGTATGTGTTATAATGTTTGTATTTCAAATTTTACAATCATAAATAAAAACCAAACCAAACCAAACCAAGACTTACTGTTATTGTAGATGGTGAGCGAGATAGACTGCTGCAACGGTCCTGCGTTACAGGTGTATGTAGCACTGTCCTGAACACTGACGTTCATGATCCTCAGTTGGGTGATGAAACCAGACTTACGGGATGTGACAATGTGACTTCCTTCTCCTAAAGAAACATAAAATTCACATCGTATCTCTTTAGTTCACTGTACATTCAGTTCTCCTTTTTTATTTTTAATACAGTAATATAGACCAATTGATATGCAATTAATTAAATTACAATCACCACATTAATAATCAGTCAATTTCACCGACCCCGTATCAAATCAATCAGCATCTGGATCATCTTTTATCACCATCGGATTGGCAATAGACTCTACCACTCTCAAAGATGACCACCAGAATGTTCTGGTTTTTTAAGCTACACCAGTCACATAATAAAATCAACTCATTCTAATCTTTAACAAGCAAATAACTATATGTTGAAAGTATCAAAGCTATTTTACTGAAATGACTTTCAAATACCAAATGAATCTTACTTTGTGATACTGGTGAATTTACAAGTGTAAAATTGACATATCCACAATGATTCTTTCGATGAGATTTAGCCATATCAAAAAAGTAAATTTACTACCTTGATATTCTAATGAAACGGTTCTACCGATGCAAAGATAATGATTCCTAACAATCATTCATTTTCATCATCAGTATCATTATCTTCCTTCACTATCATAATCACCATCATTATCATTCAATGAGCCTGCTACCACCTACCTAGCTGTGACCAATGACTGGACTTACCGTTAGTCCCCTTTCCACCATCTTTAATTGACAGGAGCATCAACTCCTCATCATCATTCATTCGTTCATTTTCATCATTATCTTCATCATCATCTTCATCATCATCATCATCCCTTGAGCCTGTTACCTACCAAAGACCGATGAATGGATACACTTTTAGTCTCCTTTCTGCCATCTTGGGTTGAGAGAAGCATCAACACATCATCATCATTTATTCTCATCATCATCATCATTAATCATCATCATCATCATCAATCATCATCATTATTATCGTGCACCATCATCATCATCCATTGAGCCTGTTACCTACCAAAGACCGATGACTGGATATACTGGTAGTCTCCTTTCCGCCTTCTTGGATTGAGAGAAGCATCAACACATCATCATCATTCATTCTTATCATCATTATTATCATCATCATCAACATCATCATGATTACCATCCATTGAGCCTGTAATACCTACCAAAGACCGATGACTATATATACTGGTAGTCTCCTCCCCATCTTGGATTGAGAGGAGCATCAACACATCATCATTCATTCTTATCAATCATCATCATCAATCATCATCATGCATCATTATCATCATCCATTGAGCCTGTTACCTACCAAAGACCGATGACTGGATATACTGGTAGTCTCCTTTCCGCCATCTTGGATTGAGAGGAGCATCAACACATCATCATCATTCATTCTTATCATCATGATTATCATCTTCATCATCATCATCAATCATCATCATCAATCATCATCATGCATCATTATCATCATCCATTGAGCCTGTAATACCTACCAAAGACCGACGACTGGATATACTGGTAGTCTCCTTTCCGCCATCTTGGATTGAGAGGAGCATCCAATCCATTAGTGATACAGAGGAAGCTCACGTTCCCTCCCTCGGTGTAATCATTGTCTGGATCAAGCTCAATACGCAGGTTGGCATCGATACTCACTGTTATCAGATAAAATGATTAAAAGGGCATGTCTCAGAAGCTTTTTAGAACAATTCACCTCTTTACATACCATTAAACCCGATTAGAATATCCAAACGCTCAGAAGAGAATCTCTGCATTATTTTCTCTACAATCCTCGATAATAAACCTATCCTACAAAAGTGCACCATCTCCGCTCGGTGGGGATTATTCCTACCATCATGAGGGCATATGGCAATTAGGATCACAAAAGCTTTTGTCATCCTACCAGGCCCCCCTTTATCCCCTGGGTATAGAGTGGCAAATGTAGATTAATGCATTGCCAAAAGACATTAGGGCAGTGTCAGGGATCGAGCCTTCGACCTTTGCATCTACACTCGAGTGCTCAAACCACTTGACACTTGACCTCTATCAGCATCTTACCAGTGAATTGACAGAGTTCTCCCGTGAAGTCTGGTTTACAGAAGCACCTGTGTTCCAGGCAAGTCCCTCCATTGTAGCAGGCCTGCTTACTATGACATCCAGGTACTGTACACAAAAATCAATCATGAAATATTAGTTCCATACACTCAAAACCACGTTCATCAAATTAGTGTAATAGGACTTTGTGAACATATACTGCGAATTGACATGGAGCTAGTAAATTTATATTTTCCACAACGTAAACACATATTATACATTAAAGTAAAGGTTGAGTTCTGGGGAGAGGTGAAAATACTTTGTGAGCATTATCATTGTTATTATGCAAGTGTGGAAGAACATCAGAGAAAAAAATGTTCTCTGAAAAGCATGGCTCTTCAAATGCCTTTATATTCTAAATATGACATGTAACATCATAAAAATCGGGCCAGATTTTTATGCCACATGTTAGTGTAGTCCCGTATACATCTGTCTGTGTACAGTGCTTGTAACTTTACCAAGACTGGGCCAAATTTCGTATCACTTTGATGATTCCAGAAACTTGCAGTACACACCAATACGTATGTGCTAGATGATTAACCTTTTCTGATCGATCTACACCGTTTCTTCCACAATGTAATCGCATGACCAGAACTCAACTTTATCTTTAAGTATATAATCTTGTCCACGAATCTCCCAATATTTCAAGCGTATGAATGGGCACATACATGGTAACTATCCACAATTTTCAGCTTTTAAATCAGGTTCATGTGGCTTACCGCAATGCAGTTTCACACAAAAAAAAAACATCCAGAATGCTGGAGATGCAATACATGTAGCCAGTGATGTCGGTGCAGTAAGAGCTCATATCAGACATAAATGTCTAAAAGTTTAGGTAATATTTAGCCTAGCCGAGCTAGTATTTGTATTTACCTACCCCATATCCTAACATTTATACCTTCAGAAGTAATGATGATTTTCTAAAATCATACATTTTCCGGTCAACACATGTTTTTTCATGCAACTACGTTTTGCTAAGCTACATACTATCCAATGATCAAACATTCACATACATGTACTATTTTCAATAAATTACAATATCTAGGACAATTGGCGTTTACTACTTACCTTTTACATAGTGAGTGCATATATACATGTATGCCAAATAATGATACATATTAAAACAAATCATGTTGTTATTTTTGGTATATTCATTAATTTCATATTTCTGACAAAGCATCAATTACATTCCTGCTTCACATTGTGTCAATTTATACCAAAAATATTGCAATTTTGATTTAAATGTAGGAAAAGAGAAAAGGCCAAACAGCTATGTACAGAAGGAATGATGCTACCAATCAAACATACGGTTGTACAAATGCATGTACATCAAAACGTACATGTCGTAAATGCTCTAGAGAAAACTTTGAGCATGAATATATTAATAAGTATATACGGAATACACGTAGGTATGAACGCGTGCAAGATTGTCTTAGAGGAAGCAAGAAAGCCATGCAATCAAAATATGAAGAACAACAATTATTGGCACATTTATAATTGGATGTCAAGGTGAAAATGAAGAAGCATTTTGGGAAATGATGTGACAAAAAAGTGTTGAAATAAAGACATCAAGGCGAAATATAATAACATTAATACAAGAGTACTAAGCATAAAAAAGAAATAGTGCTCAAATTTCACTTTACACTTGACCAATGATGAGTTTACATTGTATACTTATTCTTTATTTGAATACATTGATCACTATGACCTTTTCAAACAGGTCAAACAACAGGTGAAATGTTTTCTTAAGCATGTTTGAGCAGGTCATATAAAATAATTCTACAGTTGTGATATGTTTTCTTTAAGCAGGATTGACAGGCTTAGGGTTTCCTCATATATGCCCCAATAAAAACAAAGTTTTCTTCTGCATAGTTTTTGTGCGTATCAAAGTAATAATAAGAGGGGATGGATTAAGCAAATTTGTGCAACAGTGATTCACTTGTAAACGGGTATTTCAACATTAAGAGAATAAAGTGCGAAGTGCAGCAAGCTTTAGTGCACTTTAAAAAAAATATGATTAAACATCACGGTTATTGCGGTATACATGTACAAGCGTCAAGTAACAAGCATTATAAGATGTCTCCTTACAATTAGCATTGACGGGTTCAGGGAGTGGGGCTAGTTTGTGTCCTATCATGCTACATAAATATAAATGGTCTGCAGGCCTAAACAAATAATTTTCTTCTTTAATAATGACTCGACAGTCATCTCAAAATCAGTTTCCGTATATAACAAAATCTTGAGTAAGTTTTAAATGAATAGTTATATATGTGCGGCACAAACTTTTCATGAATTTCAGCGACCCTGCGTGTTTCAAGGTATTATGTTGTGATAAGAATAATAAACGAATGAATATGAGATGCAGATTTGATGAAAAGTGTACTCGGTGACCGAACTATGAAATGCATGGTGCCATTCATATACACGTACATGTATGCTTGAAACTAGCGAGATGATTAAACATATATGTATATACTGTAGATGGTTTATGAATGCATATTGTTTCAATGATATAAAAGCATCTTGTTTGCAGCATTGTGAATGCACTGTAAATGATGTAATCCTTAAGTTGCTCTGTAACATATAAAATAGTAGTAACAGGAGGCGGAGAGGGGTAATTTTCATTCCAATTTGGTGGGAGAAATGACATTTTTTATACCTGGTTGACTGCATGTCTCCCCTGTATGAGACTCGGGGCATTCGCAACGACCCCCCTGGCAGACACCTCCATTCATACATGGGGGTGCGCAGTGTAAAGCTGTTAGAGGGACAGAAACAAGCATTCAGAGAAAGAGATAGAGTTCAAATAAAATGTACATCACAGAAAGAGGAAGTGAATAAAACCAAATTTAAAATGTTAGTTCAGAACAGACACAGCAAGAAAGAAATATTCATAACAAAAAGAAATAAAGTGTTAAATCACTTGATAATTCATTCCTTAACCCTATGTTAACTGGGGGGGGGTCAATTTGACCCCCCCCCCCCCCTGTAGTAATTTGGCTACTCCAAAATCGCAGCAGATATAAAGTTTTCCTTTCATGACTTTTTTCTTTTGAGTCTTCCGCATCTTTTAAAACAATTTTTCGAAAATGGGACGTAAGTCACATCACCTTTTGTCTTTGCATGTAACCCCGAAAATCGCTCATTTTTGTGATTTGTGTACGAAACATATGGAAATATCATTTTTCTTAAAAAGAGATAAAACATTAGTTATTCAGTCTTGTTTAAAGTTTAGGTGTTTGTTTTGGGGTCAAAATAGTTGAATTGTAGTTAGAAATGATATAAAACAACAAAAACAATAAAATACATAAGTTAAAAAACAATGATGGAATAACCTGGCTCTTTCAATTGTTTGTGTTGTATTGTTATTCCAAATGGTCTAACAAGTATATGTAGTGAGAAAGAATGCTTTAATATGAATAATATATGATGTATGGGTAAAATTATGAATTGTATGACCTTATTTGCATAAATTACCAGAAAATATGCAAATGAGTGAATTTTTCAAAAAATTGAAATTACCATAGTATTCTATACACTTCACTTGGAATGCATGCAAATTTTCGCGGCGATCGGCGATGAAACGGCCGAGATCTGGGGGGGGGGGGGGTCAACCCCCCCCCCCCCCCAGGAAAAACCCGTGCTGAAATAGCCCAGTTTAAATAGGGTTAATCTACCCACTCTGACACACTGGTGCCCAAAGAAATATGTCAACAAGATTTGTTTTGATCATGAATTATGATCACAATTTTTAACACTCTGAGTGTAAATAATATCTTCACATAGAAAAAAAGAACATATTTATAAATGAGCTTACTTTTCAACTATAGTGGAAATACTACATTGCTTGATATAGAAGTTCTATATCTTAAATGTTGAAATGAGACAAACTTAAACTAAAAGAATCTAAAGATTAGATAACTATAATTTATCCAAATAATTAACAAAGCCTAATACATGTACAAAACACGCAGGTATAAAAAGGGGAAGAAACAAAATAATATGTACAGTACATATATACACATGAATAAATAAATGAAGCCTAATCTATACACATATTAAAATAAAGATCTATTAAGCAGAGACATAAGCCATATCTTATAATACGTTTCAGACATAATCATTAGTTAGGGCAAAACAGCTTGAGGTTTTGCTTCTGGGCATTTTCTCATTATCTATCTAAGCTCAAGTCCACTTCATAAAAGAGAGTGAAGTTCCAATTTTTAAATTTATCCTTTCTCCACTAAACTGAAGTTATGATGGAAATTCATGAATTGATTCAGACATACCAAGAGACAGGTTGAAAACTCCAGCAACAGGGCCTGCAGTACAGATGTAAAGTCCACCTTGTTCACTGGTGATACTGTCTAGATGAAGAGTGGTGACATTCACTCCTTGGAACTCCACATGCACATTGTCTGATCCACCTGTATATGTGAGATAGGATAGGTTACCAGTACACTCTAACAAAACGTTGTTACAAAGTCACTAAAACTCATTAGGATGTTTAATGCACATGTATCATCGATATCATCCCCACAATCACAATCAACATCACTATCACTATCATTACAACCAACAAAAATCATCATACAAAACATAACCATCAAAATCAGCCCCCATCATCACTTCTTGTACCACCATGCTGATTATCACCTCCTTCCCTTCAACCACCAACATCCAACATCACCATCATCACAACCATCACCATTGCATCATCCCAATCATCACCATCATCATTACTAAATCATTACCATCACTATCACCACCATCACCACCACCACTATTTACATCACCACCACCACCACCACCCTCCATCCTTACTACCACCACTATACTATCAACCCCACCATTAATCCTCACTACCACCACTTACCACCACCACCACCACCACCTATCCCCACGACCAACTCAACTACCATTATCATAACCACTATCATTACCTTCATCATCACTACTACAACCTTCGCCACAATCACTGTTTCCAATCACATCACCATAACCATTTCGATCCCCATCATAATCACCATTACCAAACACCATCACCACCACATATCCCCACGACCAACTCTATCACCTTTATCATAACCACTATCATTACCTTCATCATCACTACTACAGCCTCCATAATATTCCCTGTTATCACTATCAATTCTATTCCCATCACCACCACAACCACCACCATCCCCGTCACCACCATCACCACCATCACCATCATCACCATCACCACTACCACCGTCACCATCACCATCATCACAACCACCACTACCACCATCACCACCATCACCTCCACCACCACCATCACCATCACCACCACCACCACCACCATCACCACCACCATCACCATCACCACCATCATAACTCACCATGTCCTACTGGAGCTATCTCTTGACCCAGAGGTCCAATCCACATCGGTCTGCTGATCTCCACTGGTCCATTTAGCTCACAGGCCACACTGTAGCTCTGTCCTGCTGTGGGGAGATCCTCCTGAATGGGGTCAAACTCCACACTGAAGTCCCTCTCATCTGGAATGATGATAAAACAGAGACAAATTTGTCATATGAACATTACATCATAAATGGGCAAGTCCAAGGTACATGCAAACTGTCCCATAAATCACTGACAACATCATTAGTTTCGGTATACCCACTGATTGTATCAAGCTGAATGCCATACCAGAGCTTTTACTTCATCAAAAAACAAGGAAATGATAATTTTGATGTTAACATTTATTTTTTCTTTGTTTCTGGGTAGTGTATGGGACAGCAAATTCACCAACCTCTTCTTTTCCATTCTTTTGGTCACATAAATGTATCATAAAACAATATGATAATGTATCCGATACATTTTGATATCTTGTCGTTTTTCTTCTTGAAAAATTTCAATATACTATTATGACCTATACATGTATATGTATTTTAGATATCATGGAACTACATTTGTAACAATATGAACGATTATAATGAAACTATAAATGCCCTTTGGTAAGGCATTTATTTTCATTAACAGGCCAGTTGCAGAAGACTTAAAGCCGTCGATCCTCTGGTTGCTATTTACAATCATACATATGCTTCCTTAGCAGTTAGGCAAAACAAACAAACCAACGACCCCACAAAATTGAGAAAGGTTTCACAAATGATATTTTTTATATATGTACGTGTTTGCCTGATGGGCCTGATAAGCCTTGATGACACAGAAGTGATTGCAATGTATACTAACATGAGTAATGGCAGTGAGATCCAGTGAAACCCTCGGTGCATACACAGATTCCCTCCTCGCAAGAGCCTCCATTCTGACACTCTGGCAGGCAACGAGGAACTGAAACACAAACACAAAGAAATAGATTAGATTAATTATTAAGGACATGCAAGATTATTGATGAAAAGACATATCGATAACAAACCAAATGTATAAAATCTGATTCATAAGTCAAGGATATTATTAAGTAATGGAAGAAAACTGATACACAGAATTTCAAAGACAAGAGCCTCCGTTTACCTCCGTTTACCTCCGTTTACACATTCTCACATACAACAAAGAACAGAAACAAACTTGATTATGATTAGAATAGTTTAAAAGCAATTGGACTATTTGATTGAAATAAAATATAATAACAAAAGAACGTCTACTGGTTATTACAATTTTAAAAAGGGGGCAGGTAATTTCATAGACTAGGATAAACACAAAAAGAAAGTTTCAAAATGACTGGAGACTCTACTATAGAATCCGAGCATATCGTAAGATACAGGCCTACATGTACATTGCAACTCTTGTAATCCATCTAATCCTTAAACGTCTATGAAGGACTATTTCAACATTAATAATCTACCAATTTTGTGAAAACACAATGCAAACAATCTACACATGGGGATGTTTATTATTGAATAACTCACTGAAGATGTTGACAACAATGGTATCCCTTTTCGGTTCAGCAGCGCATGTGTAGATACCCGAGTCTGATTCTGAGATGTCATTGAGCACCAGTCTCGATTGGGTAGGTGAGACGACCTGCACTAACTGACCAGCCAAATCTACGTCTACATCAAGCCAAGACAAAACATAAATTATAAATCAAAATTTGGACAAGAAGTATGATGCGTGCCAATGCTCGGAGACACTGAGCATGGACGTACTAACAATTTCTTCATTTGAACAGATTTCTACACATACAGTCATTTTGAAAATCAATTCAAATTGCAATTCAAACTGCTTTTTTAAATAACATATGTCATGGTGATTATTTTAAAAAGTCAGTTTTCAAAAAAATTATCTTATTAGCTCTTTAAAAGGATTTTCAAAACATGAAATAGGATTTTTGAGTATTTTTGTTTCAACAATGAGGGCTGCAAAATCAAATATATTTTGGATATTAAACGACAATTGTAAAAATTGAAAAATAAACCTGTATAAAAGATGAAATTATTAAAGTAAATTAAATTACTAATCAACATTTTTGTGTATAGATCTAAATCCTGATATGTGATCATCCAAATCAATATCATTTCATAACCTGTTTCTGAGGCATTGAAATATATAAATGATTTTTTTTTTTAACAATACCATGTATATATATCTGATGTAAATAAAGTGATTTTGCATTTTATTAATTGGAAAATTATCAAATGCAACCAATTCAACAAGATAACCTGCACTGTTCATTTCGCCTTAGTATGGGTCGTCAATTTTCAGATGAACGACTCATATCCCTTGAATCATGGTGTGAGTGCCAGTGTCTGTTAATCTATGACCAGAGCAATCTATGTGCATCATTACACCCAACTCAAATGCGAGATGGTAAACTGCCTAAAACACCAGTGCAAAACTTAACGTGTAAATGAAAGGAAAAGGTGACGTCATATGGTTATTACATACAAATAGCTGCTAATCTATCCAATTTTGAAGGAATTATTCCTACTTTTTGGCCAGGAAGTTATTACTTTGAACCCTAGATGCCCCTCTTTTTGTGAAATATAATATATTTTGTGGAAAAACTACAAAATAGACATATTCCTAATTTGGGGCAGGTAAATGTGTCTATGTGAATCCCTGGTCTTTATATTATACCAGATAGAAATACCAAGCGCATGATGCTTTTTTAACTATGTGCCGCTACAGGTTTTAGCAGTTTATCACCTCGGTTTTGAATGGGACTATTAAAAAGGAAAGCACATGTATAGTCGAATCAAAATAGGGTTTGACCCAAAGAAATTACAACGCAAGGTATTTCAACAGTTTTCTGTAGTGCTTGACATCAGGAATAACATACTAACAAATCTAAGAAGATCAGACACACAGAAAGTTGTTATTTTCAAAATGGCGTCCAAGATGGGCGTTAAAACCCTAAAATAGCCATAAATCATGATACATCCATCATAGAGATGTGATTTTGGTGTGTATACCTAGGTTTGGGGGGTGTAGGAATCCATTCATACTACTTACAACGTGTTATGATTTTCTAAGATTTTAGCTAGTTGCTTCTCATGTCAAACACTAAGGGAAACCGTCAAAAAACCATTTGTTTGAGGTTTGGGTATTTATTTCCCTAAATTGACCAGACTCTTATGAAACAGGCACATCCAAAGCTAATGTAAGAGAGCACTGGAAGCTGCAAAGATGTTATTTGTTACAGAGCTCAGCAGATAAGAAACTGGCAATCCATAGACATTACATTATATAGTAAAGCAACACAAATAAAATGAAATAAAGTAACCAATATCATATCATCTTTACTAATTATTAAAAGATAAATAACATGGTGGTATGTATGATTGTAACTATATTGTTAATTCAATTAATTCATACAAGTATATGTATATGTTTACCACTTTAAGTTTAAGATGTGGAACATTATTATTCGATGTTGTAAATGTGTGTTATTAAAGAGTGCAGCTTATAAAAAGTCAATATCCACATTTTGATATTTGCTAATCAGCGTTTGGCTTTTGTTTAATGCTACGTGATACAAAACACATTCTCCCTAAATTTTACTTATCAGTTTCTTTGTTATGTATGATAACTAATCGAAATCTTGATACCAGAGATGGTGAGATTGACATAAGTCCTCTCCTAAATTGATGATTTGGCTTAAATAGTTTTTAATACGTAGTGTAACTGAATATGTAGAATTTAGTTTCCTATATTTTCATGAATTTAACCAATTAATACATGAGAATATATACATGGATGAAAGGATATCAAAATTACAACTTCACAAACTTGCTGTAGTACAAAATGATGCTTAATGTATGACCTACCACTAGAATTCTGGATTAACATAGATATATGTACAAGTATTCAATTATTTATTTGTGAAATCAATTTACCGTTTATGTATTTATCGTTTTAACTACATCTTTTTTCAATGTTCCGTAACAACTTCTCACTTAATTTCTTTTGGCATTCAAACTTCAAACAGAATTCAAAGTTTTGTTTAATACTCTCAAGTCTCCATTTCCTATTGGCCTCACTAAAAGACATTTTAGGTTAAATTGTCCACCTTTAATGATGTTTGAAGTTAGTTCTTCTCTATAACAATAACATGAATTGTGTATGAAGAGTACAACACATATCAATTTCGATGATGCTCTGATTTTTTTTTTCTTCCCCTTTCTTAAGTGATTTCTCGTGCAATGTCTTTGTTTGTTAACAATTAGTGTGCTGTAACAGGAAAGCAAAGAAATACATACACACAGTGTTGTATGCTCATTAGACAAAAATAAAAAATTACATAACCTTAAAAACATAATACATGTATGAGCACAGAAGCACATGCTAATGAGCTTACAAAGGTGTTACATCTTGAATGACAGATTGTGAATGTAAAAAGTAACATACAAACAAAGTGACAAAAAACAAAATACATGGTGACATCATACATGTATGATTAAAATGCATTTGTAGAAGGAAATATAACACGCTCGCAACTTTCCAAAAAGTCAATTCAAGGACATTTTATTGTATGTCTCTTAGACATCATGTTTGAAGTACGCAAAACACATAGATGATGCACAAGACCATTGAAATTGCCTTTGATTGGTGTTTGGAAAGGAGTTGCTATTGTGTTACTGTCCATGATTAGGGGAGCCTTCCAAAGTTGCGACTGTGCCGCGACGCGTCGGGGCGCAGAGCAGGATATGAGAACAAAGGAGGCGCCTTATTGCGCCCATTTGCGCCTTTTTGCGTCGGATACGAGAGGACTTCGGATGGTTCCCAGCTCATTAAAATCTGGCTATTGTTTGGAGTCTCATTGTTACGAAATTACCCCGCCGGGGCGCGCCCCGGTGAAGCACTTGACACTTGTGAATGGGAGCTTAAACTTTGAATAGCTTTCGCGCCCTTTCGCGCCCTTTCGCGCCCGGTCCGGCGCATTAGTTATTCATGTATAGTGCCTGCTTGTGTGTCGCTCTCGTCTTGAGAGATTTTACTCTGAAAAGCATTACTTTGGCTACTGATTTGTTTTAATATTATTTTACGTACATGACATTGGTTACAATGTTTGTTCTGATTGTTTATTTTCCTCTCAACATCGGAGTTCTGTAGGCGTTAACGTTGGCATCATTGTTCATTATTTCATCTCCTCCTGTTCTGTTCATGATTGTGTTCATATATTAATTTTAATACAAATTGATTTGTTCACGACAAAAACAACTTTATTTTATACTTACCCCACTCTCTCTGACATTGTTTTCCTCGTGCATGTTTTGACACTTTATTTGATTCATATTACATTAAAATTGTGTATATTTCCTCTAGCGATGTTATCGCATGTTTTGTTTTCTTTAATTTTCGTTGCATCTTGTAAACAGTTCTGTCGTATGATCATTATAAATCATATAATTATATCATCAGTCTGTTATTTCAATACATAGATCCTTTGAATCTTCTTAAAATTAGATAACGTATTTTTAAATCCCTGATGTTGAAAATGATACTTAATCAAGAATGTCGTAGTTTCTCCTTGAATTTGATTTAAAAAGCGTTTTATCTGTATTACGATTTTTGTTTATGCATATGATATCCGTATTGTCGGGAACATCATCAATATGTTTCGTTAGAAGGAAGACGCTCATTTTCAGAATGTTCTTTCTTTGCAAAACACTAATGTTACGAACAAAATTAAATACAGCTGTACCCGTATCATCGGGGATATCGCAAAACTCCCAGGGAGATTATCAATTGCAAATCAACTTAGTAAATTATGCCTAAATCGTAAGAATAGAACATGCATCAAAAAAGAAGAGCGTTACCAGGAAATAATGTTTGAAATTTCACCTAATTTCTTCTTGAGATATTATCTCAAGAAGAAATTAGTTTATCATTCTGTTCCAAAGAATTTTAACGAATATTTCTTTACGAAGAAGGGGGGGGGGGGGGTTACAGCCGCGGCCAGTTTTAGATCTAGGTCATTGTTGAGAAGAACTGAAATACGTATATATTGTGCTTAATTGGGGCCACGTGGTATCGAAAGAGCGTAGTGCGTTCTAAAACAAATAATACAAGCCATGGCAATTCGTTCAATTGCTTCTCGTAACAGAACTGTCTCACTAGCTGTCTAAATAATGATCCATCATGCGCGTGTTGGTATCAAGTAGTAGACGGAATTTATAATGATTGCGTTGTTTTGGGCCATTTTTTCTTTAGGCGGGGGGGGGGGGGGGGGGGCTAGCCCTTATTCTTCTTCTACTGAGTCATTACGAAACACAAATAGTGTTTAAATTTTCCGCAATCCCTTTAGCAGGCGCGGATCCAGGATTTCTTAGGGGAGGGCGCCCAATTTTTTTTTTTGCTCTTGAAAATGTGGAAATCGCGCCGGCCGAAAAGTCGCTTAGTTGGGGGGGGGGGGGGGGGGGGGGGGGGGGTAGTGAGCACAATTTTTTTTTTTTTTTGCTCCCGAAAATTTGAAAATCGCGCCGGCCAAAAAGTCGCTCAGGGGGGGGGGGGGGGGGGGGGGGGGTAGTGAGCACATTTTTTTTGTTGGCCCTCGAAAATTTTAAAATTTGCACCCCCCCCCCCCTTGAGCGCCAGGGGGGGGGGGGCAAACCCCAGAAAAGGTAAAAAAAAATACCCCCCCCCCCCAATGGATCCGCCACTGCCCTTCAGCGCCGAGGGTAGAAAAGCCTATAGAAAAGTCAGCTGGATAATAGCAATTTAATGTTGGTCGAACAATCAGGGAGAAATACTGGGCACACATGTACACAATATTAGCCCACGTCTTCAATATAACCAGGAAATCCCGATATAACTATTTAAGCACTTGCTCACAATATGAATTTCAAATCTGGCTATTGTTTGAAGACTTATTGTTATAAAGGGGTACTTTTCACGCACCAAAGTCCGGCTCGTCTAGTACACAAAAGTCCGGCCCGTATTGACTTTACACACCGGACTTAGGGGGCTGTTTTCAAAAGGAGGGAGCATGCATATGCGTACCCTACATAACACTCAGTTGGGGGGGGGGGCGGTGCGCTTAACGGCGAAGCGCTCTTTGTGAATTGTGAATTTGTGAATGGGAGCTTAATTTTGAAAAGCTTTCGCGCCCGTTCCAACGCATTAGTTATTCATGTAATCCCCGCGTGTGTGTCCGCTCTCGTCTTGAAAGATTTGACTCTAAAATTTTCACTTTGGCTACTGATTTGTTTCATTATTATTTTACGTACATGACATTGATTTAGATTCTTATTCTGATTGTTAATTTCCCTCCCAACATCGAAGTGTTTTAGGCATTGACGTTGGCATGATTGTTCATTTCTGTTCATCAATGTGTTCAATACTTCAATTATATTAATTTGTTCACGAACAAAACAGAAACGATATGTATAATTGTATTCTTTCTGTATGTTTTGACACATTATTGTTTCATATTGCATTATTTTGTTCCGTCATCAGATCAAAATAGGTCATATATCTATATCATCAATCTGTTCTTTCTCATGCAAGATCGATTTAAAGAATAGAAACGTAGGTTCTCTAAATCTTCGCAAAATCAGCTATTGTATTTTAACACCGTGATTTCAAAATGATACTTATAATCAAAGACATTGTAAGATTCTGCTTGAAATAAGATTATAGGGCGTTTATAAATATGTCATACGAAACGAACAAACATCTGCAAATTAAAGATATTACAGAAATGATAATCGTATTGTCGGGAGCCTGCATTATCAAAACGTTTCGGTAGATGGAAGACGCTCTTTTTCGAAATGCACTCACCAAAATTGTGCTCGAATCATAAGGAACACTGTCTCCCTGCAAAATTATAAAACTAATTTAACGAAAAAAAAACGAATATCTGCATTATCGGGGAAATCGATATACTCCCAGAGAGATTATTATTTGCAAATAAACATTGTAAATTATGTTTGAATCGTATGGGACCTTGAAGAAAGAAGGAGTGTTTATCGGACACGATATTCGTTATTTTCACCTCGAACCATTCGAAATCGCCTATATAGGTTCCAAACATGAAATTTGATTGAATATTTCTTCGCGAAGAAACTGTATTGGTGGTGGCATTTGACGTAACAATTTGTTGTCATCAATTGCTCGTGAGGTTTTGACGTTTCATAATTGTTAGCTAGCGCTAGTAAAGTCTTTTGTTTTAACGTGCACTGCATTGGTGCACTGTATTTAGTTATAAGGCCTGAACACGTCATGTTTACATTGGGTGTTATATAGCATACGGATATTATAGTACATGTAACTTTTACAAGGACATTGTTATTGCAACGCAATGACAAAAGACAGCTCTTTGAGCAGCTAATAGTTGGTGCGCCCATTGTTCCGCTCATAGGCGGCTATCACCAATTACCGGGCATTATTTGTTATTGCATCATTAGTTTTCTATTTATTTATTTAGTTTTGGGGAGGGGGATATCGTATTACGAATTCATGACCCTTATGCATAATGACCATGTTCTAAAATTACAAATAGCGGTCTTCATGAATAGTTGTCCAATGAATAGCGGTCCTTATAACTAGCGAGCGGAGCCCTCCTGACGGGCCTCTGCCATTTACGTCCGGCCGTTCACTTCGCCGCCCCCCTCCCTCACACACACACACACGCACACATAATACGCAGCCTTAATAGTGTACCTAAACAAGAATCTATAGCAAGTCGGACAATTATAGCGATCAAACGATAGCCTTGCTCGGCCGCGTGAAATCCTGCCACAGCATTCGAACTTTTCTTTTGTATTCGTTCCATAGAACTCTACTTTATCTTAAAGCTAGGTGAAATGAAAAGAGCGTCATCATGAGTAGATCTTTTGTTTGATGTTATCCTTCTTCTCGATCCCTAGTTAAGTCAAACCTCAATTTAGGCCTATCCATAAAAGGTAGCTTCCTGTACCGTTTGCTTTTTTTTTTTTTTTTTACCTGACTGCTATACATGAAGCATATGCTCTGAATTAGGCAAACAGGGGACCGGCGGCTTTAAGACCTCTCCGAACGAAATGTAATGTTGAGTTATGCCTTACCAAAGGGCACTAGCATATCGACTTGGTTTCTAACCAGGGAGCTCCCGGTTACGAGCTGCTCTGCTCTTCCACTGGGCTAAAGCGCCTCCCTCCTTTTAAAAAGATCTTTTAAAATTTGCGTTTTTTTTTTTTTTTTTTTTTTTTTTGATTAAGAATCAAAACATGTTTGGTATGTTTTTGTATCTGTGCAGTATGATTTCAAAATTTCACTTTCGCCACTTAATTATACAAATCTACGAATAAATGATTCGAATGTTAGAGCAGAAATCGATGTTTGTATTTGTGTCCCTGCCCGTTTTGCGATCATTTAGTACATATAGCGCAAAGTAGAAGTCGAATGATAAATTATCACCATGAACTGCTTAATGTTTTGTATGGCATTTCCATTTGCTGCTCAACTTTATCGCCATCAAGCTACGCTTTTTGTTTACATCTTCATGACACACATGTTTTATAATCTCGATATAGTTCCTAGACTCTTTTTTCTATTCATTCCACTTTTAAAAAGAGCTATGGAATTATTATGATTTAAAACGCATTATGAACGGGCAATTTTCGAAGGCAAATCTCTGGCGTGATATCCTGCCACAGCATTTTATGTTTTTTTCCTTTAGAGCGAACTTTTCTTTTGTATTCGCTCCATACAGAACTCTACTTTATCAAACAGCGAGGTGAAATGAAAAGAGCGTCATCTTGAGTAGATCTTTTGTTTGATGTTATCCTCCTTATCCCTAATAAGCAAACCTTCAATTTATTAGAACCAAGTCAAGGGAGGAGAAGAAGAAAAAAAGAGGATTTTACTGACAAAATATATATTCTTCCAAGCTCAGGCTGTGGCAACGCGTAGCGTGAATATGAATGACGGGAGAGAAAGATAATTCCTTTGTCCATTATTAGGACGCTAGAATAATATCGCGATGTGGGAATTATACAAATATGTTGATAATCATTCAAATTACAAACATAACAAGCGTCCTAAACAGTAATCAATTTGCCGACTATAACCGCATACATGTATTCATTCACATCATTCGCCTTTTATTTTTTTGTTGTTGGGGACAATCAAGCTCGCAATTAAACAGCCATTAATCGTACATAGTCATCTTTATTTCACATTTCATACAGTCGTCACAAAAATTAAAAGGAGGCGTATTAAACCCAACAAAAATAAAATGTGTGTTGATTGCCCCCCGAAACAAAGACGCTCCCACCAGACAAGTTCATGCTGTGCTGTAGCAATGTACATCGCAAAGCTTCCACAATGATTGGAAAGATAATACCCCGCCCGTTACGACGCAAAACGGCGCGAGAAGAATAGATCGCGACGCGAGAAGAATACATCAAGTTTTTACAAACAATGGAATGTTTATCAGAACGAGAACCGGAGGAGAGGAAGACAGGCTTTGGCCGACAAATACTTGCTATATATCAAGTTTAAGCTGTACCGCGCATCCCGAGCGAGAACAATGACGCGATAGATAATCTTCCATCGCCTGGTAGGGCGCAAAAGGGCGCAAGAAGAATAGAGCGGGTTTATACCAACAATAGACAGTTTCTTTTCATATGCAAGAATCAGATGAGGGTGACTATTGCGCCCCTTCGCGCCCCTTTGCGCCTCAATGCGTCTCTTGAGACGCGACTGTTCTATTCATCGCGCCCCGACGCGTCCGGGCACAGTCGCAACTTTGGAAGGCTCCCTTAAGGGATGCTTGTTAGTGGTATTTGGTGCTGGTGCCGTTTCTTCTCATGTTTACATAATTGTACACTCCATCTCAATTTTTCTTTTTTCTTTTTTTTTTCTTCTTTTTTAAGCAAATAGATTATTATTCAAAAATAATTTTATCATTGATAAAACGTAACAAATTTCTTGTATAATGTCAAAATCATTCACCTGAAATGTGGGTTTTTTTTTGTTTGTTTAATTGATTTTTCATACTCGCTCATTATTCTTTTACAATCTTTCAATCAATGAGCGTCAATTGATAAAAAAAATCTTTAAAAAAGCTTGGAAAAATGGTCATCTTGAGAGGTCGCTTGTGTTCAATTAAGTTGTGACATGTGATGATGAACAAATAACCGGTGTTACTTGAATGAAAAGGGAAGGGGTTTACCTGACGACGAGACCGTTTCCGTTAACGCTTCATCTAAACGGTGTGAACGCAAGGGAGAAACCAGGATGGAGGGCGTAAAACAGAATGAGGTTAGCATGGGGTATATGACTTTGGGATAGGACAATCAGGAAGGGCTACTGCGGTACTGGTTAACATGGAAAGAAGAATCTAAAATGCTTCCCATGAGGTTTAAGGATTCTCTGAAAAAAGTAACTGAATATTGTACTTTGATTTATGTGCTTTAAATAAGAAAAATATATGAGGATTCAGTTGAGAGCTTAAATAGATACAAATGAGCTTTTAAATGAAAATGAATATACCATGCTGCTCAAGAAAAGCAAGCCAGCATGCTTTTTGGGGAAGATATCACAAGATTGCACGTTTTCACAGGGAAAGATTTTGAAATGAAATCTTCACCATTGTTTAACCAATACCACCGAGTCACTAGAAAACAAAAATGGCAGTATTGCTTCGTTTTGGGTGATATATGAAAATGGAAGGAGTATAATGATTTTACTTTAAAAAGTATATGTATATATGAAGGACAATGATTACAAAATCAAATTGAAATAAATTAAATAAGGCACTGCATAATAAAAACTAAATTCTAAAACTTTGTAGAGAAGGGTATGAAATGCTCACATGAAAGCGATGTAATTTTTTCTTCAGCTACTAAAAAAACTGAAATTGAAGGGCATTCGCACACATACAAAACAGAACTTGTTTTATTTTGTATACCAAAAACTTACATTCAACAAACATTACTGGTATTGACTAATTTCTGAAACTAGTTAATTCCACTCCAATTTGTGATAGTTAGGTTCACATAAAGACCAAACATTCATAAATGCATAATTTTCCATTTGCATGACTGGGTTAAATAAACAATTACATTGATGATTTATAGATTAGATAACCAACCTTTTCTGATGCAATGAACACTTCAAAAGAACAAAAGGGAAGGTGGATGGATGCTAAATTGCATTGTAACTCAAGGTGCATATATATATTACAAATAGATGTAACCCTTCCCACAAATTCTGGAATAGTTTCTATCTTTTGTTCCCACTATGCACTTTACCTGATGAGCTGAAGGAGTTTTGAAACTCATTGTCTATCAGAATAGTCAGGTCACACATACACATGGGGGTCAAAGGTCAATCATAAGGGTGGTGATGGAGGTGGTGATGATGGTGAACATTACCCAGAGGGAGGGGTATCAGATGATGGAAGGGCAGCAAATAAAACCAAGCGAAAACCAGGAGATGAATCAGGAAACACAATGTAAAAAAATGTGATGAAAATCAATGAAAAGGGGGTCAGACAGAAAACATAAAATAAAGATGCAAATCAAATGTACTAAAGAAAAGAAAAGTAATAAAATATAAACAATGAAGAGATTTCTTAAACAGGGCTGTCAACCCTCCCGCATTTGTAAGGAGTCTCACCCACCACGCTCATTCTCCCGCCGCCCCAAAAGCTCGTAGTGGGAGACTCCCGCCACCACGCCTTCCTCCCGCTCTACCGCCAACAATGTAGAATCTCCTGGTTTTTTAAAAACACCTCCCACCAAAAATCTACCGTATACCAACAAAATGTGCTCTTAGCCCCCCCCCCCCCCCCCCCCCCCCCCCCCCCCCCCTGGCGGCTGGCTGAGTCGTTGCAGAATTTGTCCGCTTATTCAGCGGCTGGCTGGATTCGGCACTTAATATTTTCTCCAAAACAAAAATCTCCCTCCATGCAGTTTCCCAAAGTTGACAGCCCTGCTTAAACTTGTACACATATGTCAACTTCTCACAGCTCTTTATACATTGCATATTGATATATGAAAAGAAGCACTTTGTTGCAATCTTCATTTGATACATGACAAGAACAGAGCGTGACAAAGTGTTGGCTAGAACTCAGTGCAAAAAAAAATTATGAGATATAGCATTTTCTCTAAGCGCAATGTAGCTTTGAAGCAAATAAGTGTGAAACTTTTTTTATACCATGGAACTGCTGAAAGAGAAGAGTGAATGAGGGGCTAGACTTAGGGAAGATGATATACTTATATTTCATGGGGATGTTTTCCCCCAAAAAAAATCCTTTGCAATGGGGAACATATCGTTTATGGTGGCAGTGCTTTTGTGCAGTGGATACCATAATAATGTTAATTATTTGGGGAAATGGCATATGGAAACAAAATTTCAATGAATATACAGTATTTGCAAACAGTCATTTAATCGGGTAATTGCACTGATTTGAGGTATGGTAGCATTTACAAAATATCACTATATTCTTTTCTGCAATGAAACATGTCCATCAATGAATATTTGAAATACATTTTGTCTAGAACTTAAATGATCTATCATGAATTGGAAAGCAAACAAAATAGTGCACTTACAGGTGATACAGACAAGATTTGATGTTTATACAAAAATATACCGGTATATCGAATTTGAGCATTTGACTTGTAACATTCCAGTGTAAAAAAAAAAATGTCTACATACACATTCATGTACTAACAACCAAAACAAAAATTACATGTAAACGTATAACAAACTGGCATCATTATTCTCTGCAAAGAAAAACAATAGCATTCTCTTTGAATCAGCAAAAAAACAGTAGTTACCCAAGGCACCATAGTAGGTCCTGTTCTATTTAAGTTACTATTGCTGTGGTTACTTACCTGCCCTGCTTGGTGAGATGCGATTACCATTCTGGTCGTACCAGATGGGGAGAGGAGCATCCAGGCCTTCACTTTCGCACAGGAAACTTACACTGTCGCCAATAGAGGGCGTCAGATCCTGGCCAGGCGTTATTGTGACGTTGTAGAAAACTTCCACTAGTGAATAATAAAAAAAAAATGTAAACAATAAGATTGAACCTATCCCTCCGTGTAGTCCAAATGCAAGATTAATAATACAGTCAAACCTGTCTACAGCGACCACCCAAGGGAAACACATAAAGTTGTCTTTGTAGACAGGTGGTCTTTGAGGACACGTTCATTTAGTACATTTTTCAATGAGAAACCATTTTCAAGGGAAACAAAAAATGCGCTTGTTGTAGACAGGCGGTCTTTGTAGACAGGTGGTCACTAAAGCAGGTTTGACTGTACTACATTGAGGCTATGGTATTCTACATATGCAAAACAACTTCTAAAGATCATCCCTATGGTTGAAGCAACTGGAACAAGTTTGCAGCAATTATCTTTGCCTCATTCATCTTCTTCAATAGTTTTTATGACAACATTTATAATAATACAAAACAACTGCTATAGATCATTGCTATGGTTCAGGCATCTGAACAAGTTTGCAGCATTTATTTATGCCTCATTCATCTCCTTTTATAGTTTTTATGACAACAGTTATAATAATAATATATGAGATTTATATAGCGCCATTATCCATCCTAATTAAATCCTAAGTAAAAGATGAAAATGATTACAGGCATCGTGGTGTACAATACTAACAACAGAAGTTGATGATGACCATCATCATCATTCACATTGTAGTGGTCAAGCAGATCATATATTTTACCACCACTGTGATTCTGATTTGATCTTACCTTCTATTTCACAGAATTCTCCCTCAAATCCTTGCTTGCACACACATTGACTTCTCACACAGTTTCCTCTGTTCTGACACGGTTGCTCACATGTTGATGCTGAAAATATACATCAAACAATAAAATGTTGTGAATGAGACAACTGAAGACACATCATCGTCATCAGCGTTTAGAGTCCATTTTTCCCACTTAGTGGGGTTGGAAATTTCATTTCCTAAATGGCTGCTTTCCAAGCGTTTCTGTCTGGGGGATTCATATGAATGATAACAGATGTTTTGGCATCTTCTTCTATGGTATCCCTCGTAGTTTTCCTGGGTCTCTCGCGAGGTCTTCTTCCAGTGACCGGAGAGTTTAGAGCCGTCTAGAGCCAGTGTGCTGCCTCTCTTCTCGCCACATGTCGAAACCATCTAAATCTCTTTATCCACAATTATTAAAATTCCTGTAACCTCCACTTATGTATGTTACCTTTATATCCAAAAAAAGATGCAAGCTGGAATTCTCTTTACTAAAATAAAAATAGTTCATTGGTTATTTGAGAAGTAAATTTGGAAAAAGAGGTTCCTGCTACATGATCAAAGGATTCACATCATCATTGAGAATGGCAGTGATGCTCACTTAAAAGGGGCCTGAAAGCTTATTTAGATGCTACACACTTGAAGTACATAAATATGGATCTTATTCCTGTTTTCTTAGCATCCCACCTCAAATACACATCACTTTAATATATATAACAAAGACCTTTTATGTCTTTTCCATTTGATGAATGAAAAACATCCTTCTTTCCATTATGATATCATCTGTTGAGAGCCAAACTCTCATCATTCTATACAGAGTAACCAACCTCCCGGTACTCAACAGAAAACATTCACAAGTCAAAGTATAATAATCTGGATTTATATTGCACATTACATGAAATACTGTCTTTAAGCACTTTACAGATAGTATTACCCCGGTCATTGGATTCTTACCCGCACAATGTACACCATATCCACTCCTTGGGGAGTATTCCTACCCTATGGTCATCATGAGGGCAAACGCAATTAAACACAAAAGCGTTGTTCCCATTTCTCTCTTGGTTATTGAGTGGCAAATGTAGATTAATGCCTTGCCAAAGGACATTTGTGCCATGTCAGGATCGAACCCACACCCTATGAATTTCAAGTCAAGTGCTCAAACCACTTGACCACCACACCACTAATAAGTATAATCATCTTACGGGGTATGTTGAGAGGATACAGGCTAGTCAGCGGTCCAGCGGTGCAGGCGTACATTCCAGCATTCTCTTCAGACACACTGGTGAGGGTCAACTGCGTCATCAAAGGTGTCAGCTGTACAGCATGGATGGGTGGCCGCAATGGATCTAATGTACAAGAAAAGAGCAGAATGGCAAATATGTCATTGACGTTGTAAATCAAAATTTCATTGCAGTCGAGACATGTTTGTAAAACTGCAAGATGCCAGCAAAATTATCAATTCCCCGCAAACCTAGTTAATAGTGTATCAAATATGAATAGCTCATTTAGAAGAAAACAATTAAGTCCTTTTGTGTGTAGAGGCATATTTGGAAGGTTGTTTGCCATTACATTGCAGTAACATTACTTCAAGAAATTATTCAATTTAAAATTTGAAAAAAACCCACAAATTTCCAGTTGTTTGTGAAAAATTATTCAGATTTTCACTGCAGCATTTTTTCTGATTCATTCAAAGAAATTTGCTTGAAGGTTCAGATTTACTTTTAAAGCATAACATACACAGATTGTTGACAAGGAAGAGCTAATCATGTATTACATGCTACATGGGATTGATGTTAAGTGTGCTAAAGTGTTAGAGTAAAGGTTTAAAGACACCCTACCAAAGAGGGTTAAATACATGGAAGCGTTCAGCATTTCCTAAAAGTTACATTTCCTTGAGATTGGTGTAGTTTACAAAGTGTTAGTGTAAAAGTTTAGTGCGATGAAGATGTACAAATCTCTTACCTAAAGTGTTGACGACAGGGAACACCTCATCGTTAGGTCCATGCCACCTGGGGTTGGTGTAGAGAGGATTAGGGCTGACCTGGCACAAGAAGGTGATCCCTTCACCAAGATCAGGATCACGATTTAGGGAGGAGGTGATGGTGATGTTCACACTGATTCCTTCTGGACCAACTGGAAGAGGAAATAAATACTTTGTTGTATAATGGAATTTAGCTTTCATGTCTCCAATCCAATTAGTAGACTAAACCTCCTTCTGGATTTCAACTGACTACAAGGGCAGGACCTTGTAGCTATTCCACTGAGAGCCAAATGCATATTACATGTATTTCGGTATTAAAACATATGCTCTAATTTCTTTCTGGCTCTGAGTGAACAAAATGAATGGGAAAAGACTGGTAGGGAGAGAGAATGGTAAACAGAGTAAACAGAGACCTACAACCAACACATCTTGTGCAACCTAGATAAGGTACATGTAATTGAAAATTCATGTATCTAGATGCATTGGTTCATAGAGAGGAAGAGATAAAGAGAGAGAGAGAGACCTTTTATCTTAGATGTAATACATACATGCATGTTTGATGTATATTTATGCCAGAACTATATTAGGTTAACTTAAAACCAGTTATTAGGTTACCTTTTTATCTGTCCCTGGCATTCCAGTGGTTGCATTATTAATAGTTGTATGATTATCTCATCTTTTCTGATTTGTTATGTATTTCTACAATCTCAGTTGAAAGTATGGCAACAATTTCCCACCTGGTATTTCACAAGACATCCCTGCAAATCCTATGGGGCATAGACAGGCTCCGTTAGCACATGTTCCTCCATTAGTGCAGATATCCTCACACTCTCCACCTGTTAGCAGTAAAATTATGGTGATCATCAGATGTCATGAAAGGTTATTATTATTATTGTTATTTTCATTATTATTACTAAAATGACTACTACTACTACTACAACTTCTACTACTACTGCTAAACTACTACTACTACTGATACTACAAGTACTGTTGCTACTACTACTACTGCTACTACAGCTACTACTACTATTCTACTACTACTATTCCTGCTCCTACTAATACTTCTACCACTACTACTACTACTATTTTTTTTCTACTACTACTACTACTACTACTTCTACTACTACTGCTAAACTACTACTACTACTGATACTACAAGTACTGTTGCTACTACTACTACTGCTACTACAGCTACTACTACTATTCTACTACTACTATTCCTTCTCCTACTAATACTTCTACCACTACTACTACTACTACTTTTTTTCTACTACTACTACTGCTGCTAGATATTGAACCACAAACCACATGGAACAGGGTAATAAAGGAGACAGACAGTCAAAACACCTAATTACTTTTGAGAGTCAGTAATGCTTATTTTCAACTCATTCAATTCTATTTGTGAACAGCACAATACATTACAATAGGAACTATCTCTCACTTGGCAGTGATTTCTGCTCTTCTTGCTCATGTAATATGAATGATGTATATAATCTAAAAGATTGTTCACTGTTCATGCACTATTCATTTATTTCCTAATTCTTCATTTTTTTCTTTACTTATTTTTCTTTCTCACATATTTTTAACATATATGAATACTGACCATCAAATATCTCAAATTTTACTAAAATAAAGACAATGGAACACAGGTCTGTTAACCCGCTAGCTACTGAGATCTCTCATTCCTTGGGCATAATACAGGAACTCTGTAGTTCTCATTTTCAATTTGTTAAACTGCACTTACTCCTTGGAATGATGACAAAAGCAGATTCTATGGGTCCAACCCTACAGGTGTACTCTCCCGCGTCTTCTACCTGCAGTTCATTAATGCTGAGACGGTTGGACTTCCTGGCGGTACGGGTATTGATGTGTTTGTTCCCTCCTGTGATATTATTGGAAATAATTCACAAAAGTGAGTCGAGAAAAAGGAAGTATCAGATAATTTTGCTTTAGTAGATGTATACACTCTACAGGTCACAGATCCGTGACTGGCATATCTGCCTGTAACTAAACAAAGAAATAAAAGACAGGGTCTTACCTCCAAAAAGAATCCTCTAGGTCAAGAGCTTCAACTGAGCACCACAGAGCTCACGATAGACATTTCCTAGACACTTTGCAAGAACTGTAACTTTTTCATTAAAGATTCAATTTTCTGAAATTTTCAATCCATTTTTGGCGTCAACATTGTTCTTGTGTTCCATGTGTTAATCATTGCTGTATCACAAGGCAATGAAGTGTTAGGACAAAATAATATTAAATAAACGGCATTATCCATTACTTTGCAATCCAACTTAACCATGTTAATTATCCCTGTTAATTCATGAGTATCCTATGGGTTGTCATGAATTGATAATTTTGAGGTCAAAGTTGATGTCAAAGGTTACCACTCCTTTACCTTTTCCAGTACCCCTGATGAGTTCTCCATCAGGACCGAACCACTGGGGATTGATCTCGTTGGTGTTGCCTCGGATCTCACACAGGACCTTGGTGTTAATTCCCACCAGAAACTGTGGGTTACGCTGGACTCGGATTCGAAGCTGGTAGTCATCACCATCTAGTGATGAACATACAAATATAGAGAGGTAAAGTGACCCATCAAAAACATATTTTGGGTTGATGGTTTATTTTACCTAACTGTTAAGAAAGCATTTGTATACTTGTAAGTAAGCAGCCAGGGGACCGACAGCTTTAAGGACTCTCCAAGGGTAATAACTTGGTAATGAGGATTAATGCCTTACCAAAGGGCACTAGCGCATCAACTTGGTTTCAAACCCGGGACCTCCCGGTTACGAGACCACTGCTCTACCAACTGAGCCATCATGTCTCCTCTGTGTGCATGCAGTACAATCTGATACATCTTCTCGCAATATAAAACTGTCGACATCTATATACCAAAAAACCCCATTTGCCTAATTTGCCTCTTGATGAGAATTGATTAACAAGAATATAAAATATTCTTATAAAAATATCAACAAACACCTCTGGACCATATAGCTCTTTATGTGAACATCTAATACTGCAGATATGGTAACAACGTAATAACAACGATGTGGGGAGGAAAATAAGCATAATGACAAATTACTTAGCTTTCTATTTCATGTAAGTGCCCACTTTAAAACTTACTGATATTTTGGCAGAAACCACCATCGAAACCATCTGCACATCTGCAACTCCCCTCCACGCATGTTCCTCCATTAGAACAAGGAACAAGACATTCAGGTCCTGAAAAACATAAACAAGAAGATGTGACAATGTATGCATAGTAATTATCCTGTATAAAGAATGTCTTTAAAATTGTACCTGGATAGAATCTAGGAACATAGAATCCTACAAATGCATGATATCTATTCCGGCCTCTGCCAAATAATAGTAACCACTAATGTTAATAACCAGAATAAGGGTTTTAAATGAGAAAAAGGAATCAACAGTAAAATGTTTATGGTATTTATACCAAACTATTTTCTCCAGAATTCTTTTTTTTTCAATTATGTAGGTTCAACTGATACACATTTAATTTGTCTTAGTTATGTCATAGTAAAATACAACACAAGTTGTAATGATATCCAGAGGCAAAGCTTCTGATTATCTTCAGAAATTCTGTATATCTATAGATTAATGGATAAACAAAAATAAAACATCAACAGCGGCTGGTAATAGACTACCATAATACCTGATACGGAGAGTAGATAATCAGCTCTGTTCATGCCCACCACGCAGCTGTAACGTCCAGCATCTCCAGACTCTGCCGATACAATGGTCAAGGCTGTCTCGGTGTTAGATTGGACATCAGAGAAGATTCGCTGACCAGCTGGAAAGAAATTAGTGAAAACGACTGTGAAAAGGATGGTGATGACTAAGAAAAAGAAATTCTTATCCCAATTTTCTTGAAATGAATGAGGGTCACATTCAAAACAAACTAAGCATGCACAAAACAATGTATATAACCTAATTATAACACTATAGAAAGAAAGTTGAAATTGTTTTCTAGCAGTAAATCGTTTATCAGGTCTCTACCAAATAGTAGAATTTGTTATGATGTTTCCTTCCTCTGACACTCCGCAGATCAATGCGACAACATGACACACACTTAACTACCCACGCCCGAACCTACACAACACCACAGATAATACACACAACACCGTCCACACACAAACCCATCCACACCTTACCCACATAACCCCATAGATAATTATACCACTGTAGACTGCTTACTCTGTATTCCGGCAATGGGTTGGTTGTCAGGTCCCAGCCATGTTGGTATTCCCTGTCCTTCCTGAGACACTCGACAGATCAAGGTCAGATCATCACCAATCTCTGGTTTCTCTCTAGGAGGTCCTTGGATCTCAATGGAGAAGGGTCTCTTTACTGAAACATACAAAAATAAACCACAATAAACAATAATGTCTACAATATGTACAATACTTTCAGACTATTGCCCAAACAATATGAAGCTTAATCTATGACAGAAGTCTGAAACAGCTTAGATAAACTGCAGCAGGCATGACATACAAAGAAATGTTTCACTAATGATGTAACGGATATCTTACTCTCCTTAACTCATGATAATACAATAAAATCAAAGTTGCATATGTTATCACATTTATAATAATGTCATGCAAAAAATATCAAAATAAAATTAGAAAGACAGAAATAGAAAGATAGAAATAGAACTATAGAAGTAAAAAGATATGAATACAAATAAGCCTTAAGAAATCTGAAACATATGGACAAAATTTGTTGTGATGAATTGATTATATTGGAAGTGAACCTCACCTCCAATTTGACAGAAGCTTCCATGGAATTCGTCTGGGCATTCACACGCACCCCTCACACAGGTCCCTTCATTAATACAAGGTTGACTGCAGTGCGCAGCTGAAATGAACATAAAATTTACATTTATATGATCTGTCATATCACAACATCTGTTAGTGTCAGCCCTAGAGATGCATCATTCAGGAACGAAACTGTACAAATAATCTACTGATTTATTATTACTTCATCTAACTTAGGCGAGGCGTCAAAAATATCGATACCAGCAGGCTGCCGCCTCACGTATTGGCGCATCGAGGCTGCAATTACGGCCGAAGCCTGGCTGGGGCAATTATTTTTCACTTATTAGCCCAGCCGGCTTGCGCCAGGCTGGGATCTGAGGCTCGGTTTCCTTTCGAAAGGCGGCAGCCGGCGTATGCTTTTGTTCGGAGACCATTATGATGACATCATGAGTTAATTGAGGGTCCTACCGCCAGCGGTAGCCGGCTGAGCTAATTTAAAAAATGCAGCCAGGACGCACAAGTGCAGTTAGCTGCCGCTGGCTGGTATATTTATTTTTGACGCCTCGCCTTATTCAATATTAACAAATTAAAAGAACATGTGTAGGTAAGGATGAATGTTCTGCACAAAGACTTGATAAATATTGATCTAAATGTAACCAGATGCTCTTTATGACAAATTGAACAATAACCGAAAGGCTTCCTTACATATTTATGTGTACATTTCCAGGACTTCTATCTGTACTTTATTTCTGTGTGTGTAATTCTAGTGGATTTCCTACATGTTTACCGGAACCCTGTTTGTAGTTCCAAAGAGCTCCAATATATTCACCTGAAGGTCTTAAATAAAATTCCCTATGGATATTGATAATGTTTCCTTTTTTAAATAAAACAATTTTCGCTATAAACAGGATAATTTTGATGAACTTACGCTGAACTTGAACAGAGAATTCTGTAGTGACTGGTCCCACATTGCAGACGTATGGCCCAGAGTCTGTAGGTAGTAGTTCATTGATAACCAGACGAGTAGCCTTACGGTCCAGAGCTACAATCGTGTAGTGAGAATCTCCACCTGCAAATAAATGACAGATAATTAGTACAAACTAAATTCAGAATTCTGGGTCATATTCTTTGCAAGGATGGGAGAAACTTTGGATAATCACAACTTCATTTGAATAACAAGACTTCAACTCATTTATTTGCAATGCAGTAGTCATCGGATGAGCATTGGTATTCTAACTCTTTACTGGCTTTACTCCACTAATGAAACAAACAGTGGTCCACCACAGTCAAATTTTCTCTCTCCCTCTCTACCTCTTTCTCACACACACACACACACACACAATTATACACAAGATAATGCAGTCAAGGTGCAAGTCTATGGTTTCCATCCATAATAAAGCAAACAGTTGTCTGCCACAGTCAATTCTTCTCTCTCTCTCTCCATCTTTCTCTCGCACACACACACACACCCACACAATGAGATATATACGATATACTTAATGTGGAGGTCTAGGGTTTCCATCTATACAAGAGTTATAAACATCATAAAATATAACATTTAAGAAGTAAATATGTAACTAGATACATACAGCGTGATTTCATAAAACACGTTCTACATACATGTAGATAGCAACTTGAGACAGCTTAGGCACAACCGTCAACAGTTTAAAATACAATTGATAGTTTCTATTAAATCCAAAAGCAGTGGTTTAAGCTGTGAATATCAGTAACAAATACAGTTAAACCCTTCTCTACCACTACGTTTATTAACACAATCCAGAAAAGAACATACTTGGGTCTATGATGTTGCCCTGTGGGTCATACCAGACTGGGTTCTGGTAGGGTGCTGTGTGGTCCACTTCACATACAAAGCTTACACTGTCACCAGTCTGGGGCAAGGCTGGACGAGTCTGGTCAATCGATATCACAAAATCTGGAAAGAAAATTACATGAATGCTTTGATAGATGTAGAATATTATATTATATCACAAAGTACCCATCTGGGGCAGGGCTATGGATACTTTCTACTCTCAACTTTAGGGAAGTCAAACAGTAATATGGATGGTATCAATAAAACTTGTAAAAGGTTCTTAAATATACACAATATTTTTTTAGTTCTTAATATCTTTTAATGTGCTCCCTCCACACAATATACTTCATGGAGACAAGGAGTCATGTTAAGGTATTAATGCTGAGTACATAACATGTACTTGGTGTTCTTCACTGGTCTCAAGTGAGTATGTTCCAGTGTAAAGTATTCCTGTTGAAAGCATGTAACTTACTTGGTGTCTCACACCGTTCTCCTAAGAAGCCTGGTAAGCATTCACAAGCCCCCTCCACACAACGTCCTCCATACAGACAAGGATGCTCACATGACAAGGCTGAAGAAAAACAAAACAAGAATTATTCTCTTATCTTACTGTCACTAGAGAGAACAATATGCTGAAGTGCTAAGAATAAAAAATAAAATTAAGTTTCCTTGATCTACCATTAGTAAGGCTGGTTTCTCTGTTGATTTATCAATTCTTCACTCCTTCAGTCTTGGGATAGGAACGTGGATGTTCCTAATGGTAATATTTTCTGCTATACAGTATTAACCTGTTGGACAATCACAATGTACCTACATGAACATGACATTTGCCATTTCACGAGACCTTCTATTGACAAAAAGAGACACATTTTACTAAAAATACACAAATTCGTAAATCTCAACCGCCTCTCCAACAGTTTCAAAGACATAAGAGAATCTTCAACATTGCAACAATGTATTGTAAATGCATATTTACTAGTGGAGGACATCTGCTAGGTATTCTGGGAATTAATTTTGTTGACTATGCCACTCTTTTGACTTACGATTGACAAGGATAGTGAATCGTTGGTCTACTGGTCCTACAGTGCAGACATACATCCCAGCATCAATCAGGCGGAGATCGTTGATGAAAAGGCGAGTTGCAAATGGAGACAGGTTCTCGGTGTACATGTGGTCAATTCCACCTGCAGAAATAAGACAGAAATTCACATTAATAAAGTTTTGATAGAGGTAAAAATTGTTTGTAAAACTCTATTTTAGCTCATAGATAGTAAGATATCAATCATTCTAAGCTCGTTTGAACAATATTAATAAGATATGACAAAATATCATATCATATAAATCTCTGGCTGAAAATGACTGTCTTTTCCTTCTTCGCATCAAACTACACAACTTTGTTGTGATATCTATTCCAACTTACATGTGAGGTTTCTCAGGCGGAATTTAGCAATGTAAAAAAAGAATGTAAAATCAAAATTTATAATTAATTATGAAAAGAATTTGTTGATCGCAATGAAAGGCATACTGACATATTTTCTTTACTTGTGTTGTCACTCAAGAAAAGCTTCTTGACCCCACTGACATTACCTTCTCCGATAGGATTGATGACGTCGCCCTCTCTGTTCCTCCAGACCGGTTTGCCGTAAGGATTGTCACGTGCCACCTCACACAGATATGATTGGTTCTGACCAACCACTGGTACCTGACCAGTAGGCTCACTCACCAAGATGAAAGTATTATCTGAGAAGACATATCAATAAATTGACAGTTAGCCCCAGTCCATACAAGTCAACTGATGTAATGCTAAGCATGGAATTTTTTTAACCCATAACAATCGGCGTGTACGTGTACCCCCTTTTAAACCGACTCTGTAACATTGCCTCAGATTCTGAAACAAAATCCTGGATTTAGCTCATGCTGCAATGATAATTATAAACCTTTAGGTCAGTCAGGAACCCCATGACTTTTTCAAGCCAATTGCTGTCTGATTATCAAGATATCTATAATTGGAATTAGAAATTTCAGAATTTCTTTTTGTAACAGTTTTAATAACACTACAGTCTATTGGGGAAAATGAATATGGTAAAACCGGTTACTCAATTATTTTTACTTTTTGAGGCATTTGATGATCATTTAGAAGCTATTTTTTTTTAGGGCTTCTATATTACACCATATAACAGACACTGATAACACGTAGGGCCATGCGTCTCAGATTTAACATTGTTTAACAATGCCTTTAAAGAAAATCAAACATCGGCACTGACAAGTCTCATGTTCTAAAAATGTATGAAGATAAAAGATTATTTAGAAGGTGAATCCGTTTTTATCATGATATCAAAATGCATGGATATAAAATGCATGAAACAGGTATAGTGAATTTTATTAAAACAAAAAGAATAAAGAATGAATCTTACCAGGAATATTGCACTGCATACCAACTAACCCTACAGGGCATTCACATCTCCCATCAATGCATTCTCCATGTAAACATTCCGGGTTGCAATCAGGATCTGTATTAAATCAATTAATAACAAACTGATTAAATAGCTTTCTTTTTAATATTTTCAAGAGATGATCTATTTACTGGTTTCTTGTTATTCACCTAGCATAATCTTACAATTCAATAACTATGATCAGTTGGCAAGATACTTCAGAAGTCAACGAGCCTTTCAACAAATTCTGGAAATAGTACATACACTTTTTGACTACCTGTACAATACAAGACAACCTAATAACCATTTATTTTGACTGAGAACAAAAATACATATAAAAACCAACTTCTCATCAGTATGTGTCGTTATTCTTGTTTTATCCCAACCTAGTATATACAAATATCCCCTGCAAGCGTTTTCTTAGACTATAGAGCTAAATGATAATGTAATGTTACCTTCAAATGTGACGTTGTGACCATATGTGAATGGCCCTACACTGCAAGCATACTCGCCAGAATCCTCAGATTCAGCAAACTCAAAGTTAAGTTGAGTGGCATAGGATGAGATCTCCTTGGTAAAGACTCTGCTATTGTTTCCTAAAAGATAAATTGATAAATAATTAGATCCATGGATTAATCCTCGTATGATTGCTTCACAGCCCCCCCAAAAATATATATATTATTTTGATATACACATTACAATCGTGATGACCATTAAGTCTCAACACAATGTCAGACCTCACATTAACAGGCAAGAGTTAACAGGTTCCTCGCACAGAACAGGTTAATCTTGTTAAAATGTGGGATGTATAAACTAAGATGAACATCCCACTACACTGTTTTGTAAAAACTTTATAACAGCTTAGTTTTTATTCAGTGGGTGATTATTTCATAGCTTTAACACAATCTCTAGTATAAAAAGAGACAAATATGCAAGAATGTGTCTTTAGCTAAAGAGGCATCAGTCTATCGAATCATACAAAGGATCTTCTCTTCTCCCCATAAAATACCACTTTATAGTATCAGACAATGTACCTTGTTTATCTCTATTCATAATACCAATAGTCCTTTGATTTTTTCAAAGAAACTTCAATTTCACCACCTTCTGACCTAGAACATAGCCTGACGGGCATTAACTCACATCCTTAATATATTGAGTATATGAACAACTTTACCTTTGGATATCATACAGTTTACTTCTAAATTGTTTGTACTTGTTGTAAATTTAATTCATTTTTAAATGTTTTTTCATGTTTTTTTGTAGCTCAAGAATGAAAGTTGGACTGGTTGCATTAGGACCCTTGTTGAATACTTATAGATGTACCGGTAAGCTTTATTATCTAGGATTTTCAAGTAACATAAATTGGGACAAATCTATTTTTCACATACCTAAGAAATTAAAAAACTTGGTAATGGTATGAATAATTTAATTATTAATTGTACATCACAAGTACCTTGTCCATAGGGCAAGACTGGCTGACCGCTTGATTCCAGCCATTGGGGTGGGTCATAGGAGCTGCTTTCAGGAACCTCACACAAGAATGTTGCATTACCTCCGACCTCTGACCTTTGACCTTGAGGTACACTGATCACAATGAAGTCTTCAGCTGGACAGGTACAAGGGGGAAAGGTTAGTAGTAAAATAGTGTGGAGAAATGACGGAAAGATCAGTGTTACAAGCATTTTTTAAAAGGAGAGATTAACACAATTATCACATTGTAAGAAGAGATTTTGATTCTCTTTCATCCTCCTGTTTCAAACCTTAAATCTTACAAAATCAAGGTAACAGATATCAATTTGTGTGAATACTAAGGATATCATGACAGAATATCAAATGATGAAGTGCTTGGTATAGCATCTGTTGATAAATTCTTTGTTGATAAGTATTCTAAAGATAAGCCAGCTTGTCTGCCGCCGACAAGAAGGCGGTAAGGACTATTTTTTTGTAACTGATTTTTTAGAAGAATATTTAAGCATTCTAAAATGAGAAATATCAGCCCACAAAGGGAAAAAGAAGAAGAATTTTTTTTTTTTTTTTTTTTTAAAAGCTCAGACCGACCGACCCATGTTTTGGCATCTAAAGGGCAATACAACATCTTTTTTTAGGCCTTATCGACGACGGCAGACAGTTTGCAGGACATCAAATGAGAACGAGAAGCGATTGGCCAGAACAAATTGAGTGAAGAAGAAACAGAGGGAGACTAAATATGAAATGCTGAGAACCAGTCAATGGGTTGAATGGTCACAGTAATAAATTCAAAACTCAAACTCAAGTAGTATCAGCACATTAGAAATAATCAGATAACACAGATGTCTGCAAATCAAGCTGGCCTTACCTTGTCTGGAGCATGAAGGTCCATTGAAACCTTCAGGGCATTGGCATTCTCCATCATTACAGGTTCCTCCATTTACACAGGGTGGGTTGCATTCTATCTCTGTTCAAGGAGGACAAGAAAATCCCATAAACATTTTCATGTAATTCTAAAGTTCTGACAAACATACTCCTACGATAACTGCACTGCATACAATATGAACACTGACCATATTCCTATCCGAGTGGCTTATACTCTTTATAACCCTAATCATAAAAATAACATATAAAACCAAATAGCAACTATAACCTGTACCCTGTACCTTCGACAAAATATGGCCACAGCAATATGCTCATCCTCACTTAAGTTAACCTGTTCTTACAAAGTTACCATGCAGGTCTAACTCTTCACTTTTGACCATTATTACATCCAGTAATTGATGCAGATGTTCTTTCCTCTCTGCACACAGCATGTGTCATCAGCGTAGCCCAAATTATTCATGTTTACACCTCCAACACTGACATCCTTCATATCTGTAAATTTCCCTGAAATTCAACTCTGATCGCAGGTTGTACAAAAGTGGGGACATTACACACCCTTGACGTATTCCTCTTTTGATTTATGTGAAGCCTGTAATTTCATTGTTGATTTGACGGCAGCTGTTTGCTCCGAGTAAAGTTTGAAGATGAGATGTATCATTAAAATATTCCCTAACAAAAGTTAAAGGCATCAATAGTTAAATAAGCATAACAACCTCATTTCACATCACTATCATCATCATCACCATCGTCTACTACCATCAGCGTCATCATAATCAATGCTACCACCACTGCTACCACTTTGCCCATCATAATAACAATTACCAACAACACCATCACCATGGACACCACCATTATCTCTTCAGCCAAACACAGCCTCAACTAACACTACCATCACCACAAATCTTTAATACTAACCAGCATAGTTAACATTGATGTACTTCACGTCCGACCCTCCAGTGCAGTAGTAAACGCCAAGATCAGTCTCTCTCAGGTTTCTAATCACAAGCTCTGAACTCATGTTGTTCAAAACATTCACAAAGACATTGCTCACATCTGTAAAAAAAGAATTATAGACATAATGAATTACAAAAAGTTTCTTTTGGAAGGCAATTTCATATAAATTTAAATAAGTCTATTATAGGTTACTGTAAAGTAGAAACTGTCGAAAGTAAGGAATTGCATTCCACAAGATGTAAGAATAACCAAAGTTTCACATCATAAAATTCTTGAGTATCAACATTGAATTTTTGCATTTCACACAGAGGTCTCTTACTCCCAAATTGAGCAGGGATGAGTTGTCCATTGCGGAACCATTGAGGACGCTGCACAAAATGATCTCCCTCCTGGACCTCGCACAAGTATCTGACCTCTGACCCAGGTATCGACTGAAGCTCGGGGTCAAGGGTGATCGAGATGTAGCCATTAGCTGAAAGAATGAAAATAATGTTGGATGGACATCAACTCTTTTTTTTAATACATGAAAAGTGAAAGTGTATAGAGAAATTCTGTTATTGAAACCTGAAAACAGAACCATACATTGCATCTATGAAAGATTACATGTCAAGTGACCATAGTTAGACCATTCATATATGAGAAAATAGAAACAATATTGCACATTGAACACAGAAGGAGTGACAACAGCAATTCCTGACAAATTTCAGTCTATCAAGGCGAAATTAATCCCTGTGAGAAATGAAAATATTACATATGACAATTTAACTTCCTATTGTTTTATTATCCAATAGGTAGCTTAGCGAAATGTAGTGGCACGAAAAGACATATTTCCAACAATTATGCATTTTGTGTTCTAAATGCATCTTTCTCCTGCCACCACATTATTCTATTAAAACATTCTTCGGAAGCTTTGTATGAAATTGTGTAGCAGTGTGAACATTCTCATTACTTACCAGGTACTTTGCATTCTGTGCCAAGCCAGTCTGATGTGCACTGACAGACCCCGTTCACACAATCCCCACCGTTCCGACACACAGGAAGACAGTCTGGTTCTGTGCAGACAAGAAAGGGAAAAGGAAAAAGTAAAAAAGGAAATTAAGAACTCTAAAATACTGTTTTAAATAAATAAGTCCAATGTAAGTGCTTCATAATTCTCTCTTTTTGTTACACATTTCCATTTTTAGTTCTCCATATATCACCTTATCTCCTCCTCTGTTTCACCAACCTCCTCCCCCCTCCCTCCCTATCTCTCCCTCTCCCTTCCTCTACCTCCCTTTCTCTCCCTCTCCCTTTACCTCCCTATCTCTCCCTCTCCCTCCCTTTCTCTCCCCCTCTTTCCATTACAGTTCTTTAAACATACCTTCTCCGGCTACCAGTACCATGGTAGTTTCTTGGAATGGACCCACTGCACACGTGTATTCTCCTGAGTCAAAGGCTTGTGCGTTGTACATAATGAGTTCAGTCATCAAATGGGTGTGATGATATGTGCCAATGGCCTCATCCAGTGTACCTACAGATAAAATAAATTACAATTTTATTGATATAGATAACTTCTGGAAATATTTTTTATCTCTCTCTTTCTCTCTCTACGTACTTTCTTCCCTTTAGTTGTTTGTACAAGTTTATATCTGTACTAAGATGTGGCCTCTCTCTCTCTCCCTCTCAGATTGAGGTCATTACAGTCCATCAGAACACTATGTTATATCCATTCTCATAGGAAAAGATTAACATATGAAAATCAAAGGCAAACCTTCCGATAGTTTTGCAACCTGTGCATCTAACCACAAAGGACTGCCATAGGTATCTGACCTGACATACGAGCCAAAGGTCATCACTGGCCATCATATCTATACTCTCTGTTCCATCATTACCAAGATCCACAATTAACAAAGTCAGCCTTCTTTTTCTAAAGAATGTATCTCATTCAATTAAAACTTACATCATAGGAAAAGATTAACAAAACAAAATCTAAGGCATACCTTCAGATACTTTGTCTCCCTGCGCATCCAACCACATAGGACCCCCATAGGTATCTGACCTGACGAGCCAAAGGTCATTACCTGCTATCGTAACAATACTCTCTGTTCTATCAATTCCAAGATCCACAACTAACAGGCAAACTATGCCTTTTTGTTTGTCATGAATATATCTCATTTAATAAAAACTTACATCACAGGAAAAGATTAACAAAACAAAAAATCTAGGGCATACCTTCAGAAACTTTGTCTCCCTTCGCATCTAGCCACATAGGACTGCCGTAGGTATGATCATCGCTCACTTGACATATAGGAAAAGATTAACCCTTTGCTTACCGGAACCTGGTGGTCCCTGTGTTAAGCCTATGGGACCTATACAATTAAGTAGTCAACAGGTTAACAAATGAAAATCTAAGGCATACCTTCAGAAACTTTGTCTCCCTGCGCATCCAACCACATAGGACTGCCGTAGGTATCATCACTGACACGACAAATCAGACGAAGATCATTACCAGCCATTAGAATGACACTCTCTGGTCCATCAATGGTAAGATCCACACCTAATAAAGAAAAAGATTGTCATTACAAATAGTTTATTTAATTTTGGTAGAATTTGATTGGCATTGAAATAATGTTGGTTTCTTTGATCATTTATTCATTTCATAATGAAAAGACAAATAAAAAAGGCTGGTGTTTGAAAAAAATCACCCACTTACAATTATTTATATTAACTTGGTACAATGAAGATTTTTTTATTGGATTACTCAGGAATTACAATGAGAATTTAGAAAAAATATATTTCTTCCAATGTTGAATTGCAACAGTGTTTCTTACCTGGCATTTCACAAGCCTCTCCACCATATCCTTCAGTGCAGCTACAGGTTCCAGATAGACACATCCCACCATTCAAACATGGCGGATCACAAATGATGACTGTAGTAAAGACATAAGCAAATTCATATATAAGGACTGTAATTAAACATAGCAAAATTCACATATGAAGATTGTAATAAAGACATACGAACATTCACACATGACTGTGATAAAGACATAAGAAATTCACTTTCACATTAATCTTTTTCAAGATTTCCATTACATATGTATAAAATTATGTGTATAAAATTAATTCCTTCCATTTTTGTTTTACCACAGTTGATCATTAACAGTCCATCATTATAATTAAACAATTAAAATTGTTTCTTATTAACCGTTTTAACAATATCCAGATCAAGGAGCCGATACAACAAAATCAAAAATTCATTTGGGACCATCAAATATAAGGCTTTTAACAGTAAATATAGTGTCTATCAATATACAAAGATTGAGCAATAATATTCATAATAACTTTGAAAAACAAGGACAGAACAGTGCCAGCAACATAGACATGTATATCACATGTCAAGTTTCAAGTTTTAATGTTCCACATTTTACAGAAAATATAAACATACATATAACATTTTAAAAATTATACAATACAATGGTAGCGTAAATGAGCACATGTCAATGATTCTAATTTCATATAATAGATAAAGTAAAATGTGAGGAACCTATTAAAAAGCAGTGCTTGTATGATATAGGTTCCTGGAAAAAAGTAATGTTGATGAAAAACAGTAGCAGTAGACAGCCAGAAAGGTGTTAATGACATTTAACCCATTGCTTACTGGAACCGGGTGGTCCTTGTGTTAAGCATATGGGAATTAGATAACTCACTAGTCAGTGGGTTAGCATAGAGTTAACACCTCTCTGACTCACAGCAGCAATATGAACTTTAAATAATTACTTATACATGTATATACATGGAAGCAACAACACATGACAATTAAAATGAAATCAATCTTACTTCTCTGCAGACAAGCTGGTCCAGTAAAGCTATCAGGGCAATAGCACTTGCCCATAAGACAGGTTCCTCCATTCAGACACTGAGGGATACATGCCACCTCTGAGAAATCAAAATAAATATATTAATTAAATTAATTTACACCCACTGTTCTTAAATGATAGTGGCACAAATGGGTTAAGTGGTGATATTCCAAGCGTATCCTGACTTAATAATTATTACACCTAAATACAGATCTAATCCTTCTTACCATCAACGATGATAGTGCAGAGTCCTTTTAGAGGCACTGCATTGTTTACTATAGAAGGCGCAAGTAGCTATAAGTAGTACAGTGGAGCTTTAAGATTTCCTACCATCAAAGTCATAGAGAATCTAACTAGAGTTATCCTTATCAATCTTACCATCCACCATGATGTCGAAGAGTCTTCTTAGGGGTCCGACAGCACAGATGTACCGCCCTTCGTCCTCCAGCTGGATGTCCATAATGAAGAGGCGAGTCGCATAAGGAGATATCTGCTCCGTCTTCATGTGGGAATCACCTCCTAAAATCAAACAAGAAATGGTAATGGTAATGGTAATTGTGGTAATGGTAATGGTGGTAATGGTAATGGTTTTATTAAAAATTCATTTGCAGCCAAATGGCTGAATTGCAGAATTGTGTACATTGCGTAAAAACATAAATATTTATGCAAATTTAAATAAATTACAGTGAAACTGTCGAGCAAATCGTATTAAGACATATCCCACAGTGAATGAATTTTCTAAATATAAAAGAGCGTACTCCCTATAAACAAAAAAATCAACACATTGCCTTTAGGAACAGATGGAATATGCTAATCAGGCCTAACGGGAATGAAATATTAAGAAATCAACTCAAGTGACAAAATGAATCAGTTTATTGCAAAGGTATGTAAATTCTAGCTTGTTTCTTTGCATCTCTTGAAAAAGCAAATCATCAATACCAATACCGCTGGCAAACATAGCTAGGGCAATAACCACAATAAATAGGTAACCCTTTCCACAGTCAAGACTTGCTTTATGAAATACAAGAACTGGACGTGTACAAACCTATTCAAATCTTAATCTCTTATTAATATAATGTATCATCGCATAGGGAATCTCAAAATAGTCAATGACTTGTTACAAAACAAAACCTTTCAGATAAAAGAAGAAGGCAAAGAGGATCTTTTATTTTGTTGCTGTTATGCTATTGAACATGTTGAATAATTATACTGAGATAGACAGTACCACCTGAGCGCTTAAAAACGCATGTATAAAGTGTCCTATAAATGTAATTATAATTATTATTATTATTATTATCTTACTTGAGTGGCATATACAAACAGTTAAAAGGGATGTTTCAATATATAGCATGTGCAAAAATACTGACAAAGACAAGGCAAGATGAATAGAAGGAGACTCACCTAATCCCATGGTTCCGATTATCTCTCCCTCTGGGTTAATCCACATCGGTGATCCATAAGGATTATCTTGAGGTACCTCACAGATGTAGCTCACATCGGCACCCAGGATTGGATTATCCTGATCAGGGATCCTTACACGTACAATACCTTCATCTACAAGAACAATTTAAAGATAAAGGTGAGTTCTGGTAAAAAAAGAAAATGAATCCTCACAGAATCAAACAAAACTTACACTGAATGTTCAAGATTACAAATAAATGTCATTTGCCAAACAATTTGGTAGAAAATGTATACTGGCTGAGTAATGACCATAGAACGATTAGGAAATCAAGGTTAGTAGCCCCGACATCATTTATGTAGTCCCATGTACATCTTTCTGTGTACAGTGTTTGTTACTTTAGCAAGACTGGGCAAAATTTATTGTGATTTTGATGACTCCAGAACGTTGCAGTCCACACCAATACATGCTACATGATCAACTTTTTCTGATCCTTTCCACGCCTTTTCTTTCACACTGCAATCGGATGACCAGAACTCACCTTTATCTTTAACATAGGATATACCTAAAGGTACATGTACGTGTATGATCACATCGTTGTTGGATAAGATGTGCCTAACAATTACACATCACATCCCACATGTAAACATTAGTCATATATACAGATTTGAGAAATTAATTCTCTCTAGAAAAGTACAGTAATATCCTTTTGTGGAAACAAATACTACAAAGAGTAACAACAGATTTTCTTCTGTAAAGAAGAAAATATAATTAGATCTTTTTTGTTCCACTCTTTTCACTTGATTCAATAAAGTTTAGTGTAATTCTAATCGTTTTCCATTCAGACCCATTTCTACTAATTTTACTCCAGTTCAGTGCATCTCAATTATTTTTTACTTTAGTTCGATTCATTCCTGTTTGGTTCAGTTGTCTTGAGTTAGTTTAACTAATTTAATTTTAATTCAGTTCAGTTTAGTTTTTCATGTCAGATCAACGCACTTACGTTCAATTCAAGTGAGATCAAAATCAAGAGATCACACACTCATCTCAATTCAGTATAATTACAGCGGAGTTCAATGCTATTCAATCCATTTCAATTCAGTTCAATTCAGTTCAAATCAGTTCAATTCAGTTCAATTCTATTCAATCCAGTTCAATCCAGTTCAATTCAGTTCAATTCAGTTCAAACCAGTTCAATTCAGAAGCGATTGATCTTACCTATCATGTTACATTGTGGACCAGTGAATCCATAGAGGCAGTTACACACACCATCTACACACTCGGCTCCATTCAGGCATGGTCTCAAGCATCTCCTCATGGAGGCTGTAAAGGGCATGAGGGAAACATTTTAAACATCGATAGTAAAATCTGGTTTCAGCCGAGTTCAGATGCCGGAATCATTATAATCTTGATTCATATACAGTAGAAACCTGTCCATAAAGACCACCCAAGGGAGACAAGAACAGTGGTATTTATAGGCATTTTCAAGGGGAACAAAAAATGTGGTCTAAGAGCGTCGATTTTTACGGATCAAAATTCACTAAACTATCTCCAAATTCCCATTCTGATCATTCTATTTTGTTTGCTACGTATATGCCAAAAGGTAGGAAGTATTATTAAGTTTGCCAAGCTTTTTATAAGCTCATCAATCTTTATTCAAATCACGAATGCTAATACACGTTGATGCAGACTCGATCATTCATATTATTATCCTCATTATTATCATTATCAGTACTGGTAGTAGTAGGAGTAATAGTAGGAGTAGTAGTAGTAGTAGTAGTAGAAGTAGTAATAGTAGTAGTAGTATTAGTAGTAGTAGCAGCAGTAGTATAATTACACAAATTACCATCATCACTATCGTCATCATCATCATTTTCATTTCTATAGTTGAATTATTAGTACAATATCATATGGTAGTTCAAGGAAGAGTATAAAAAGACTTATTCAACTTACCCAGCTGTCCGCACATTGGTCCAGTGAAAGGGTATGGGCAAAGACATTCTTGGGCGATGCATTCTCCACCGTTAAGACATGGAGGTTCACACTCCTCAACTATGACAAAAGAATGAAGACAGTTTCCAGATTAATGTCATGATACATGAGCTGGACAATTTAAAAATAAATAAACATGTAGTAGATATGAGAGCGAACTACTCTACAACCAGACACTTTTGCATGCATGGAATATTCTCCACTTTCGGAAGAGTGATGGAACCCCACCCGAACATTATTCATAAGAAGTCTACCAGTCCTGCATCCCCACTTACCAATCCTGTCCTGTTTGAACTCATATGTGCAGCACAGGTAAGGTGCTGGAGGGAACCCCAGTAATCAAGAAACGCTGTTATTTTCCTCTCACTTAGATGCTATCATAATTAGAGCCCATTAAGACAAAAGTAAACACAGTAACAAAACTGCCTTGGTTTTAAAGAAGGAGACAAGTAACATGTAAGAAACTTGATGTGATGCTGTATCTAGCTTCCTCTACAAAATCTCACATTTATAAATTCTTAAGATAATAAACTTATTATTCTTACTGTTGACAATGACATTGACGGTCGATTGGAAGTCCCCAACAACACACTTGTATGTTCCTGCATCGACCGGAGACACACCAACAAGATTGAGTATTGATGACGACTCCGAAGACTGTACAGTGTGAAGATGGGCATCACCGCCTGGGAAAAAGAGCAAGCACAGAATCACATCTCTAAATTCAAGTATGATTTCATTTAGTTATTGACAAAAGTTAAAGTTACATTGAATTTCAGCATAAACAATTATTATTCATGTGATAAATGTTGCAAAAAATAGCAAGAGTTAGTCAAGTTTATCGCTCTAAGTTACTGAAGCCCTTTTTGATATAGAAAGCAAATCAATAAAGTTACAATAATTATCTGACAATTTTTACTGTCTAAAATCAAATTTATGAAAGAAAATCTTAATGTTAACTTATTGCTTACGGGATCCAGCTAGTCGCTGCTATCACATGATAGAAATGGGGAATTCGGTATTCAGCAGATTAAATCTTCTGTCATTATTATTTCATGCTTGTTACTTTGGTAATTTGTCGAATAGTTTAATTTATGGCATTTGTTGTTTTTCATGCTCATTTCAATTCATTGAGCACCAAAGGTGTTTTTTTCAAGGAGATTTATCATTATTAGTTATTATTATTGAGTTTTGCGGTGGATATTCATCATGTTTGTGGCTCCATTTGTTTGGTTTATCTAAGGTTCGAATAGAGATTTATATTCAAAGGAGCCAAACTCATATTAGATCCATATGTATTCCTGATACTTTTTCCTTGCGGACATGTCATTTCGGGCTGCTACATTTTGCAAAGCTCCCTTAATTCAATCTTCAAACATACCAATACCTTAGCTGTGGTTGGTAAACACATGAGACAAAAAGCTATGCTAGGACTTGCCAAACAACTTAAAACCAGGATAACATTAATAATAATATCTGGTTTCTGTTAAGCGCATTTCACATAATAACCTCTCTATGTGCTTCCAAAGAGCTTTGGAAATTATTACCCCGGCTTTAGCATGGCTGCCATTACGACGCTCTAGCATTTCAAGAAATTAATTCCTGTCAGGTTCCCATTTACCTTACGTGGGTCGAGTGTGGCAAATGTAGATTAATGTCTTGCCAAAGCACATTAGTGCCACAACAGAGCTCAAACCGCGGACCTTGTGATCCACAGTCCGGTGACATATCCCCTCGACCACGTCACCAAAACTTACCTTGATCCAGCGGCTGGACTGCATCACCTCTTGGATTTATCCACATAGGATTCCTGTACAGACTGTTCTCAGCGATCTGACAGTCGAAAGACACATTGGTACCGATGTTGTACACAGGGCTCTCAGGTTGCTCAATGTCAATCATACCTGGACCTAAAAAAATAGGGACAGCAAAATAATTAAATGATATGAAGAAAAAAAGTTTTTTCAATATTATTGAGGTGTAGTTTTTCAAAAATAACTATAATAGTAAATACATCAAAAAATTGTGTGTGTAGTGCTGAATTACTTCATTCTCCTGCTATTATCCGTTGTACTGACATTATCAGAACCCAAATTAAATAAATAAGTAACAATCATTCACCTGTTATATATTTCTCACCTAATATAATTTCTAACCATCTCAGCTATGACTTTCCCTCATTTAAAAGAAAAGTTATATAGCCACAACTCCCACCTACTCCAATGGAATCATATATTACACATGTAAATTTTAGTCTCAATGGTGCTGTTGATTAGATATCGATATTGGTGCTCTACAATCCACAGATTGCATTGGATTAAGATATGACTAATATTGAGGATTCCCTATAAATCTCAATTTTTTTATCAAATAGTTGGTATTAAACTGTTCACGTCCTACATTATCTTACCATGTACAACGACCGTATGGTTGAACATCAATGGGCCAGCTACACATGAATAGACGCCTCCATCTGACTCGGTTAGACTGGTGAATACCATTTCTCTTGAAAGTGAAGTGGGTGTTTCTGTGTACACATTGCCTAATGGACCTGAAAATGAGGTAAGAAGTCTTGTACTAGTTCACAAATGGAAGACATATTTCAATTTTTAAAAATGACTATTCACTTGTACGCAATTCTAAAATTTCTGTTTAGAAAAATATGAAACTATTCCAGGAAATAATACAATACAACTTGCATCTCACATCTCTGTTTTAAATCCTTTTTGAGTCAGTAATTAAATTCAGATCAATTTAATCTGGAATAGATGGTATACAATGTACTTGTAAGAGGCTCATCAAAGGTCAATTTCAGTTGGAGTTGTTACCTTGTTGAAAATAAAGCTTGTCCAAGTATATTTTTTATCACAGCAATTTGAATTATGTGTGAAGAGAAAGTGAAGAAGTTTTCCCTAGATAACTTAGCTGCATATATGCTTCTTTTTCCTACCCGAAGCAAGGTAACCATCGTAATAATGTGATTGCAGTTGTACATGTAAGTTTTTAGTTGTTTTCAGTATACATTTATCCAGTACCTGGAGCGAAACTCATGACCTCTTCACCCTGCGGATCGATCCATTTTGGAGCACCATAGGGGCTGTCAGGGGACACCTCACAAACAACTCTCAGCTGCTCCCCTACAACGGGAATGGTATGGTCCACTGGTATGACCCGTATCACATAGGCGTTGATATCTACATTCAAAGACAACAAAGGCATTTCATTAAAAAATGTATTCCTACAAAAACAAGTAAGAAACCAAAGAGTAAAACAGACGTCTTGATGTATGATATAAATGGTAGGGGCAAGGCTGAAGTCATTCTCAATTTCTCATAAACCACCAACAAGATATCTTTTTGAGACAAAAAAGTTAAGGACAAAAGATAAAATTTAGTACTATGGCCAAGAAAGGTGTGAAGTGAATGTCAATGTGTGATGGAGGCACAATTACTTTTTTGGACACCGTTAGCCTGGGAATAAAACCGATAGACTTCTACTATGCCTTCACACAAGGGCTGAATAAATCTTGAATATCTATAACAGTCCATTTAAAAGGATACATATATAAGTCACCTTGTTTTTCACATAAACCCCTTCTGCCTATTGTAAATAAAATGATTATACATCCATTTCCAGCCTAACTGCACACGATGGTGGTCTCCTGTTTTCTAAATTACCTCTCTACTTTATTGAAAAATATTTACTATAAATTTCTTATCTTATTTGTATGCTTCGTAAATGTTTATCGTACGATATAATTGTACATGACTTTCTATTTAATTACTTTTGTAAACATTTTATTCATTGTATTTGTTATTGTTCAAATTTGTGTATTTTGAATTTGAATTTGTATCTTGTTGAACGCAGAAATAAAATCAATCAAACAAACAAGCACCAACACAGTTTTCTACTAACATTTGTAATTTTGCCCCTGAAAAAATTTACTTCATGATCACTAAATAACAAATCAAAAGATATTTACCATGTACTGTGCACTGTGGTCCTCTATATCCATTAGGGCAGAGACATCTCCCAGAGTTACAGGTTCCTCCATTAAGACAGAGTCCTCCGCAATCATTACCTGTATTTAGAAAGAGGCAAGATGTAGATAAAGCGCATTTAAGTGAAAAAAAGCAATCAAATACATGAAGCATAATGCTCTGTGGTGAGACGAGAGGCATCATCAGAAATTGACCTCAAACAAACTTTTTAAAGAGTAATAGTGAAGTTGACAATGATGGACAGTTATAGAATTTGATTCATGTATTAAGCCTAGGATAATAAGGGAATCATGTACAGTAGCTAACAGCTCAACATCTACACAGGAAAGGGAGTAAATCTGTGAAGGGGGAATGGGCAGAAACTAGTTGGAAGGAAGAGGAATATATATCTACAATTTTCACTTGTTTTTTACCTTGAATGTCAATTTCATAGATGGACGTGAGAGGTCCTGTTTGACAAGTGTAGCTGCCTGCATCCTGGAGACTCAGAGCCTCAAAGTTGAGTCGGGTTGCTCCTGGCGCTGGATAGTCCACATACACTCGCTCGTTACCTGTGTATATTACCATTACATGTTAATCTCAAGTAAACGATTGAGCATATCATTTGGAGGTTTTCACTACAGATTCACAGACATTAAAGGTAATACAAAGTTTTGGTATGGGGTCATGGATTTGGTTCAAATGAACATATTTGAAGCATATGCGATCCTACAATATTCAGTGATCGTTTTCGTGGTTGAAATCAAGTCTAAACTTATGAAATTGTAAACAATAAATTCTTTATGTTGTATAGCTCCCTCTCAAGGTCAAGATATTAATAAAGCTATAAAACAATATGTCTTGACTAAAATCGACCGATTAGCTATTCCCGTTTGGAAATTATATATCACAACAACATATTCTGAAATTTTCATGGTCGCAGCTACCATTGTAAGGCCGTAGGAGCTATTTGAAATTTATCAACATTTACCAGGAACACCAGTAAATTGTTTAATTCAATTTTTCTCGAAAGCAGAAGTGTTTTACGGGATAAATTTTCTAGTGCTTATAATACATCCACAGGGGCATCCAAATATATCAAAATTGTTTAGAATCACTACCCACTCAATTTTCAAAATTTCCTAAAACTTTGTATTACCTTTAAGTAAACTGCAAACTTTTCCAAAAAGGAAACCTTTGGGAACATGGGATTGGTAATGAAATCTCTTGTTTTAGGCATGTAACTTTCATAAAACTGAACAATTTTCACTTCATGATTTCTTTTCCGATTAGTTTTAGACCTGAAGTTTCTCATACCTATATATTTGAATTCCCAGTTTTAAATAATCCCTTCTCTCTCTCTGTACACATTTCCTCTCAACATTAAAGACTGGGTTACAGACCGGGAGAAGCAAATTAATTGGGTAAGGAAACAATATTTTCAAATGGTAGTGAAGTTATACGGAAGACCGGTGAAGACATTGAGAATTGAAAATCTTAAAAGATAACAATTCTTTTAAGATTTCAATTCCTGGACTTGCCTCTAATGGAAAATTTGTGCTGAATACCAGGATGGGTTGTGGGAAAATACAAAATACCTGACTCACCTATGACTCTTCCTGGTACTGCTTGGAGGTTAGAGTCCAGCCACGTTGGGTTACCGTACGTACTCCCAATAGGTGCCTGACACAGGAGTCTGAGAGGATCTCCAATCCTGGGCTCGCTCTCAGGGGTCGGAATGTCCGGCAGGACATGGATAGCTTCTACAGGGGAATATAAATTAAATGTTTAGGGGGGTGTTTCACAAAACTTGTCATCAGTGACGATTGACAGTTTTTGTTATAAGCTACTGAAATCCTTGCTTCTGATTGGATATCAGCAGATTTGTCACTGATTTTTGTCATTTGTCATTGAAAAAAAATTGTGAAACGGCCATTGAGCACCCCTGTTGACTTATTCAATTCAGTACGTAGATTAAGTCAGTATTTTATTTAGCACTTTGCTTGGCTAAGTAATATGGCTCAGCTCGCATTGAGATCACATCTAAAGAATTTATTTAATAAAGCTGACTTTAAGGCAAAATACCTAAGGATAAGCATTGTGGTGTCACATAATCAATCCTAAATAATTTGCATATGTATGGGCCATTAAAAGCATCCTCATATGACTGTGCGCGGCTTATAATGACTGTGTATGAAAACCACATGCCTGTCAATCAAGGCCATCAGAAGTCATTCAATTAAGTTTCTTTTAATTGTACCTTGATGCATAAATAACTCAGAGTACATAAAATGTGAAATTATGTAAAAATATTTCACCTTACAGGAATAATATTTACCATTAAAGTTACAAAAACACATATAATGAAAGTTAGACCATGCATCCCCTCTGTCCTAATGAATTTGAACATACCTCTTTGTTCACAAGCTTGTCCGCTGTAACCAGGCAAACATACACATCTACCATGAGAGCAGGTTGCTCCATTTCGGCATGGGGGGAAGCAACGTTCCTCTATGGCTGAGGGATTTAAACAAAGTTGTATATACAGTTGTAAAAATGTCCCGTTACAAACATAACTTACATGAGCACAAATCCATTATTCTTCTCGATGGGGTGAACAATTTTGGTGCATATGGCCATTCTATGCTCATTCATGCACAGATTTAATCTACGAACTGGCAAATTCTTTTATCAATTTTGTATGGTATAGACAGTAGCGTACGCAGGATTTTTTCAAGGGGGGGGGGGGGTTTAACATTCTTAAATCGGGCCGAAAATTTCGCAACGACTCAGCCAGCTGCTGAATTAAGTGGCGGGGAGGGGGGGGGGGGGGATAAGAGGACACTTTTTTTTTCTTTGGTCTCAAAATTTGGAAATTTGACATTTTGTCAAACTCAAAGGGGGGGGGGGGTGTTGCTCAAAAATACACACATAAAAAAACAACCCCCCCCCCCCGCCAACCCCCTGTGTACCAGCCTGGGTATAGAGATAGCCAGAATGCACAAGTAAAACATGTAATAGTTTCACTTCCAAAGCCATCTATACACAGAGTTTGGCCGACCCGGTTAGAGTTGGACACAATATGGCGACTACTGCTTTGTTAGGCAAGCACAACAAAAAAGAATATAGGCCATGGCTAGAACCGGTGAAACCAAGTTGGCCAAACTCTGTGTATAGATGGCTCTGTTCACTTCCTACCTGTACCGCCCCCACCACTAATTGTGATGTTAGCCGTAGCAGTGAGTGGCCCTGTACTGCAGGAGTAGCTTCCCGCATCTGCGGCCATCACGCTGTTGATATAGAGGATGGAGGAACTGTCGCTTGTCTTTACCGTGTACAATCGTCCTACTGCACCTGTTAGAAAAGATAATATACGATTAAAGGGCAACTCCACTTTAACAAAATTACTTTCAATAGAAGCAGAAAAAGCAGACAAACAAATCAAAAAAGTTTGAGCAAAATCGGATTACTGATAAGAAAGTTTTGGAGTTTTAATGACATGAAAAACTTTAAAAATCACAAGAAAAATTATCAACTCACTCTTGTTTATCTGCATCAATTAAAAGCAAATTAATTTTGGAGTGGACTTGGCCTTTAATGAAATTGTTACTGACCATATGGTGACCGAGTGATGACCATGTCTACAGTTTTGGAAAGCTTACATGTACCCAGTGGAGATTGGAATTTTTACATATGAAAACACAACCTCAACATGCTTGTAATTCGGTTCCAGCTCATCCTTTATCAATATGACCAGTTGTCTTTGCAAAACACCAGGCAATTATTATATGCATAAAACAAGATAGCTAGAAAAGTCCTCAAACGTAACTGTTATTTGCCACATGCCACATTAAAAACTGGAATTTAATAGCTGTTACAATTGGCTCAGGTTTAAAGACCTTTTACGTGGATGATCACCTCAAGAAACTTGCAATAAGTCCTCACCCCCCCCCCCCCCCTCCACTGAAGAACTAGGTAGGAGCTATTGCTAGACATAACTTCCATGTATTATTTTTTAATCACCCTTAAAAAAAATTAGATATTGAAAGTCACACAATGACTAAACCCATGTATAAAGCTAAGCATTACGGCATTTGATGATTACCTAGTGATGCAGATGGAATGAGCTGGCCATTAGCTCCTCGCCACTCAGGGTCCAAAAAGGGGCTATTGCTAGACACCTGACAGACCAGATTGAAGCTTGAACCTAGGCGAGGAATCTGCTGAATGGACGGGGTGATGGTGATGCGGTATGAACCAGGTAGAGCTGAAAAGACACAAGAAATCATCATATACATAATTCAATATAATGATAATAATAATCATCTGAATTGATATAGTTCTTGATACCAAATACTGTCTCTATTGCGATTTACAGATATTATGACCCGGGTCATCAGATTCTTTCATGCACAATGTGCACCATCTCTACTCCTGGGAAGTATTATTTGTATTTTTTCAACCTTTATTATATCTACTACGTATCCATTGCATTTAATAAGATGAAATATTTAACAATATTTTCATTGTTTGTAGATTTTTAATATCACATAATCTGAAAATATGCATTTTTAATGTCGCTCTGGTAGAATTATAGAAGAATAATCAATAAAATGTGGATACTGCATGTACATGTACCATCAACTTTATGAAGTGTGCTCACAAAAGTTTGTAGTATAAGCATTTAAACTTACGTGCAGTTCTTAGTTGGCATTGATCTCCAGTATAGTCAGGGAAGCACACACATGCTCCATTCACACAGGTTCCTCCATTCTGACAGGGTCTGGAACATGTTGGCTCAACTAGAAATCAAAGATAATAGACCAATTCACGGTTAGCACGTGTCCCAAATTACCCTGAATATCCACAGATCTTAAAAAACATAAGGTCCCAAATTATACATTTTGAATTAATCACTCCTACAGCGATGGAGGTGCTACATAAATAGCCTTTGTTTCCCCCTCTCAAACAATACTTTGACCTGTGTATCGTGGAGTGCACATTGTCTCTGTGTGTTTCACAATAAGGTCTGCAATGACCTTTATCTGCTCATGCTCAGACTGCAAATGTAAACTGGCTTATTGAATACATTCGTAAAGACGGTTTAAAGGTGCTTTGACGTTTCCTCCAGTGACTTTTGCTCTAGGCTTTATTTCATCAAAATAATATGGTTAGATTTAAAGTTGCATTTGAGTTTTAGGTTAGGCTTAGGGTAAGGGTTATGGTAAGATTACAGAGTGTGAATCCAGGATTAGAGAAGAAAATTGCAGCAAGGCATTTGTCGCAGGAGCAGATGTTGAACAACTCGTCCAAATCCTTAGATTACTAAAGAGGTTCATCTGATTGGTGATGTAATTTTGAAAAGAGTTCTCTCTATAAAAATAAAATGTTACCTGTTTTGGTAATCTTTCACTTCCTGTGCTGCAAACTTCTTCAGACCTAAGTCATAGCAGGCTCTATTGTTAATGCAGTACGACCATAATGTGCACCCCCAAAATAATCCCAAGTTACTTAAAGACGTAGAGTAGTGGGCTCTCAAGGGGAATTCAACACCGCTCGGGTATTTACACTATAACAGGTGCTGTCAATCATCAAGATTAGCCTTCAGTTTTAGGACCAACAGGCCTTACGTAATGCTTTGCATTTTCCACCTATTTCCCATATGGTAAAGTCATTATCTTACGTTTCCCTTCTTGATTGGAATATGAGCTTGCTGTGTGCAGACTTGTACACCCATTGATGGTCTTTTTATCAAGTCTGGTGTCAGAGAATTATGGCCTTCTGGACATGGAGACTGACGACCCTCTCCCTTTAATGGGTTCAAGAAATTTATCCCAACTAATGTTTACCTGCAATGCTGATTGTGAATGAGGTGGTAAGAGGGCCAGCCGCGCAGGAGTATGTCCCTGAATCACTCCCTTGGATGTCTTCGATCACCAAAGTAGTGGAGTAGGGAGAGGAGCTCTGGGTGTACATCCGCTGACTACCAACTACAAACACAAACATGCACAAAATATTTAATTATTATAAACAACAACAGGATGCAATGGTGAGGAGATAAGTTTTTACAATGAAGCCACATGAAAATAGTCCCTATAATGACGTTTTGTTGATTTTTTGATGAAAAAAATGAGTATTAAAAAGAACTGAAGTTCAAATAGTTCAATCAACTACATTCATCTTTCGTAACAGTTCTGAAAATCACCCGTTATTTATGAAAAGAAGAAGAGATAGTCAATGTTTGCGACAGTATACTAGTACTCTGTTCTTCATAAGCAGTGTGCAAGTAGGCATTATATAGTAACGATGAAATAATGGTTTTCTTGAATACCGGTATACACACTTGTATAACAGATACCTTGCTCAAAACAAAAGACTGGCCATTTGTGAATTCACATGTACATGTTTATCAGAAAGTAATGCACTACCTTAGGATGATATTCATTCGTTCATTCATTTTGGTTTATTGAATCAAAATTCCTTGTTAAAACAGTCGGGAGACTGATAAAAACAAAGATTACAACATTGAAATGTTCAAAAATATAAAGAAAATTAACAAATACACCAATATGGAAAAGAAACAAAAATTAGTTCAAGGAAAGAATAACAAAAATTATAATGAAAACTTCAATATATTCCACATCATACATAATATAAATCGAATTTACATACGTGGATGAGAGGGAAAAGTAAACAAGATAAAGACAATGGACAAAGGATTTTATTCCCTTTTCTTGTAACATTTAGATTTTGAGCGTTTACATTTAAACACAATTAACAGAAATGGATATATCAAACACAAAGTGATGATGATAATACCCGATATACATGTATTATTATATATATCATAGATCAACTTACTGAATCCCCTTGGACTGACTGGTAGACCACTAGGTAGCCTCCAGATGGGACTTGTGTACTGGCCATCCTGTCTAAGTTCACAAAGAAAACTGATGGTTTGACCAACAGAGGGCGTTGTGTCGGTGGGCGGGATGATGCGGATTGCATATGGTGTGACTGATGGAAGAAGCAGAAAAATATTGATATAACACCAATGAGAGAAAAAGAGGAGAGAGGAAAAAATAGAGAAAGGGAAAGAATAAGATGAACAAAAGGCAATACAAGTCTTTAATAATTTGACTATAAAGAAAATTCTCCTTTTGAAAAGTGCTATATTTGCTCCTAAGGTATCTTCAAATTAATTACTTCGGCTTTAGCACTGGCAACTGTCATCATCACATTCTTTCAAGGATTTAATCAGGTCATCTTACCTTGTCTCTCGCATGATGGTCCAGTAAACTCTTGAGGACAAATACAGTTACCATCCATACAGGTCCCTCCATTCAAGCAAGGAGCCGTGCAGGGTCGACCTCCAGTACCTACAGAATAAGAATACATATTGATATTGATTCCAAGAATTCCGGATTGTGATAAATAAAAGGGGAATAAGGGAAGTATGAGGTACAAAGTACTGTGACAAGGGTTCCTCTCTAAGTACGGAGTAAAGTATACATTTTGTGGTTGATACCTATCTTCATATACCAAATTGAAATCCAACTACCACTTACAACTGTGAATTTTGGTGTACACCCCCTCTTTCTTTTTTCTTCTTTTTTCCTCTTTCTTTTTTCCCTTTTACCAATATTTTTTCCTCCATATTTGTATTATTATGTATCCATTGATGGTAGTCATGCTATTAAGCTTTGCTTACTTTGTCAACCCTCCTGTTTGATGTTTTCGGTTTGTTACAGACAGCCTCACTCTTTCGTCATGTGTAAAATTTGCAACGTTTTGTTCGATATATATTTGTAAAAGTGCAAAAGAAAAAGATAATCAAACATAAATAAATAAATAAATCAAATCAAATCAAATCAAATACGCTTTAAAAAAATATTACTTACTCTCCAGGGTGATGGTGAAAGTTGTAGAATGAGGTCCGACATAACACGTGTATGAGCCTGCATCATCTAGACGAAGGCTTCTGATAACAAGGCGGGTCAGGTAGGATCCAACTTCCTGGGAGCTCAGATGATTAGGAGCTCCTGAGAAGAAAGGAATTCATTCAGTACACATTTTAAAGACTTGCGATATCTTCACAACACATCTCAGCCTGGATATTGTCTGAAGTGGTCTTCAGGTTACCATTATCATCTCTTCATCCTGTCCTTACAAACAAAAATAAGAAGCTGCAAATAAAGTGAGCAATTTTGTTTTGCCATCACCCTTATGCCAAAGACAACACAAAAACAGATTGTACAATAGGTTCGTGCATCATTCATTGACAAAGCAGACTTCCAGATTGCAACTTCTGGGTAGCATTTCATGAAACCGTCACTATTTCAAGTTCACTGACATCCCATTGAAATGTGTGTTAAACTTAATACAGGCATTTCAATAGGATGTCGGTGAACTTCTAATTATGATGGTTTTGTGAGACCTTGCCAAACTAAATTACAGAAGCAAACGAAATACAGAAACACCTACCCTGTGTGATGGCTACGATGGGTACACCATCAGGTCCTCTCCATTGCGGCCTACCATAGGGGCTACCCTGGGGCACCTCACATAGGAACGTGATATCCTGACCTACAAGGTACTGGTTGGTATCAGGGGGGTGGATCCGCACCTGGAAGGGTGGTCCTGGAAAGTATGGAGAAATAGGTACATAGATGAGGATTCTCCTTCCAATGTAACATAAAGTACATTTAGCGCTGATATACCAATTATTAAAACACCTCTTATTCTTCTTCATAAAGCTAAGAAACTACTATTAATGCCTGGAAACATCATTTACATTCTGTTTAATTTTATTATGGTAGTTGTAATCCATTATTGAACTTGTTGATACTGTATTAGAGATTGACAAAAATCACTTGAAATTTTTAGTGTAAAAGTCTGGAAGAAACTTGTGAAAATGAAGGAATTAATTGGCGAAATGGGGATACATTTAGGAGTTATTTGCTGCAGTTTGGTAATGGTACATGTGGCAATTGGGTTGGTATGGTGGGGGAGTGACTCACATCTCCCTATCTTTATACAGCAGTGTTTGTTTGAGTTAAGGTAATGGTAGTTACATGAACATAGAAAGCCATGATTGAATTTGTGCTGGTATAGTAGGATCAGTGATTTACAAATAATAATAATATGGATATTTATATAGCGCCGGTATCCGCCAGGCTCTGACGCTAATGGCGCTGTACATATTACAATCTCGAACATATCACTTTCTTGTCTGAAATACAGGTAAACTAAAACAACACAAGTATTACGGTACGCCAAAATTATAATTGAGAGAGATGGGTTTTTAGAGCAACTTGAAGTCATGGAGGGCTGTTAAATTACAAATACACCTGATTTGGAACCCTCTAGGAGAGCTGGGGGCAAGGCTCTGCAACCGAGCACTGGGCATCGGGAAAACCTCTTACAGGAGAGGAGTGGATAGCAGGTTTGGTTACACCTCCATTTAATAAAGGAGTATCTGATGAATATGGTGTCAGATGTATGGTGAAGCAGTACTACGGTACCTATGGGACGTTGCAAGAAAATTGCAATAAATTGCAAATCTCCAAAATCAAGCGCGAGTCTTGCAATTAATTGAAAATTTGCAATTAATCGCAACTCAACTTTCTTGCAACGCCCCATTAGTGAGAGAGAGAGAGAAGGTGAAAATAAAAAGTGGATCTAGTATCATAATTTAATTGTTAAAACTTTAATCTCATCAAATTTAGGAGACTAGTGGGGCGTTGCAAGACAATTCAGTTGCGATCAATTGCAAATAACAGTTGCAAATTATGCAACTTGCACTCAATCGCAACTTTCTTGCAATGCCCCATAATGATTGGTATAAGAAGGGTTGTTACTTACCACTATTCTGGCATTGTCTTCCGGTGTAACCTGCATGACATTGGCATCCTCCTGCTACACACGTGCCTCCGTTCAAGCATGGCAGAGGACATTCAGGAGCTAACAGAGAAAATGAAATTATTATAAAGAAAACATAGTTTGGTGATTACAACAGCAAGACAGTGATCTGCAATATAATCCTAGTAGCCAAAACATGGACATTTCTGGTACATTTTAATCATTTCACTTTGATTTTTTTTCAAAAAAATAACTTCCTTACCAACATTTACTGCATGTTCTAGCCGTTGAGCACGTACATGTTTACAATTCCATCCATCTCAGGCTATTATCAAATTGTTTAGCTTAATTTTTGTTTTCTTCTTTCATCTTTTGAATTGGTTCACTCTTACGACCTGAACAGTGTATTTATATTGATGATATCATGATATGTCTTTTGCATCTTCTTGGTATTAAATTATGTATATCTTATGTAAGTAATATATATATTTATGTATACTTGTGTATATTTATATATTATACCATCAACTAATGAGAAAAGCCTTTTACAGAAACTCAGTTTCTTTTGATAATCCCCAGGCATAGTTGATGTATTTTTTTCTTTAATCTGTAATTAGGTGATACGTAACGAAGTCTACGTATCACCTATTGATTTCGTCAAGATTTTTATTATTATTCTTCTTCTTCTTCCTATTATTCTTCCTCCATTTTGTTCGCAGGATATCTCAAGACTGAATAAAGCCATTGTCATGAAACTTTCAATGATGATAGATCTTAGTCTAACTTAGAACTGCGTGACTTTTCAAAGACTCAAAATTATTGTGACGTCATCCAGGCGCCATTTTGTGAAAATCAACTTATGATCATATCTTCATAACGGAAAGTAATTTTTCATTCATATTTATCATGAATAAGATCAATATCCGTCCGGTTAATTTGAGGTCAATAAAGGTACGCAAATTTGCGCGTGCCCGTTCGTCCGCGCGTTTACGCGCGCGAATTTTTTTTAAATGCTTTAAATCATCCCAAATTTTTTTTACATACGTTTCAGGCCATATGGAGCATTTGATAAAAAAATTACGCACACGCGCATGCGCGCGCGTTTTCGCGCGTACTTGCATTTTGCAACATAGAATCGCCGATTTTTTTCTGTCATCATATTTGGTACATTTTTCCAAGCATTTTGATAATTTGTTCACCTTTTATTAACGCAATGAGCGTCCGTCAAAGTTGACAGCACGCACGGATTTGCGTTACCTTTATCCACAATACATGGGCAAAAACATGCCTATATAAAATTAATTGTAACTCTTTAGAATAGATAGAAACTCCTAATATTTTTTCATATTTGGATAGATTATGAGTCGGAGATATGATTTCATGTCTCATTTGATCCTAAATTAACTCATGACGTCATCATAATGGCCTCCAAACTCAAATTTTCAATTTGCATATTATGACGTCAGCATATTTTTGGAAAATTGATTGTATCTCTGTAAATATGGATTAATTTTCTTTCACATTTTGATATGTTATAGCTGAGACAATTTTCTACAAATGCAATATTCACAATTTTTATTTTTGACAAAAGTATCATGGAGTATTTTTGCGATTAAAGGAGGCATGTCAATTTTTCACATTTTGCGTGTATTCTCTATGGGACATGACTTTTTCTCAAAACTGGATTCTACACTCCTGTCTTTCGCGAGCAAAATCTCCGTTGTTTTAGCTTTGTTTTCGCTGAGCTTCGGATATGTTGTAGCTGAGACAATGAGCTATCACAATGTGCCCTTTATTTTTCGATTAGATGCCGGGATCATGCTCATATTTCACTTGCAAAGTAGGATTTTAGAATTCCGTTTCGCGTTTACGTGTAATCGCTATGGGAGATGTTTTGGTATATCGGTAACGCACTTGACTTCCAACCTCGAGATCCCCGGTTCGAGTCCGGGTGTCTCCAACAATTTTTTTCTTCACTTTGTTTTCCTTTTGACCTTCACTGTACCATCTCCTTTGATTTTTTAAACACGTAGAATCGCAAATAATGTCATAAACAACCCTTTTTACTTTATTATTACCCTATTTTCACGTAATCTATTACTTTTTGCGTGTAATCCCTATGGGAGATGACTTTTTCTCAAATCTGGAGTCAACATTCCTGTCTTTTGCGAGCAATATCGCCGTTATTTCTGCTTGGATTTTGTTGATTTTTGAGTATGTTGTCGCTGAGACTTTATGCTATATAAATCAACCCTCATTTTTGTAATAAGATGTCAGGATCGCGCTCATGATCATGATCATGATCATTATCATCATGATCATCATTATCATGATGATAATCATTTATCAATTACATTTTCATTTCTTTGAATAAGATAAAATCGTCAAAATGTGTTCTTCATGATGTAAATTAGAGTCAAAGGTGTAACTGGTTACTGTACAGGGTCAAAGGTCATATATTGTTTCAATCTATCTACCCTAGATCCCTGATCAAGGGGACGCAATTTAAACTTGACATATGGATAGATCATAATAGGAAAAGCATTTTATAAAATAATATATCGTGTAATGCATTATTCGTTATGTAAACCATTATTATACGTATCACCTAATTCGTCGAAGTGACGAATTAAAGTCTAGTTGTATTTACAATTGTATATCATTTTCTTGTATTCTTTGGCATTGTACTCGCCTATGTTCCTGGAAATAAAATAATATAAAATGAAGAAAAAATAGAAACAAAATAAATCTTACCCTCTATGGTGAGAGTGAAGGACGCTCGGAGCATACCCACGGTGCAGACGTAGACCCCTGTATCCACCTGCTGAACCCTTACCACATGGAGACGAGACACATAGTCAGACACCCTCTCAACCACGTACCTTCCATTACCTAGTAGAAAGACATAAATAAAACAGGGATGCCAGTTAGAATTGACCAGAGGGCCTGAAAATCACCTAGAATAAGCAATTTTGAACACAAACAAGCCTAAAATATGGTCTGAAAATAACTCGCCAGGGCCAGAATTCAGGCTATTGCCTGAAAACTGGCATCGTTGATAAAAAGTGGATTAAAAAAAAGCAGATATCAAAGTACGTTGTGAATTACACGTATTTGTCTACCTATTGAACCCTTATTACTTGTAGAAGAGACACATAGTCAGACACCCTCCCAACCACGTACCTTCCATTACCTCACAGAAAGATATGATTTAAAAGAGGACTAAAAACTGCAGACATCGAACTATGTTGTGAATTAGGAAAGTTTGCATTCACTATAACTTTCATTTGTCCTATACATGCAGTCTTAAACTCACTCCGTGATTATAAAGAGGGAACAAAATGGGAGAAAGTTGACTTTTTTTTAAAGGATTCTAAATGAAGATTTCATGATCTGATTGGGTGAATGTGTAAACATCTTCAATTTTTCAAGAATTTTATATTTTAAGCACGTTTAAGCATGCCATCAATTAATTTTGTGCACTCCAAGAACTGAATTTAAAGTTCTGGGGAATCACCATTTTCTATTACTACAGTCCAATAATGCTGTTTATTCATATTTTTTAAGGTGAGTGTTGATGACAGAAACGGTGATTGATACCCAGTTTAAAACAAATGATAACAAAAGTAAAAATGTAGCTTCTTCAAGGTTTATTCACACACTAATTTGCGCAGTAAGAGTATAACAACATATCTAATATCACCGTAGGTTTTGACAAACTTACCAGACCTGACGTTGACAGGAGTACCTCCTGGACCCAGCCAAGTTGGATTAAAGTAGCCGAGTTGGTCTGATATCTCACAGACAAAGGTTGTATTCTGACCGACGACCAGCGTACTAGTTGGAGGAGGGAGGATCCTGATATCTGTATAGGAAAAGAAATGATTTTTAAAAAATCTCCATATCGATTACAGTCCTGAAACAAAGATTGCAGTCTGCTGATATAAATTTCAAGTTTTGTAAGTTTTTAAGAATGTAAAAATGTATTTTTCCTGATTTACGTTTTCTTCAGAATGTGACATGCCTTTCATTTTGAGTTACAGAAAAAAGATATAAATTTTACAAGGGGTATGAGTAATTAAGCTGTTAACTGTATTTGATACCTATTAACACTTGTAAGTTTCACTCCGTTCATAATGATAAAATGGAAAGTAAACCACAAATCAAAGGATCATTTCATTTACTTTTGAACAATCAACACTTAAATACCCTTACAGTGACAACATAATATGTGCACCCAATCGTTCAATAAAATGAGAAAATATACAAACCTGCATTCCTGCAGTCAATACCAGAGTATCCTGGGATACACTGACATATTCCATTCAGACAGGTTCCTCCATTCTGACAGGGTCTGATGCATTCTTGACCTGTGACATCACATACAAAGAAGAACATCTTAAAGGCATCGTTTAACAATGTCAAATCTGAGATGCACGGCCCTACACGTTATCAGTGTCTGTGATATGGTGTAATATTGAAGCCCTAACAAAATGGCGCTTCAAAATGATCAAGAAGTGCCTCAAAAGACAAAAATCTTTGAGTGACCGGTTTTACCATACTCGTTTTTCCCAATAGACTGTAGTGTTATGAAAACCGTTAGGATAACACAAAATTTGGTTTCGATTTCCAATCATAAAAAACTTGATAATCAGACAGGCGATCGACTTGTAAAAGTCATAGGGTTTCTGACTAACCTAAAGGTTTATAATTATCATTGCAGGATCCAGGATTTTGTTTCAGAATCTGAGACAAAGTTACTAGATGCCTTTAAAATTTAGGTTGCTTTCTTTGCAATAGGTACCAATTGACAAAAGGATTCCATGGTGCAAGACAATGGGTTTGCAATATTACATATTTCTGATTTTGATTAGCCTTTTGACAAACCCTTTTAGCACGGGTATAGATGAATCTTGTACTGGAAACAGTTTGATAATCATGAAGCCTTTGACACAGGGTATATATTTTTCCTATGCAAATACAATCTGGCAAAGGGAGATTATTTGTATGGCATTTAAACAGTAAATTAATCAAAAGGTCTTTTTCTCTTGGGAGTATTAACATGCTCCACTACAAAACCAAATTACAAAAACGAGATAGTAAACTATCTTTGAATATTCCCTTACCAAATTGAAGCGATGCTTAACAAGCCCTGACAAGGATTTTGGTTGCATGGTCAACAAATTAAACTTCAAGAGATTCTGGAGCTAATTCAGTCACTACAAGGTCAACAACATTGATAACAGACAGACATACAGGTACATGTAAACCCCCACAGTATTTAAACAGACTTTACTTTTTGTCCTAAATTAAGAATGAAGCAACCAGTCATGCAAAACCAAAATAGTGGTCTAGTGTAGTAGCAAATTTGTAGTAGAACACTAAAAGTTAATGGCAAACAGAGACCTTCTTGATTTATTTTTACATGCAATTCAAATATATTTGACCCGCATTAGTGTTAAACTAGACACTTTACTGACCTTGAAGTTTTGTGAATTATAAATAGTATCAGTTCATCACATTTCCATATAGTCCAGTTATCATTTATCCAATACTGATTGGGGTACTTATACTCTCCTCTACTTCATACTTGGCCACAAAGCCCCTTGTGTTTCTTGAAAGCGATTTTGTAACAGATCAAATGAACGTAAGACCAAATAGGTAAAATACCATGTGTCATTAGACCAAGAGATGATTAAACTGGGATACCGTACCTATCCTCTCACAAGCTTGTCCTGAGTATCCTCTGTGGCAGATACAAGTACCCTCACGGCATGTGGCTCCATTCTGGCAGGGTGGGTTACATTGAGCCACTCGAGCTGAAACAAATAATATCACCCATTGATGTCAAGACTATTGAAAGATAGCATGAGGCGCAGCTGGTGTACATATAGGCACTTCTGTCACCAATGTGGATTTCATTGCAGACACACTGACTAGAGGCATTATATTTTGTAAGACATTTAGAGCAATTGAGCACCATTAGCGCCAAGCAGAGGGAAATACATGTACCAGAGATATACAGGAAGCCATCCTTCCTCGTCCTCATTATCCAGTTTACAATTTTGTGAGGACTATTTTTAGCCGCACTACCATTTTTCTATGTTATTTTTTTTATTTTTTGAATGAAATTATCAGCCCGGGAGCTGAATTAAATTCAGTTTACAATCAAATCAAATCAAATAGAATACCTTCCAAAGTAAAATTAATAAGATGTATATTAAATCAAAAACTAAGCATAACGGACACTAATCTAAGTTAACACATACAGCTGTGATATTGTATGTTTGTTGTTTGGTTCACACTGACTTTATTGCAACATCTCCTTCTTTTTCATCCATGTAAATTGAACACTTTCACTTTCTTTCTAGATATTCATAAAAATAACATTTATGAAATATAAGTTTTAAGGGGGTGTAGCATGACGAGACTACATGTCTTTCCCTTGACGTGACTTGGGGCCAATTGGGTATAATACGACTACGGATGACGTGAGCGTAGTATTCATGTGCGTGCAACATACGCGAAACCGAAAATTGAGGAGAACTTTGGTTTGTTTCATGAACGCTAGCACACGCTTACTGTTAATCAAGTCCCTTCATTTACGTGCAGTTGTCCAAAAGAAGTTGTAGATGGCGTTAACGGTGTATTTGCCATGCTATACCCCCTTTAAAGTACTATACACGTCAGCTAACAACCATCACACATGACAGGGCAGTTAATGTACAGAGATATCTAAGGAAAATTGCATCCCTATGCCAAGGTTCTCTGATCTACATGTATTGAATCTTTACAGAACTTACCATCGATGTGGATGTTCAGCGTAGTAGTAACTGTTCCTAGTATGCAAGCATAGCTGCCTGCATCAGCCGCTGAGATGCTGTTTATGACCAGAGTCGTGGTAGATGGTGATATCATCTCGACATAAACTCGATCTGACCCTCCTGCAAAAAATAAATAATCAAAAAGCTGGAATAAAATGCTGTAACTATACATAAAAATATTGAAGGAAAGCAGCGATCGTGCAGCGATCGTTTTTATTGTCTATAGGTCATTTATATTTTAAGAGACAGGATTGGACGGTCTATGGGAAGAAAGAAACATAAAACACAGACTCAAATGAACTTCACACTAAACGAACCGCAGCAAAATAAATGAATATATTTTATATTCATCAAAACAAGAATTACAGGTTATTCTGCACATTATTCATTAATAATGTTTGTTAATAAAACTTTACTCCCTTTTTTGCTTTCCTCACATAAGGACCATCTTTCAGGCTTCTACAACTAGTACCTTCCTCCATTACTACAACAAATGCACTCCTTTCAGATTACCAAAAGTTACAGACAGACATAAACAACTGTACTCAATGAACTTCTCTGAGTATTTCTCTTCTATACAGTAGGCTTGCAGGTGCACCATGTGAGAGAGAGAGGGAGGATTGAGGAGTCCTGAAAAGGACTCTCTGTAATCTTTCTTGAGGGTTTGTAGTCCTGAAAAGGACTGTTGGTATAGTCTTGAAAAAGACTGTTGGTATAGTCTTGAAAAAGACTGCTGGTTATCTTTCTTAGCTTATAGTTGTAAGGAGAACTATAGCGCTTGGAGAGGATGAGAGGCGGGAGTGGCTCGACGTTTTGAATAGGTTGACTATCCGTCGTCATTTCTATTCTGTAAATGCTTCTCAAAAAACAAAAACAAAATTCTAGAAAATAAAACTCACCTTGCTGGTGTGTGATTCTCTGCCCTCGTGGATCCCTCCATACAGGGTTCTGAAGCCTGCCTGCCCCAGAGGACTGGCAGGAGAATCGTAGGTTGGCTCCCTGGACAGGCGGCGTGCTACCAACCTGACGAATACTAAGAGAGAAGCCACCTGCAATGGAAGATTCATGATATGATCATTTTAACTAATGCTGCAAATAATAATGACATAAAATAGGCAATTTGCATGGAATGAATTTGCTTTGGGCAAGATTTCTTTTAATAATAAGCTTGTGGTCGGTTGGATTGTTTCTTTCACTTCCATTACTTCAGAGGTCAAAAAGTAGAATCTTCCATTTTCGGAATTGTTCATGCACCAATGGAAGAAAAACATGTAAATTCTTTGGACAGGAGTGCATGCATTTTTTAGTAACAAAATATCGATTTTCATGATTAATCCATCGCAAATATATTGTGTTATGGTACAGTCACTCATTTAAATCTTGCAGATGAAATTGTTTCTGAACTTCAAATTTAGAAATAATGTATTATTTGTGGTTAACAGAACTATACAAATTGAATCAATTAGAAATGTCCACATGGGAATTTAGTATGTACAAACAATTGTCTTAATAAAATTGAATCTTCTATATCTGGGCCACAAAAACCTTGTATTTCTTGAAATTCAAATTCGGTTCATCAATTGTACAGGTTGATCTCAAGATGGAACAATTAGACATGACATTAACAAAAATATGTCTGTTGAGATAAAAATTGGGAAGCTAATGTATTACCTTGATTTTGGCATATTGCACCAGTGTAGCCAGGGTGACAAATACACTGTCCGTTGTTACAAGTTCCTCCATTCATACACTGTGGGTTGCACTGTGGAGCTGTCATAAAGAAAAAGTTTGTTGGAAATTAGTAGACATGTAGACTTTATAAATAGACAAATAATACACAGCAGTGAGGGCATTGGTAAGAATTACCCACACAAGGTACGTATGGCACAGTCTAAAATGCCCTAGGCGATAGCCGAGGGTGTTATGACTGTTTTGAAGGTACCGAGTGTGGGTGATTTTACTAATACCCAAACAAAATTATGTGTATTATTTGTTTTATAAGTATTATGTTTTATTTGTTTTATAAAATGATTTTGATAATGACCAGTCATTATCATTGGAGAATGACCAGTCATTACCATTGGATAATGACCGGTCATTATCCAAATTAAGCAAAATAAATGCCTGGTCACGGGTACACTGTCAACCAATCATTTGATTAGGATCCACGTCATCATCTTATGTCAGATATCAAATGAAAGCTTGGTTCTATTACACTATGGTAAGTGTTCATTTTTTAATTGCAATTTTTTTTTTTTTAATAATCTTTCAATCATTATTTTTTAATGTAAATTTACATGTAGACATGTACTTCAAATATTCAAATAAGAATTTGTTTTGCTATTTACATAGGGGAGGAGTGAAAAAAGATTTCTCCCCCATATACAATTCTTTCAGAATAACCCTATTCAAGCACTTTTGTCCTACGCATGATAGGATTTACCTGTCACCATCAGAGTAAACCTAGCCATAACTGGTCCCACCATACAGATATACTGTCCCTTATCAGCAGGGCTAAGACCACTGATGTACAGTCTGGTGGCTGATGGCGTCTCATAGACTTCCTGGACTCTCAGGTTGTTCCGTTCTGCCGTGGCTCCAGGAACCAGTTGTCCGGAGGGTCCCTTCCACATGGGGTTCTGATAGATGCTGGTACCAAGAATCTCACACAGGATCTCAAGATCCTGCCCGATGTGAGAGACACCCTGACGGTTTGGCGTGATCTTGATCCTTACATCTGAAGGATCTATGTAAAGGAGATAATAATAAGTGAGGATTAAAGTCACAAAAGAAGATGGGTAGTCAAGGAAGCACACAATGTTTCATCTGGAGAGCTTATAAATACATTCATTGTATAATGCCCAAATCTGAGAGAAAAATTCATACAAAAAGTATGTTTATATATATATATATATACAGTGCGTCCCAGAAAAAACGAAACCGAGAAGTATCGATGTTTTATCATGACTTAATCAGAACCATAATTAATGAATGATACATATTTGGAAAGCTTAGAGTCTCCTCTTTCAGGTGATGTTAATCAGATGATGCATATTTCACGCATGAGTGATTAAAAGCAATTTGAAGGAAGGAAACCAAAAAGTAATTTGGCGGGCGGTATCTGAATTTCAAAGAAAAATTCACATTTCTAGAAAGTTCATTTTCTGTTCTTTCATATGATACCTCAATCAAGAAAAATGAGCTAGGAATAACAAAGTTCTGTTTGTTTAAAGTAGCTCTTACATTTTCATAATTTTAACAAACGAATTCGTTTTCACTGGCTGCCTGCCGTAGCAAAAAGCAGATTTGACAAAAGACTTAACTCCATTTCGTTGACAATCAGCCATGCTTGAAGACTATCGACTACGGCTGATTGTCAACGAAACGGAGTTAAGTCTTTTGTTAATTTCATTTATTGATACGGCAGGCAGCCAGTGAAAACGAATTCGTTTAATAAAATTATGGAAATGCAACCACTACTTTAAACAAACAGAACTTTGTCATTCCTCGCTCACTTTTCCTGATTGAGGTGTCATATGAAAGGGCAGAAACTCAACTTTCTAGAAATGTGAATTTTTCTTCGAAATTCAGATACCGCCCGCCAAATGTCTTTTTGGTTTCCTTCCTTCAAATTGCTTTTAATCACTCATGCGTGGAATATACATCATCTGATTAGCATCACATGAAGGAGGAGACTCTAAGCTTTCCAAATATGTATCATTCATTAATTATAGTTGTGATTAGGTTATGATAGAACATCAATACTTCTCGGTTTCGTTTTTTCTGGGACGCACTGTATATATGTGTGTGTGTAAACGCCGGAGAGTTTCATGTCACAAAATTTTCTGATTTGACAGTAAACACTGTTCAAAAGTAAAATGTTACCATTGTAGCAGTGTTACATGTACAGGTGCTTACATGTGGAATTAACTGTGACAGATGCATAACAGTAATTATACAATTTTAGAATTATAGAGGAATATTACTCAAGGGAATGTATTATATTCAGTATCCTCCAGTATTTGATAGTCATGATATAATGTCACAATATAAAATACATGGGCGGCGTTTCACAAAGATCCTAAGTGGAACTTAACTCTTAGTTGGACTTAAACATTATGGAGAGCCATATTCAAAAGCAAAAATTCAAGTATTTTAGACTTTTCATAAATTCCACATCAAGAACAAGAAATCTTCTTGATAGTAGAAAATATGAATGATTTGAATCAACATTATATGCCTTTTAAATGACTTTTACAAAATATTTTCCATATTTGTTAATCCAACTTAGAGATAAGTTCAACTTTGGATCTTTGTGAAACACTCCCCAGAGATACATTGATCTTACCTCTGGTTCCGCAGGCGATACCACTGTACCCATTAGGACATACACAGGATCCCCTGACACAAGAGCCTCCATTCTGACACGGTATTGGACAACGGGCTTCTGTACCAGATAGAGATAATCATAGTTAACACACTGACTACTTAATTCCCTCATAACTGTAGCTTAGACCTTTCTACAGTAACCACCTTGTATTGGACAACGGGCTTCTTTACCAGATAGAGGTAATCATAGTTAATAATAATCATAATCTGAAGTTATATAGTGCTTAGTACGGAATACCGTCTCTAAGAGCTTTACAGATATAAAATGATCATTGAAATATGGCTACAGAGGGTTTCTCAGGTTTACCACTTCTGTGATAAAATTTGCATCAGCCATACACAGGAGTATAGTTACTGTTGAGGCTTAATGAACACATGCTAAAATGATCACAATTCTGATAAGCTAAAAGCTATATATCAATTAACTGACACTTACATGTTACCAATGTACATACATCATCTGAGCTGGACAAAACTGCAGCTTGTAATATTCTTTTATATGCTAGAGAAGCCACTTTTAAAGCACTACAGGTATAATAATAATAATAGGCATTTATATAGTGCCGTCTAGACAATTCTATTCCGAGGCGCACAAGAAAAATAGAAAGAATAAGAGAGTTTGGATGAGTTTGAATAAGTTTCATAGTGCCAAGTGTTAAATGTTAAAACAAGATGAGATTTCAGCTTGGATTTAAAGGTAAAAGTAAAGACTTGCCTTCGACAACAATAGAGAAGGTAGCGATGACAGGTCCGACTGTGCAGGTAAAGGTGCCCTGGTCTGCGGACTGGAGGTTAGAGATCACTAGCTGGTTGGCCAGTGAAGAGGTGGCAATGCTGAACACCCGGGAGTTGGGGTCTACAAAATATGGTAGAATAAATAAGGATGATGAATATAACAATAAAGATGATAATGATAATACAAACAATAAAGTAATTATAATAACAATACACAACATTTATTAGGCGCTAAATATTGTTGTTTGTAAGCGCACCATTGCCTTTCTACAAAGTACCAACCAAATTATAAATCTGATCTTTATTCAATAAACCATGCATGTATAATAAAAATTAAAATGAGACCAAACATAACATAAAAAATAGTGACTACAAGTCCACCATAGAGCTGAGAGTGGCTTGGTGCGAGTAGAGATCACTAGCAAAAACAAAACTGAAGAAGTGCATGTACTTAACCAGAAAAAAAAAAAACAATATCATGCCAAGTATAACCTACACCCAAACAGTAGAGCAGTTTCATACAAAGAATGTTTCAAAATGGGTGTAATTTTGTTAGCTGTTCGGCCATTTCATTCGGAAATTGTCATGTTAAATTATGTTAACCTGTGGTGACTGGCTGGTTGTTTGGCCCAGTCCATCTGGGTTGAAGGTACGTTGGTCTTGCGCCCTCTATCTCACATGACATCCTGATACTGCCTCCGATCACTGTGTTTGCCTGGCCGACCTGTCGTATCTGAATGGTGTAAGCTGCAAAGACAATCGGCAATGAATAATTCAAGAGAAATTCAAGCTTAGTAGTCAGCTACTCTAAAAGCAGAAAAATCAGGGAATTAGAACAAAATGAGAATTCATGAATTTGTAATTACTATACATGTTGGCACTTAAATTGGCTGAATCGGCAGGTTGCAAAGACAATTGGCAATGAATAAATAAATGGGAAATAAAGCTTAGCAGTCAACTACTTTAAAAGAAGGCGGAAAATTCAGAGTATCAGAACAAATAAGATATTTATGAATTTGTAATCACTTTACATGTGGGTGGGCACTTAAAATTGGCTGAATCAGCAGTGTCACTGTGACGAAGTGCTGTACAGCTCGGAGGGGTCTTTTCTTTTTACAGAACCTTTAATAATATGATACCTACAATATTTTAATACGTCCCCAAGGGAGAAGGTGCATGGCAGAGAAACTGCAATATATTGATGTTTTTCTTTCTCAGCAAACAGCAGAGTTGTCCTTAAAAATTTCACAATCCAGTGGCCGAATTGCAAATTGTGATCTCATACTTGAAACTTTCATAACTTTCTTATTATCACTCCAATTTAATTGAAAATTTTGTCATTCTGTTTCTCTTATTTTACGCCCTTTCATACAAATGGCATTGTTACAAGGGTTGGATTATCCTACTCTACTGCACAGGAAAAAGAAAATTGAATTGTGTAAGATATTAAATGGATCTAAAAAAATTTTCCTAAAATGTTTGTTATCCCTTCCTAAATCTTGAATGATTTGTATTCACTTGTTGATATGTTAAAGCAACATTTTCACATTGCAAAATGTGACGTCCTGAAAGATATAAAATTAGCTTTAACAATCATCAAGTAGGCAACATGAACTTAAATTCCAACATTATTTAGGTAATTACATACTGGTATTAACAATTTATAATCAATTATATCATACTTATTCACATATTTTCATTTCATATATTCACGCCACACATGTTTGACATTTCAGAAGGACTATTGCAACATCAACAAATATCAATGTGACAGAAAATAAAAAGAAGATTTTTTTTTTGGCCCAATTCACTATTCTGGTCCTTGAAAGCCTTTAAAGACAAAGACAGGTATTTAATTTTAGTATCTATAAAAGGCTTTTAAGTGGTACCATTCATATCAGTGTCTTTAATATCTTTAGCGCAGTACCCGAATGACTGACTTATATTGTTTTTGTATTGCTCAGTCATCCGGGAACTCCAACTATCATACAGGAAAAAAGCCATATTTACTGAGGAAGTAAAATTTCGCTATTTAGCCTTATATAGATAATAATAATAATATTGTATGGCTTTGATTTTGTGTGATAATGAAATTTATTGCTCTCGATATGACAATTTATTCTTTTATCACACTCAAAGCCATCCAATATATCATATAGTCTCTACTGTTCCCATGTTAACTCACCTGGTCTGTCACATAGTACCCCTGTGAATCCATTAGGGCATAGACAAGTTCCACCTGCACAAGTTCCTCCATTCTGACAGGGTCCAGGGCAATCAGGAACTGATAGAAGCAAAGACAATATTCAACATTTCTTCTTATTAATGTTGTTAATATTTATATAGTTATTATCATTATTGTTATTATTATTATTTCATCTATATTTCAGCTTGATCTATGCTGGTTTTTTCTCATTGGCATAAGCTAAATCCCTTAGCCCTAGGCCTCAAATACTTTTTGTTAAAGTCTTGCAGTACAAATTATTGGCATAAGCTACATCCCTTAGCCTTAGGCCTCAAATACTTTTTGTTAAAGTCTTGCAGTACAAATTATTGGCATAAGCTACATCCCTTAGCCTTAGGCCTCAAATACTTTTTGTTAAAGTCTTGCAGTACCAATTATTGGCATAAGCTACATCCCTTAGCCTTAGGCCTCAAATACTTTTTGTTAATTATTTATTATTATTATTACAACTATTGCAACCAACACTTAAGGTTGGATTTCAAATACCAACAACAATGCAATTTTTAAACATTCCTCACTACTATATGAAATCTATTAGAAATAAAGGAAATAAACGCCACCAATCTCTATCACATATTGCTTACAGACAATGAAATGTAGCAATTTTAGTTTCTTAAAACAATAATTGTTTCCTGTTATTAATAACAATTTTCACAAAACAGGGACTTACTTTCAACAGAGATGACTACTGAGTTGGTGAGAGTTCCAATGTAGCAGGTGTAGATCCCGTTATCATTGGGAGTGAGGTCCTGGATGAGAAGCCTTGACTCACGATCAGAGACATACTGGACATTCAGATGTTCAGAACCACCTGATAACATTCAAACATATGAGATGAGATAAGTGAAGGTGATGTTTTGAGATGATGTATCGGCTAAACTAGTATCGGCACAATAATAATTATAGTATTTGATCTTTTTATAGCACACCCATCCACCACGCAGGGTGCTCAATGCGCTCCTTTTGTTGCCCTCTTTGTCTTGTTCAAATGTAATTATTTATGAATGTACAATCTGATGTTTTATTTGATGTTAAATTTGAATTGAACATGTGTTTTCATGATGTTCATCATACAAAAGAATGGAAGAATCTTTACCTTGCCCAATGGGTAACACGGCAACACCCCCTGGGGAAGTCCAGGCAGGGCGGGGGTAGTTGCTGCTAGTAGCTATCTGACAAACGTAGCTGATATCATTGCCAAGGATAGGTGCTTGGTCAACGGGTGGGCTTACTGTGATGACATAGTCGGGACCAACTGTGGAAGAAAAAGAGATCAGTTCAAGATTTGTGCTTGATGCCTGATGGAGTACCTGTAATCACTTTAGCAGCTCACTCAAGAAGCTATACTGGGATGGTAGGTGGGGCTAATAGCTGCAAGGAGTGCCATGAACTGCAGAAATGGTCTGTGGACAAAGCACTTTACTCTATCAATTAATCAATGAGTGAAAAACTAACAGTTTATACACAATCACATATGATACCTGGTTTATATGTTACTTAACCATGAATATGCATGTTCATTTTGTTAATATATTCAACAAAATAAATTTAAATCACTCATTCAACAATTATGTAGAAAATGATCTAGCACATTGCTAGAAAATAGATATGGGCCTGTTGCACAAATCTTACCATCGATGGTAACTTTGCCATCAATGGTAACTACCATGGAAACCTTGATTTTGATTGGCTGTTGGGCCCTGTTACCATGGTAATTGCCATTGGTGGCAAAGTTACCACCAATGCTTAGCTCACTCACCTCTCTGTTCACACTGCAAACCATTGAAGTATTCTGGACAGATACATCGGTTAGACACACAGGTTCCTCCATTGTGACAGGTCACAGAACAGTCCGCTGTAAAATACAGAGGCAGGAGTGGTAAAGGACAATAATTTAAATGCAATTCTATACAGCTGTTCCTATGCCAAAATGTCTTAAAGTAGGAGTATGCACTGAATCTTAATACACTAAACAGATAATTAAAAGAAAAAGAATCTTTACATGCAGCATGTACATGCACAGAAGTGTTTGAATATTTCATACAAACAGGATCGTACCTCTATTTGGACGGTATTGGGTACTACACAAACTTATCTCGGGTTGCTGGTCTAGCTCTATAGAACTACTGAAGTTATGAACTTTACCAGACTCAATGCTTGGGAAGGTTCTTGGCATGTGAGAAGTCTATTACCAATACTTATAATTGTACTACAACCATCCTTTAAACATTTTTGGAGACAAGACAGGAAGACCGGACCTGAAGTTAAAAGTCTGTCTCCTGTGATTGTAAAATAAATAATTATGTATTTATTTGAATTAATATTGGATCAAACTTATTTGACTGACCTTGTGAAGCAACGGTGATGGTGAAGTAGCTGGTGAGAGTTCCTAGAGTGCATGTGTAGATGCCGGCATCTCTGGCCTGGAGGTTGTTCAGTACTAGGGTGGTGGCTGTGCGGGACGAGTACTGCACTCCAACACGCTGGTTAGGAGCTTCACAGATAATAACAATAACAAATTTGATGTGTATTATTTTGGGGGGGATACTGAATAGGGACAGAGTTTGAGGAGTTCCATTAAGCTTTTGTTTGTTATCATCATTATTCACTTGCAGTTTTCATATGTTAATTCATGTGCATTTATCATCATTGTACACAGGCAGTGTTCATATTTTAATTAATGTGCATTTACCATATCATTCAATGTATTTATCTCAATTTCTACCAATTATCCCCATTACATCTTTCTTGGGATGGTTGATTGTTCATTGTTGCTGATCCACTAAGTATTGTTTCATGGTCTTCTTACAAGTTCTTTCTCTTTCACTCTTGTTTTTTTCTGAAGTGAGAATATCAACAACTAAAAGCATCAATGACAGTCATTGTGAAGCTCCCTCATTTTCTCCCTGCCTCTCCCTCCCTCTCTCTTTCTCTCTCCCTCTCTCGCTGTCCCTCTCTCTCTCTCTCTCAAGTTTCAAGTTTCAAGTTTCAAGTTTCAAGTTTTATTTATATTTCTTTCATAACACACATTACAAATATGACATGAATATAACAAGTGAACAGAATATGGCGTTACAATAGAAAGATGAGGTGACCTTGGTTGAAAGCAAGGCATGTGTATTTAAGGTCCCTCATGAGTAGCTTATGAATATGTCCTAAAAGAACAACCTCTCTCTCTCTCTCCCTCCCTCTATGCCTCTTCCTCCTCTTCACCTCTCGTCTTTCACTTACCTATACCAAACAAGCGCACCGGGTTTCCAAGTTGGTCCATCCAGCGTGGTTCAACTAGGTCGGTCATACCGATAATCTCACAAACAACCGTCAGGTCATCACCAACTAAAGGTAGATCGTTGATGCTTGGTGTGAATCTGATCGTCACAGGCTTCCGTAGATCTGAAAAGTGAACCACAACATGAATTTGTGACCATGCAAAAGCTTGGCGTATGTATAGCTGTAGAATAGCAAGTTGCTGGAGAGTGGAGGGGAAACCAACTTGCAACTTAATACAATAAATTTGGTAAAAAATGAAATATAAACATAGGAACCTACCACTGAGAAAATGCTTCATAATAACAGTGCAGGAATTGTATTAGCTTTCATCAAAATGTTCAAATTTAACTTGATTCTAGGCAATACAGTTACACTCACAAGTAGAGTTAGAGTTACCTACCTAACAAAGGTTGCTGGGTTGTAATAATACATGTATACCTTGAAGGAATAACATTTCCATCTATAAATCTTTTACTCTCTCACTTCAACCAAGATAAATCTCAAAGTATCATATTCAATTGGTTAGGTAGATAAATTTACAGGTTAGCTGAAATGCATGAAGATGTTATTAGAGCATTAACATTTCCTCAAGAGAAAAAGAATTGAATCTTCATATCATCTGTTTGGATCCAGAAGGGCATTGACTCATACACTTGAACACCCTTTTGGCTCTGAACAGGTGATGTGATGAGGGGGGATCCAGATTATATATTGTAAGATTTATCAACACATTATTTTGAATATTAATATTTCCATTTGGTGTTCATCAGTACCACATTCAATAGTACATACTTTGTAAACTAACTGTATTTCCATGTATTCAAAGGACTTACATCATTACATGTACATACAGATGCAAATATATTTCAACAACAGATACATTATTTGTAGAAATTTCTTAATTGTTTTCGTTTGTCATTAGAATTAATTTGTTACTTTAAATTAGAGCTCATCGAGCAAAGGTTTATTGAAATTGCGCTATGTTAAATGCAATTGTACCTATATATTTATGGGTGTCACGTAGTGTGCAGACTAGGGGCAATTGCTGCGCAAAGCTAAACTTGACCCCCGTTAAATTATCTCTAGTCATTCAAGAATGACATAAAGTTTGCTACTGCAGTATTCAGAGGCAGTTCACCACTCAGCATGGAACTCTGTATGGAACTTTACTTTCTCTCACAGAACTAGCCTTCATGATCTGGACTGCATTCACACACAGAGATTGAGTAGTATGCGGATTATAATCATAATAGAAAAAATAGTAATATGTCTTGTTTATCTAGGGTAGCCTTATTAGTATTTATTCTGTTCTACATGAGGACCCTGCAATCATCTCATTTTCCGGCTAATGAACCATTGCTGCAAATAGATTAGTTTTTACCCCACAAAATTTCCTCTTGCCAATCATCCATAAAATTAGATTTACCATGGCAGTTTCTCCACACATTTTACGGAGTCACGTCTGAATGGGACTTATGCTACGGTCACAAAGGTTCCTACGAACGATAATTTTGTACGAATCTCTGTTTTTCCATTGTCTTCCCGACTTTCCATTGTCTGAAAATCCTTCATACGGCGTTCGTAGCAGTTTGTAATGGCATTGTGACTGAGGCTTTAGACCGAAAGCTTCAGTCTCTGATATTGACGGTTGTTCCGCTGAGATTACATCTGGCTCCTCTTACCATATGGGGAATGTTGACAAATGTCAGTTTTATTAAAGAATGACCAATACCAGACGGTTATTTCTGTCTGAATGTGACTTTACTTACTCTCACAAAACTGGCCTTCATAGTCTGGACTGCATTCGCAATCTCCGTTAACACAGCTTCCTCCGTTAATACAAGCAGGCATGCACTCTGTAAGGAGCAAAGTTAGAGTAAAGCCTGCCCTCATAGTACAGTTAATGAAAGCTTGAAGTTATGCATTGCTTGCATTAATGAAAATAATAGAAAGTCAATTCATATATATTACGTAACAGCAATGTCATTAATGCATAAATAAACTTGATACATTATCAGTTGAGTATAAGAATTGTCATTAGTCTAAACTTTTCTGGTGACTTAAGGACCTTCTCATTGTCAACTGACGACATATGAATTACATGAGGCAATAATCAGAAGTACTTTTTTCAGTTCAATTCAGATTCATGTTCACATTTAGTTATAATTAAAAAGTAATTTTATATTCATATCAATGTTAAATTCTTATTGGTCATGCATAATACAGACATTTAAAAACTGTCAGTGTGTTTCGTGTTAATGAAGTAGATTTTTATAAGAGTTCAGGTAAACAGATAGTAAGATAAAAATAAGAATTGTAAATTAAATAGAACTCTTCATCTTATCCACAGAAACATATTCATGATGTCATCAGTAGTAGTAGTAGTTTACTTTAATAATAGTAGAAGTAGTAGTAGTAAAAGCAGTAGTAGTAGTAGTAGTAGTAAAAGCAGCAATAGTGGAACTAGAAAATAGATTCCTCAGCTTTCATTAACCAATATATAAAGATTAAATGAGAAACATTATTATTTTAGTAGAATATGTAGGATTTAATAAATCGCTCTTATTAATGTTAGAGCGATTATCCATTATCGTGGAATAGTTTCAAAAATTGATGGATCATGCAGCTGGAATTGTAGCATTAAAAAAATGGTAAATACAATGGTCAATATCAATGGAAGTTTCATTTCCATGCAGGTACTATTTATTATCTCTCCTAACCCTTTTTATTTTAGAAAATTGTCCAGTAATTTCATTAACTTGTCTTTAATAACTTGTCTGTATTTTGTTATGGATTTTCCCTAAGACAAGTCTTGCTCCTTCCTCCTTCTATTTTCTAAAATATTTAATTTTTTAATCTCCAAATTCACCACATTGTAAAAATAATTTCAAATTTGAATGGAATTTATTTTGAATAATTAAGAAGAAAGTAAATGTAAATTTCAATTTAAGTCCATAATTACAATTAATTACAATTAATTTTGATGCAATTCAAGATATATATATGTCAATGCATGGACAACTTTTGCTTAAAAAAAATAGATGTCCAAATATATCACAGAATATTTTCATCGTCCTCACCAACTTTGAGGTATACCACTCATAGGGTTAAATATTTTTTCTGGAATATTGAAATTGCTGCAAAAAAATAAAATAAAAGGATCAAAGTAGAAAATTGGGAAAACAGATCTCCAATATAGTTTCATATCATACAGGATGGCATTAACACAAACAAGTGAAAGGACGTTAGCATCTGTCTGAACGCATTGTAATGTTACTTGCATTACTGAATGATTTCATACCTCTGTGTTCACACTGGTAGCCTGTATATCCTGGGGCACACAAGCAGATGCTGCCGTCTGAACACGTTCCTCCATTTTGACATCCTGGTATACAAGGCATTTCTGATAAAAACATGAATGAAAAGTGAAGAGGTAAAGCACATCCCCTTATGGTGAGATTGGGAACTGAATTTGCATGAATGATATATCCAGAATAATACATCCATACGCAAGGTGTGCAAAAACGCAAAAACATATGCAAGGTGTGAATATTAAGAAGTAGCGGAAAAAGTATACATTCTTTCTTTTATATTCTTACATCAATTTTAAAGATGGTATTCTGTAAGAGAGATAACTTTTTAAAAAACATACATCTTTATAACTTCTTCCTTTGCTGGGGAAACAAATTTTGGATATCTTATGAAACACAGAGACTTCCAAGTTTAAAATTATAGTACAAGTAACTCACATTAAGTCACAACAGTAATCCATCTTAAGCAACTCCTGGCTACAAATCCCATGAATCAATATGAATATTACCGGTAAGTGAACTGAATGTTTGGATTAGGAAATGCTATATTTTGTTTCTTGAAAACAGAAATGATAACAGGTGTTGCAAGTATGCTTTCCCCCAGGAAAATCTTCCATCCCTCCATCAATGCAACAAATAGGCCATGCTCCCAATGTAATCAAATTGCATGCACGAACCTTTGGTAATTTGCTCCATTTACAATTTTTCATTCACAAATAATTGTATCTCAATAGTCAGAATGCAAATTACATACATTACATGTCGTTAGGTAGGACAAGCCATAATGTTTGTCCTACAATCATATACAAAATTTGGACACGGATTGGTAAGAGATGTGGATGTGGGTGGAAGCATGTGGTGGGTGTGCGTGTGTGCTCATGTGTGTATGTCAGTGTTGATGCAGTGTTGATGTGTGATTTGTGTTCCTTCTTTGAACTTACTGTAGAAGATCACAGTAAGGGTGTTGGTGTAGGAACCAATGACACAGGTATAGATGCCAGAGTCTCCTCTTTCCACCATATGGATGTTGAGTTGCGTTGCCGTGGGTGATATCGCCCGAGCATTGATGTGGGATGCATCACCTACGAAAACAGAAGAATGGTGGCATGAAAGACTTATTACCTTCTTTGTGCCATAAATAAGCCTAAACCAATACAAGAACAAAAGGACATTTCATAGTATGCTGCTTGCTTCTATTACTATTGCAAGGGCACATGTTGGCCTTAGCATGTGCTTTCCTTGGTTCCACAAACGTTACACTTTATTGAGAGTTTATCAAGTATAGCGGTCCTTAAATCACTAAAACTTCTGAGGCTTGTGTCACTCCATTTAGAATGCGACATGTATGAGCTTTTTTACCGAAAAGATTCTGACAGTTCATGATTATTAAATACATATAACTTGAAAGTCAAGTTTATGCATCTGATTTAATCAAGACGTCTTAGCCAAAAACATAAAGTTGTCTGCTTCTCAGAACAATACGCTCTTTTCCTAAAAGAAGATCTTCATGACATCAGAATTAATAGTTTTACCACCATACATGCAGGCGCGGATCCAGGATTTCTTAGGGGGGGGGGCCCAAATTTGAAATTATGCGAGCCAAATATTGGTACGTTATGGTGACCAACAGTGACGTAATGCGGGGGGGGGCGAGGTCCCCCCTCCCAGGCTTTGACGTTTCATTATATTATTAGAGAAAGAAGACGATTCGTTGTACCGTTCTCGAAAATAATTTTCGTCTCAATTTAGTTTTTTCTCCTCCCGCGCGAAGCGCGGAAAATTTTACGACTTATTAAATTATAAGAGAAAGAAGACGAATCGTTGTACAGTTCTCGACTCTTAATCCTTGTCTAAATTCAGCCCCCCCTCCCCCTCCTGCGCGAAGCGCGGAAGCTTTGACGTTTTATTAAACTATTAAAGGAAGAAGACGATTTGTTGTACCGTTCTTGAAAATAATTCTCGTTTGAATTTAGTTTTTCCATCCCGCGCGAAGTGCGGAAAATTTTACGATTTATTAAATTATTAGAGAAAGAAGACAATTCGTTGTACTGTTCTCGACTCTTAATCCTTGTCTAAATTCAGCCCCCCCTCCCCCTCCTGCGCGAAGCGCGGATGCTTTGACGTTTTATTAAACTATTAAAGAAAGAAGACGATTCGCTGTACCGTTCTCGAAAATAATTCTCGTCTGAATTTAGTTTTTCCCCTCCCGCGCGAAGCGCGGAAAATTTTACGACTTATTAAATTATTAGAGAAAGAAGACGATTTGTTGTACAGTTCTCGACTCTTAATCCTTGTCTAAATTCAGCCCCCCCCCCCTCCCCCTCCTGCGCGAAGCGCGGAAGCTTTGACGTTTTATTAAACTATTAAAGAAAGAAGACGATTCGTTTTACAGTTCTCGACTCTTAATCCTCGTCTGAATTATGCCCCCCCTCCCGCGCGAAGCGCGGAAGCTTTTACATTTCATTAAATTATTAGAGGAAGAAAACGATTCGTTCTAAAGTTCTCGACTCTTAATCCTTGTCTAAAATCAGTCCCCCCCTCCCCCTCCTGCGCGAAGCGCGGAAGCTTCTACGTTTCATTAAATCATTAGAGAAAGAAGACGATTCGTTTTACAGTTCTCGACTCTTAATCCTCGTCTGAATTCAGGTTCCCCCCTCCCGCGCAAAGCGCGGAAGCTTTTAATCTTCATTTAATCATTAGAGAAGAAGACGATTCATTGTACCGTTCTCGAAAATAATCCTCATCGGAATTTAGTTCCCCCTCCATCCCGTGCGAAGCGCATGAGCTTTTACGTTTCATTAAATAATTAAAGATTCGTATTACCGTTCTCGCCTCTGAATCTGAATCCTCGTCTCAATTCAGCCCCCCCCCCCTCCTCCCCTCCTGCGCGAGAAAGAAAACGATGCGTTGTACCGTTCTCTATACTCTTAATCCTTGTCTGAATTTCAAAGAGGTGGGGTCGAGGCGGCGGAGCCGGCCCCCGGAAGCCCAGCGGTTTTAGGCGTTTAATTAAGGTCAGATGAGCATATTTTTGTGTATACCTTATTATTTTGTGACACTGGCAAGTCACTATTTGGCGTGGGGTCCAGGGGGCGGAGCCCCAAAAAATCAGGGGTTTTAGGCATTAAATTACCGTCAGATGATCATCTAAGAGACCGCCGTAGGGCCCTAGATGGAATCCAGGGGGCAAAGCCCCCGGAAGCTTAGGGGTTTTAGGCATTTAATCACGGTCAGATGAGCATATTTTGATGCCTCGAGGCTCTTGATCCCCGCCGTACCTCGGGCCCTGACATGTAGGAATTTCAAGAATCATATTTTTTGCCTGGTTGTAAATTTAGGAATTTTTTTAATTTTCCAACAAACACATACAAACGTATAATTTACTAAAATGTGAGGAAAAATTTCGGAAATTATGTCATTTCAGCATTATTTGTAATACACTGTTGTGGACTCAGAAATAAACCACGTTTGAATTTGATTTCCCCCAAGCCCCCTCCCCGCTCTATCAGTACGCCAGTATCTCCTCTTTTCCTTTTTTTTCTTTCCCTTTCCTTCCTTCTCTCTTATTTTTTTTAGATTGGGGGGGGGGGGGTTAACAGCCTGGGAGGCAAGGCCCTTTCGGCCCCCCCCCCCCCCCGATTTCCTTCTTCCCCCTTTACTTTTCTTCTTTCTTTCCCTTTTCCCTTTCTCCCTTCTTTTCCTTCTTCTCTCTTTTTTTTTTTTTTTTTTTGCGGGGGGGGGGGGGGGGCCAAGGCCCGCTCGGCCCCCCCCCTGGATCCGCGCCTGCATACATGTAATGGCTACTTTTATACACACTGCACTATACATGTAATTTCTGAACACGTTGGGGAGAATATTACCCTCACTCTCACCTTGTACAACACGCTCTCCATTGGGTTTGACCCACACAGGTCTCTGGAAACCTTGAGGGTTGTCTACTTCACACACTAACTGTAGATCTGTACCAACAGGGGGTAACCTTGGTACATGAGGAGTGATGTTGATCCGGAAATTTTCATCTACAAATCCTTCAGTTATAAGACAATGAAACACACAATGTATTGAAAGTATTATTAAAAATAACCACATTGAAAATAATTGTAATACTTGGTGTAAAGTACATACAAACTTTGATTAACTCACATGTACATACTGCATTACAGTATCTTCACAGTCTAGAGACACAAAAAATCATCCATTGGAGTACATAAGATTCATCTCAAGAAGTCTGCACCTTAAAGTGACTCGGTAACATTGTCTCGGCTTCTAAAACAAAACCCTAGATTTAGCTCATGCTGCAATCATAATTGTAAACCTTTAAGTCAGTCAGGAATCCCATGACTTTTACAAACCGATCGCCTGTCTGATTATCAAGATATTTATGATTGGAAATTGAAATTTCATTTTTTGTTTTCTAACAGTTTTTAGAACACAAGCCTAATGGTGAAAATGAGTATGGTAAAACCAGTCACTTAAATATTTTAACTTTTTTGAGGCACTTCATGATCATTTTGAAGCGCAATTTTTTTTTTTTTAAGTCTTCAATATTACACCATATCACAGACACTGATCACACGTAGGGCAGTGCATCTTAGGTTTAACATTGTTAAACAATGCCTTTAAGGCTATTTCAGATATGACGCGGTAAACCACAGCAAAAAGGCTACCACAGGTTTTTATGTGTAAATGAATTGCAAATGCATGCAACATTGGTCCTGCACATATTCACTAAGCTCTGTGTTATAAGATACATAAATGTGAACCCTAATACACATTACGTCATTACAAAAAAAAAATGTCACAGCTCAGCCATATATCCGAACAAGGCTTTACTGCAAAATGTGATGAACTTACTTCTGTTTTGGCAGAATGAACCTTCAAATCCTGATGGACAGATGCATCGAGCATTACTACAGGTGCCTCCATTAGCACAGGGAAAATCGCACTCAGTTACTGCAAAGGATAAACATCATAACTTTATACATCTAAACGTCTTTCTGCATTTGTGACGCACATCTATGAATTTTAGTTTTCAATTACAAATTTCTGTAGCATATTAAGATACATAACTTGATTAAGCCGGAGCTAAGCTACATTTAGGAAACGGAAGACAAAGAAAATGGAGTTCAGTATGAATGAGGACATGATATCTAACCTGAATTTACAGCTTTCTTATAAAAAGCCTATGGATTTCCAACAACAACAAATCAGTATTTGCTTTGAATTTTGAATAAGAGATGTGCTCAATAAACAAATACACCAGATTTCAGCAAAATCCAAGTTCAAAAACAGCAAACATTAAAAATGTTTACTACAATACTTCATTTATTTATTTATGTTAATGATTTTATCACGCTTTTCGATTTCAGATTCTTAGGCTAGTAATCATTTCAACTTATCAACATATTGACGCATGGTTACGTAGATCGGCCTGGAATGAACCAAGACTTAAACTTCCTTATCAATAACTATTAACCTGTTGCATATGCGAATCAGGCAATCCCTGTAGGTAATGGTGATTAGAGTATCAGTAGTCATCAGGTTAATTGATTGACAACAATATATTCTGAGAAGAGAAGAGAGATGTACTTACTCTGGAATTCACAAGCTATTCCTCCATATCCCTCAGGGCACATGCACATTCCCATGCTGCAGAGACCATTGTTCTGACACCTTGGGACACATTCAGCCTCTGTGAAAACGTAGAGAAACAGGGCCATGTTTCATAAAACGTCTCATCAATAAAAACAAGTTACAAAAACTATTATAAGCTACTGAGATCGTGCCATTTCATTGGCTGGGAACAAGTTTGTTCTAGAAGTCAAGCATTTTTTCCATGTATACCAAAAGGTATTATGCCTCCATTTGTGAGGCTAAACATGATTTCACGTGCTTCTTGAAATATTTGAAGCTGCTAGGGCACATCATGTCTAACTTATTCGCACAGTGCTTCATTTTTCCTGTACATCTTATTCCAAAACATACATCACATCAAGAGGAAAAAATTCACGCTCAATCAGAATGTGCAGATATGTTATGGAGAAGCCACAAACCATTCCGGGCCCTGTTTCATAAAACTTGTTATCAATAAAAGGTAACAATAACTGTTATATACCTCACTTAAGAAATCCAGCCATCTGATTGGTCGAAATTGCATTCATAAACTTTAACTATTTCTGTAAAATTCCCAATAACCATGGTTACCGGGAAAATAGGTCAGTCTCTATGGTTACCCCATAGGTTTACATGTTAAAAAATGGTTTGAGCGATCGAGGATACCATACGTGTGCGAAGAATTGGTCGGTATTTTCATACAAGACAAGACAATTCCAAACAAGACAAAAATAGCTCAAGAATCTCTCCCAAGATTTCAACTTATCAAATGCAAGACTCGCTGACAGCAAGAACAACAAAAAGGGTACGTGAAATTATCCATAAACATGTTCGTTTAGTTGCTGAAAAAGCATAGACGTATAGACTCTAGACGAAAATAGATCTAGTTGTCAGGGTGTCTGATCGCGCACCCGATGCATGTTGTGTGTTAAAATTATTCCCATAGAGATTGTACGCAATGCAGTCCCTATGCAGTCTATGTGCATTCCGCGACCATGCAAAAAAGGTCAAGTTTTTTTTTCAATTCGAGATTCAAACCTTTATAATCTGTTGTGATCCTGAAGGTGATACTCAATAAGTGAGGTGTCATATGAAAGCGCAGGTTCTTCTCCATATTCCCCACAGGGCCGGCCCACCCCCAAAATTGTAAAAATATCTTGCTTAGACTAGAATCTAGATCTAGTCTACTCTCAAAGATACGAAAATAGATCTAGTTGTCAGGGTGTCTGATCCCGCACCTGATGCATGTTGTGTGTTAAAATTATTCCCATAGAGATTGTACGCAATGCAGTCCCTATGCAGTCTATGTGCATTCCGCGACCATGCAAAAAAGGTCAAGTTTTTTTTTCAATTCGAGATTCAAACCTTTATAATCTGTTGTGATCCTGAAGGTGATACTCAATAAGTGAGGTGTCATATGAAAGCGCAGGTTCTTTTCCATATTCCCCACAGGGCCGGCCCACCCCCAAAATTGTAAAAATATCTTGCTTAGACTAGAATCCAGATCTAGTCTACTCTCAAAGATACACTCATAAAAAACAACCGTGCAGATAAACTAGAGAAAGGCCAAGGTGGTGTCATTAGTTGACTCTTTTGTTTTCGGCATATAAAAGTATTAATGACTGCTTTAATATTCGAGAAATAGTTGTTTTTATATGCTCTCGGGAAGGTTACAATTGGGCTATTGCCCTCGGCACGCCTCGGTCAATAGCACAATTCTAACCTTCCCTTGAGCGTATAAAAACAACTATTTCTCTCAAAGCAGTCATTAATACTATACTATCAGCTACTGAAATTTGATTGGCTGAGATCAAATTCGTCATAGAAATTAATCTTTTGTCATTGATAACACGTTTTGTGGAAAAGGGCCCAGAGCAGCTCCACATTCCAACTCTCTCCCTTAACAACAATCAAAACGTCTTGAATGAGTGCAGATCAAAGTGATTATTACTGGTTATAGGTTATATGGGTCTTGGTAATGGGTCTCAGGGGAGTGAACCCAGGCAGACTCAAATTTATCAAGCAATTACTATTAACCCATCGCCTTTGGGAACCGTGTATGCTTTGTAATAAGACGATGGGAATTAGATAATTCAGTAGTCATCAGGTTGATTTAGTGACAAATACTCACCCTGGATTGTGATGTCAAACTCATTATCATACTCTCCCACTGTGCAGGTGTAGATACCGGAATCTGTCTCTACGATGTTATTGATAACCAGTGTAGTGGTCATGGAGGATTCCTCCTCAACACTCAGATGTCTGCTGCCACCTGGTGAGAAAGAGCATACAGTCAAACACATATCACAATCACCACCTTCATCCAAAGGCCACTTTCTACAGTGGTATTACCTACATGTATATTGAATCTCTCTTGAAGGAAAGCAATGTTTGTTTTAGATCCTGTCTAAAGTCCACCTGTCTTCAGTGGAAACTTTGATTTTTCTTTCAAGTGAAAAACAGTCATGGTATACGAAAGCACATTAATTAAAAAAAAATAAATATATTTCTAGACAGTATCTAATTTTTTTAACATTGTATGCCTCAGAATATTGCAAGCGGGTTGAGCTCTTCTTTTTTAAAATCTTTTAAGTCACCTTGGTCAATAGATAAATATTCAGAGATAAATTATAGTCAAACTATTTGGTGTTGCAAGGAGGTATATTAACAAGAGAATAAATCTGCAAAAATGTGCATAAATTTAACAGAACTAACGTTACCTTGATGAACTTTTTGATGTGTTCTTTGCTAAGACTCAAAAATGTTTGTTGTGAGTTTCTTAATTCACCAATTATACATTGCATAGAGTAGTATAAACATAGATCTACTTGAGTATGTTTTCTTTCCTCCTTTACTGACATGTTTATTCACGTCCTCTCTCCTCTGACTGCTTTCTGTGTCTTCCTTCGGTGTCTTTATGACGTATTATATAAGTCAATACCTCTTTTCTATGTGCTTTTTCTTTAATACTCACTACCTTTTTTCTTTGTGACGTAATTATTAAATTTCTCTCTCATTGCGCCTTGGCGCATTTCATGGAAATATGCATCTTTTGACACATAACAACAATAAAATAATTCCTTGACGAAGCCCTACGACTAATTTGTTATAACAATTTCTTAATGTACAGAGCAGTATCATTTCATGTATTTTTCTGAGTTTTAGCGTGAGTGTATATATTGAATATGTTTGCATATATTTGCATAATTTTGCACGAATTAAACAACATTCCCTTTACCTTGATCCATCCTGCTGATGAGTTCTCCGCCGGGATTGACCCAGGTCGGTTGCTGGTTTCCTGATTCACCAATGTAGGTACATGAAAGCCTCATGTTGTCACCCACGCTCGGAGGGTCAAAGGTCACGGTGTTGACAGTGATCTCAAAGTTATTCCCAACTAGAGTATGAATAGAACAAACACATTCAAAATTTTACATAAACATTAACATCACTTAATAATGTATAGGAGAGCACATGTCTATGAGAGATATACGTGTAGGAGGGTCAAAGGTCATGGTGATCTCATTTTTAAAACAGCTAGTGACGTTTATGAAATAAAAATTCTTCTTAACATATCTGAATGAAAATTTAGTTAACATCAAGCCTCATCAAGGTAATACATATATTTACTAGCTCCATATACTAACCATTTGAGTGATAACATTATGATTTCCAACAATAATGCATTTTGCATTCCAAAATTGTCTGTTTGTGCCAGTTCATTTTGCCGAGCAACCCAAGCTAAATCATATGACACAATACATTTTGTATATTGCATGAATATTTGTACTTTGAATGTAGGTCTAAAATTTCTAAGATTTGGAGATAACTCACTCCCTCTGTGAAACATGAATATAGAAAAGTATATTTGATTTCGATATGATTGATGTTGATAAAATACAAAGTACTAAATTTGTACATCAAATTAAAGATAAATAAATTGCTAAGATCATTATTTTCCAACTTATGTATATTGCAATAGAGGGGTATGTTAAAGAAAGCAATGCTTGTATGATGCATGACTTGTGGAGTTTGATACTTACCTCTCGTTTGGCAGTACTCTCCGATGAAATATGTTGCGCAATGGCAACGACCACCATAGCAATGTCCATTATTCTGACAGGGGAGGTTGCATGGCTGAGGGACTATATCAGGAGAAAATAATCAAGAAATAGATTAACTTCCCTTACACTATTTGTATCTATACACAATCATTCTACGCTGTAGAGGCCGCTGAAAAACACAAGTCACTACTTGTAACAAAATGTTTAATTCAATTGGGGAAAAGGATAGAACATTATCAAGTAAACATTTATTAGCTCAAACTGTTCAGTAAATTATTTATAGTATACATGCAAGGATAAAATCAACATTATCTTGATATGTGTTAATGTGTTTAAACATTAACTGACAAATGTTTGTCCAACTCGCACTTATACCGACATTTTGTTTTGCTTATTGCCGCATAATAAGGTTTCTGATCAAAATGGTTTCTGTGCCATCCCCTCCCTGGATTTGCCACTGTCAAGATAAAGCAAATGACCATTCATTTCTTTTTAACATAAGTTCATAATTGTATTCTTTATCTGTTCTAAGGTAAAACAAAGGTGTTTGGAGCATTGAACTAGAATATGATCTTAACAACAGATAGAATTGTAACCCTAACATGTATAGAAATATGAGGTTACCTTCGTCCAAGCAGATGGGTCCAATGTATTCATCAGGACAGATACATATACCTTCCACACAAGTTCCTCCATTGAGACAGGCCGGTATACATTCATAATCTATATTGACAAGAAAAAATGCAACGTGAACGAGACCACTACAAATTACACATGATTTTTAAGGTGAAATCCAGCCTGATGTCAAGTTGGTTGTAATAGAAGCAGAATAAAATTAGAGAAATGAATCGTTGAACGTTTGGGGAAGTCCAGTAAAATTGACAAAGTCATACATTTTTAAAGTTGTAATCAATGAAACGGAAATTGGCATATCTGTGACATATATTTGGAGCAATTCTCCCATTTGCATTGTACTGGACATTTCAGAATTTCCAATCGCCTACTTGTTAACTCTTATCCTGCCATAATGAATACAGCCAAGTGCCAAAGGGCTAATCCCCATTGTGCCAAGCCACAAATCCCCCTTGTGCCAAGTTTATTTTGAGATAATCTGATGGCGCGATCAATAGCGTGTGCGAAGCACTCAGCAAAGTACGAGCATTCACAATAACTGCTATTACGAATGCGAGCATGCATGCATAAAGCAGCTAGCTGTGGCACGCTCCCGTGAATTAAGCAGCCAATCGATAGCGCGCTCGCGTGTACAAAGCACTATAACAGTAGCGTACATGCAGCCTTATGGCAGGATATGAGTTAATGAAGAAATAAATCTATTTCAAGAAGGGCTCCTGGAAAACATAGGCACACTCATTTCAGCTATGTTGAAGGGACAATCAATTTTTTTCTTCAGAGAAACTTTCTAACTTCTTTAAAGAAAAAATAGAAGAGAAATAATACTATTACTCAGTGGAGGAATATACACACTGCCTTCGTCAGTATAATCTTATTCTTTTAATGCAACCTACAATACAATTGTGATGATTGCTAAATTTTATGTTAATTTTTTTTTTTAATATTTATGTACATGTACACTTATGTACATTTATATGCACCTTCAAATGTCCAAAGACAAATTTTATGGGTTTTTACATTAATTTAAATTATCTTGAATCTTGAATACTCACATTGTATGGTGATAGTGATAGTCTGTATGGTCATGTCTACTTCACATGTGTAGAGCCCTTCATCTGAGGCTTGAATTCCTCTGATGTGTAGAGCTGTGGTACTCGGTCCAACGAACTCCGTGAAGACATGGCTAGAAGCACCTGAAGTGAAAGAATGAACATTCATGAACATTCCAATAAATAAGGATTTTAAAACGAAGCCCAACGGCACCAATAGCAACTCTGGTCCCCATGGATAATGGCTATCCAGCCATCTATTTTATCTTGTAATACATAATTCTATTCGTTATTGTTTCCTTTTTTTATACAGAAAATAAAACAAACAAACAAGACATTTGCAAGATGCAAGAAAATTATGTATACAGGAACTTAATCCCCTTCATGTACAGTTAACAACTAAATTATTCATAGGCTTACCAATTTTGTTTTATTTCGTAGGTATGTGAAATTAGATTTTTCTTAATCTATGTTTTCTTAAGAATGTGATATATAAAAAGTTACATCTAAACTTATTCAATAAATGCCCTAATTCAACCAGTCCACATTTCATTCTTGAGATACGAAAAACACAGAAAACATCAAATTTACAAGGGGTATTAACGATTTAGTAGTTAACTGTATGTCAAAGGTTTAAGACAAGAAGAAAATATAAATCTAGAAGGCCTGGTTCATCATACCTGTGGCTAGTGAAGGAACAACGTTTCCATCAGGTCCAATCCAAGCTGGTTGCGGATAGGATAATCTATCAGACAATACTTTACACATAATGGTGATCTCATCGCCTACCAGTGGCCTTCGCTCAAAATCTGTGGTGATTGTTACATTGTACTCCGCAGCAACTGCACCAATGGAAGTGATAGTGATAGAGAAAAGAATTATCAAAGGTTCAAAGAAATGTACTTAATGTAATTATATAAATGACATCGATCAGGTATAGCATTTCATTAAAGTGTACCAATCACCTAAAGAAAACATTTGTCTATATCTAGAATGTATGAAATCAACATTACAACATTTACCTGATATTCTATAAATAGTCAAGGAGTATGAAAAAAATAGAGGATAACATTAAACATTAACACGGATGCGTGTGAGTCCAATTCTATGAAAAGAGTGCACTCGTTCATAAACAAATCTAATTACAAGACGTTTTATTGTGTACTTTGAATACAATATAGTCACATGGAACCACTTACATCAAGAGAAAAACACTTTTTGGTGATTGAAACACTACAAAGCTCTATTGAGGTAGGGTTCAGGAAAAAGTGAAAACTGTGTTGTTAGTTCCACATTCTTTTTATTCCAACTCGTGTATGTGGACTTTATAATAATTAGTTCATAGGTGCCAGTTGTTGAGCAAAACTTAGAGCTGGTGTCATTAAGATATTCTGGTGCCATGTGATTTAGGATTTTGAAGACATTCAAACAGACCCTTAAAGCACCTCTGCACTGGAGGGATTAGAGGGATTTATAATAGCGTTGTCACTGACAGGTGGTTATCTCATCAACTCGGCTCTCAATTAACATTAAAAAAAGAGGATCATGGGGGACTAACAAGCACCGCTTAGGCATTGTTTGCTACATAGAGGGCGCAAGTAGCTACAAGTAGGACAGTGGGGTTTAAAAAGAATGCTTAGATGTAGGGGTAACCGACAGTGATGATAATTATGAGTACTCACTCCTGCTTTCGCACAGGTTACCGGTGAATCCTGGTAAGCAATAGCATGTAGCTTGGTCACATGTTCCACCATTAAGACAGAATGGAAGAAAGCAGATCTCTTGGATAACTGTAGGTGAAAGACAAATGAATTTGAAGGAACGGATTGTGATTAACAAGTACGATACTAACAAGTTCCACCATTATAACAGTAACAAAGAATTAGCTATTCTGAAAAGAACCTTGTTTCAATCAGAGGTTAACAAAAAAAAACTAAGGTATTCCAATGACATTAATAGCATTCATTTATTTATTTTCTTTCTGCTTCATTCATTCATTTATTCACTTGAGTGTTTATTTATTCAATTATTGATTACTTTAAAATGGTTCAGTAAAACAAATCCTCATCATTTGGATCGAAAATTGTGGATTCTTCTACAAAGGATAACGCAACATCATAAGATAATTTTCAGGACTACACACCCTCAAGAAAGATTACCGAGAGTAGTCCTTTTCAGGACTCTTTAATCCTCCCTCTCTCTCACATGGTGCAACCACAATCCTACTGTATAAGATCCTATCATTCCCTTACCGCTAATTTCACAGATATCCCCTTCATAGCCATAAGGACACAGACACGAGCCTCCAATGCAGCTTCCTCCATTCAAACAAGCAGGATCACAGCTCGGAACTGCAAGGGGAAAATTTAACACGACTCTAAATATCACATGAAACTGAATAAATTGAAAAGAAACAAGACGTGGTATAGACAAAACTTTTTAATATTCAGGGTTCTTTGCATTATCAAAGTCCTAAAAGAAGCAAGTTAACATCGCGAATGAGAGAAGAGACATCTGTCAAAAATTGCATAATCTTTATTGATCTAATTACATCTTCCTGCGATTGTAATGCTCAGAACCTATCATTTCAATCGTTTCAATTCAGTCAAACTAGTTGTAAAATCATAAATTGATTGTAAGTACATTAAGCCACGATTAGGATTTGTTAAGTACTCTTCAAAAAAATAATGTTAGCAACATAACAAGCATGGTTCTATATACCATGCATTATGGCCATTGACCTTGGAACTTGTAAGTTTCATCAAGTACAAAATTTATCTAGAAATATTTCAGGTTCTAGCAACACACATGAAAGCTTAATGCATATTAGTATTCATTTTTTCAAACATGTAAGCAGCTCGAAAGTGAGCTGAATAGAGATATCTTAGCATAAACTCTTATATTTACCAATTAATGTGACCTCAAGTGTAGCAGAGAGAGGTCTGGCTCTGCAGGTGTATATTCCTTCATCCGCCTCGGTGGCATCTAAGATGATCAATCTGGTAGCAGACAAAGAGATGTTCTCAGAGTAGACACGACTTGTTCCTACGAAGATACAAAAAGGGTTGGGTGATTATGAAGAGGCTGCTTACAATGATGTTGCTCTCAGAACCAGTATCTTTGACTCACTAATTGTTTACTCATTGACCTTGTGCATCTCCTTGATTAGGTAGTTTAGCAAAATATAGTTGCAGAAAATGACGCTTGCAGGACGCTAAAGGCGTAATACTTAGTGATGTTTATGAGTTCTAAGTTCTTATTTTTACATATCTGAATGAAAGATTAAGTAAGCCAAATCGAGACAGTACATGTATTTACCAGCTCCATTCTTGAACAATGTACTACTACCTCTAAGTGATACAAAATGTGATTTCTAACAATTGTCCCTTTTGTGTTAAGGATGCGTCCTTACGTCTTTAATATCGACAGCATTATCCACATGGTGCACTTTTCAACTAATACATGCAAGCATAATGAAAAAAATCTTATTAAAGCATCAACTTTAATCATCATCAATATGGTCATCAGTAATATCATGATCACCATTATCAATATCATCCCCAACATCATAATCATCTAAATATCATCATTATCATCATGATTCAACAGTCTTATCATCACCATCAACATCTCTCCAAATGTGGATGTGTCTGGTACTATCATTTCGTAGTTATTCCTCACCACTATTGCCACAATTACCAGCATAGCCTTCAAGACGACCAAAGCTATCGACATCTCCATAGTCATCATCCATACAACTATAAATACTTTCAATTTCATCATCATAATGATCATCATAATCATCAATATCAACTGGTAATAAAATGGTTTGTTTGATTTTGAATAAAACAAACTATTTCATCACCATCACTTTCAATAAATGTGTCAATGCCATTGTAATCATCATCCCTACAACTATACATACTTTAAATTCCATCATAATGATCATCATAATCATCAATATCAACTGGTAATAAAATGGTTTGTTTGATTTTGAATAAAACAAATCATTTCATCACCATCACTTTCAATAAATATGTCAATGTCATTGTCATCATCATCATCCCTACAACTATACATACTTTAAATTCCATCATCATAATCATCAATATCAACTGGTAATAAAATGGTTTGTTTGATTTTGAATAAAACAAACCATTTTATCACCATCACTTTCAATAAATGTGTCAATGTCATTGTCATCATCATCACCAACAACAACAGCAACATCCCCACCATGCCATCTTCACCCTCACCTGTTCCAGTTCTAGTTCGAATAGGGCTACTATCAAATCGGGAGTGCCAGAAGGGTCAAATCTGACTGACATGAGCGCTATACATGAACTCACTATTATTATTATTATTATCATCATAACCATCACCACCACCAACAACAACAGCAACATCCCCACCATGCCATCTTCACCCTCACCTGTTCCAGTTCTAGTTCGAATTGGGCTGCCGTCAGGGTAATACCAGATAGGGAATGCGGATGTGTCTGGTTGAGACATTTCACAGATGAATGTAAGGTCTGATCCTGGGCTTGGTGGTGTGGTGAAATTCGAAGTGATAATCACGTTGAACCTCGGACCAGCTGAAATACAATGCAGTGTTTGAAACATGCTCAAGTTAATAGGGTAGATATTAAAGGAAAACTTCAATGTAGGTAGCTTAGCCAAATGTAGTGGCGTAAAAAGATGCATCTGGAATGGAAATGGCCAAACAGTAAATAAAACAGGTCGAACATTGACATATTCTTGATGAAATATTGTGTATCATTAAGACTAAACTAAGTATCAAAGATATCTACCAGTCCTTTGTCCTAAAAATATAGTTCTATACAATGACATCAAATGATTATTTTAAAAAATAATCAATTTGGCATTCCAGACATGTTTTTTTTTTTGGTGCCACTATATATTATGCTAAGATACCTCAAACCTACTTCAATTCCCAAATTTCTTGACATTTGCAGCAATTGATTCACTAATCGTGCTAGAGGCAGGGGGTTGTAGAACACGAATGCCAAAGACTAGAGATAGCTATCCTTAAGCCTTAAGAGCCCCGCAATTCAACATAGCATTCCATTTGCAAGAACAAGAAAATTAAATTCACAAAACTGAACAACAATAATCCTTACATGCGACGGTGATGTTAATCTCCTGGAAGCTGGTATCTAGGAGACAGAGATAGACTCCGGAATCCTCTGGTCTGATGTCAGTGAACACTAGACAAACCGTGTTATCACTCGTTGCCTCAGTGAATGTCCTCGAAAGGGCATCTTCACAAGGGAAGAATGTGAAATAGAAAGTTATAAAGCATCCATAGCTACAATACTTTTCAGGTTTCAAATTTAGTTTCATTCATATTTCACAATGAAAAGTTCATTTTTTCAATGAAAATAAAATATTACAAAAGGCAAAAAAAATATACAAAGACACAGATCAATATTCTATTTTTAAGTGAAGATGGGTCTGATGAATTTTGAGGGAAAGACAATGAAATCTAGTAGAAAGCTAAGCTTGTATGTTATAGAGTCACTCACACAAATGGGTAGAAAAAAAAAATTAAATAAACACCCCATAATTTAAAATTTACATTTAAAAAATTTCAGCATTTCACTACAAGAATATACCTTAAGATCTCTTCCTGTACACTGCTGTTTATTTTCAAATGCAGAGCTTCTTGACCAAATGATAAATTCAACAAATGCCATACATATATGTAAACGGTCCTTATCCAAAGTTGGGAAACAAATTGTGAAATATATTATAACTGCAAGGAATGATACTACACCGACTACTCAGTGGACTGGATTAGATTGTATAGTATAGTGTTACAGCACAAAATAATAATAATAATAATAATAATAATAATAATAATAACACTTATAGGGCACTTCATACAGGTGTTTCTAAGCGCACAGGTGGTACTGTCTAACTCAGTATAATTATTCAACATGTTCAATAGCTTAAAAGCAATAAAATATAATAAAATATTACTAAAACAATAGAATTCAGTTGAAAGGAATTAACTACTTATGTGCGCCTCCAGTGTACTATAACTGATTAAAAAGGTGAGTTTTGAGAAGGGTTTAGAATGATTCAATGAGGCATTTTGAATATGGGGTAGGAGTTTGTTCCAGAGGGCGGAGGCAATCAATGAAAAGACACGGTCACCAAAACGTATAGTTTACCATGCAAGAACAGGAGAGGGGGCAATTATACTTACTTCTTTGTTGGATGGAATAGCCCTCAGGATGAAGCCACACGGGAGTGGTATGGCCACCTTGAACCTGACAGAGAAAGCTGACATCACTGCCGATGGGTATCTCACCAGAAGGTCTTGGTAGGATCGTGATGTTGTATTCAACTACCACTGGAGAATTCAAGATGTTGGGGATTAGAATGAATATCATTCATACCAAAATATGCAAGATTTATGGATACCGTTAGCTGGTTTGTTTATGAAATGTAATACATTTTAATTACCTTCATGCTATAGTTTGCAGGTCTTCTGGGTGTACCAGTTAGTCAGGAACAGGGACCATTACGGTTACAGTGATTTAGTTTGCTTTCCTCTTCCCCGGCAGCCAACTGATGCACTCAGAGGACCTCCAGGAAGATTGTGCATTTATAATTGACATTCTCTTAATGTTTGTTTACTTATATTTACATTGTTATATTTTTTTGTGAATTGCCGAATAAATATTAAATAAATAAATATATAGAAGCCATAGCACTGAACATGTAATAGCTGGATACTGCTTTGATATCAATGTATCACAGAAGTGTAAACTAACGACTAAAATGTGTGACTATGCTGAACCAGACATTGGTAGCTGACATCACTACCTATAATGGGTATCTCACTGGTAGGTCTCGGTAGGGTTGTAATGGTATTGTCAACTATTACTGCAGTGTACATGTCAATTAGATGAAACATCAAGTATGAAGCATGCAGAAAGTAATGCAAGTTTCATGGATTAAAACAAAATCATGTCACATCAATGGACTTGTTAAATACCAATCATGAAAACAACTCAAAATTAAGATTTGCAGCTGTAATCATTAAAGAATACACTGTCGTGTATGTGACTTCTGTTTCTTTAATAACAGTTAAAACTTTAATTTAAAATATCTCATAGAATGATTTCCACAATTATCTTTAACAAAATATTTCCAGCCATGATTTTACAAAACAGTCATGGCTACAGGTGCCAAATATATTTCTTTAAATTAGTGCTGTAGCTGAACCGCAGAACCGAACAGAAGTTCGCCGAACATGGCACTTCCGAACCGAACCGAACCGAACGCAAAGGCCTGGTTCAGATGTTCGGCAGAAAAATGCTAACATTTTCGCAAGCTAATGAACTTGTCATTTTGTACCTAATTTTCATGTCGTGATTGCTCATTTTATATTTACTTTTTTCCCATTTTCCACCTTTGTAATTTATGCCTTTGTGATTTATGCCTATCCAATGATGGACGCGACTTTACTGGCGCCATTTAAATCCCAAATCCTGACCACGCTATGTCGCGATCGCAAGCTATAAACCAAGAATACATGTGCGTGATCAAAACGAGTTCAGCTCAAATCCATTTAACAAAAAAAATCAATATTTTAAATATTTACAATATCAGACAAATTTTACAATATGAATAATGAAATAAATATATATTATAGTATGGTAATTATTTATTCAGGAAAAATAGGGATTTTATATTTTTCCTATTGAAAATAAGAACTTATAAAAAACAGTTATTAACGAGCCTGAATTGCTTTTCAAGATGGCAGCTTTCATGACTCTAAACATTAGACAACCGTCTCGGAAAATCGCCCAGTGCCGACCGCCATGGCTAGTATAGCGGTGCTTGCTTTTATTTTACCGAACCCCGAACCGAACCAACTTCGGGTGAAAAGTTGCCGAACTCTGCCGAACCGAACCGAACACGAACATAGCGTCTGACTTACAGCACTATTTTAAATACAATACATGAGCAATGGCATTTAAGAACATAACACTATTTGTATTGTTTTTATCCTAATGCAGATAGTACTAGCTCTAGATAGTCATAGCATGGCTCGTTTGCCTCTGCCTATTTGCAATACAATGAATAACCAAAAAATTATCATGCCATTGGTATTCAATGTACTTAATAAAACCCATACACACATAACCCATTAACTACTGAATTCTCTGGTCACCATAGGATTAATACAAGGAACACTAGGTTCCAGTATGCAATGGCTTAACAAAAGCATGGTGAGACTTACCTGGCTCTTCACATCTGGGTCCCCTGAATCCAATAGGACACTGACACTGTCCTCCCTCACAGAGGCCTCCATTAAGACAGGGTTCCAGTAAACAATCAGGTACTAAACAAAATACAAGAAGCAGAAACATGATTAATAATTAAGGGCAATAATTATGGAGATAATGAGCATAATGAAGATGGCGATTATGATGATGATGACGAAACACTCTTCTCCCTCACAAGAGCGTCCTTTAAAGCAGGGTTCCAGTAAACAATCAGGTACTAAACAAAATATAACAGGGCAGAAACATGATTACTAAGAAATGGCAATAAATGTGGTGATAATAAGCATGATGAAAATGGCGATTGTGTTGATGATGATTAATGAGACGCTAACACTCCTCCCTCACAATAACCTCCATTGAGACAGGGTTCCATGAGACAATCTGGAACTGAACAGAACATGAAAGACTCCTAACAGTACTTAAGTAACCATAATCAATTGCTGAAGCCTTAAACGACTGGATCCACTAGCTTTCCCCCAGCTATGCCTTAGACTAACACTGGAGATAATAAAGACCAATAATAAAAATAGCTACATTTATTTTGCACACATATCCATCCCAGCAGATGCTGAAGGCACCAACAAAGTACAGTATAGCAGTACTACCCTGGCTTTAGCACAGATGCCTTAAGGGGCTAAATGCATACAAGGAATAAATTCCTACCAGGTACCCATTTACTACACCTGGGTGGAGAGTGGCAAATGAAGTGGCAAATACTTCCTTTGCATGGTGACCCAGCGGTTGCTCAAGCAACATTTATTCTAGACTAAATTCCATCAAAGATTTAGGTAATGAAGGAGGTTGCAACAGGATCTTTATTTGATTAAGGGTTACAGTTGTGGTTAGTTATCTATTTGGTAAAGGGTTGAAATTCGGTATTCATTGAGTTTTGGAACGCAACCCTTAGCAATTATCCTCAGAGCATGTGTCATAGAACCCTTAACCCGTTGTCTACTGGAGCCGGGTGGTCCCTGTATTGAGCCTATGGGAACTACATAATTCAGTAGTCAACTGGTTAAATCACCTGTAATGTACAGAGTGTAAGGTGCTGATTGCAAGCCGACATTACAGAAGTAGCTTCCTTCATCGGTGGCCTGGACGTTATTGATGACAAGACGCATGGTGTTAGATGAGACCTGATCAACATAGATCCGATCAGAGACACCTGCAAAGAAAAATACAAGAAATATGTCAGCCATGTACAAGAATAGTTTGGAATGTCCATTTTGTAAATGTTTGATCATTTCCTACATGCTTCCCCACCATTCTGTTGTACACTATATACAGAATATTCAAGGGGTTGTGTTGATCTGCATCAGTACCATGCATATTGCAGAGAATCCACTTCAAGTGCCAATTCAGTACACACTCATACCACCCCTCCCCCACTTCAAGCTGATCAAGGAAGGGTGCAGGATTCCACAGTGAGAATGAAGCAAGGTGATGCTAATACAAGTCATATTAATGTTTAAGTCTACACCAGTCCGGACTCAACCCTTTATAGCATTGACAGTGAAATGGGTACTAATGAGAAATAATATTAATGCAATTTGTAAGGCGCCAGACCCACTTGTAATGAAATGTTCAAAGCGCACTTTTGCACAAACAACATAAAATCACACCTGTATTATAACCAAAGGAACAACAGGAGGATTAAAGATAGACCATACAAATATAAAAGATTAAATATTTGCCAAATCAAACAGATTTATGAGTATTTTGTGTATTGAACTCTTAGACTAACCGGGTTGCTGTGGTAAGACCTGCTGTCCATTAGGACCAGTCCAGACAGGATAGTTGAGTAGGTTTGAAGCTATAACCTCACACATGATAGATATATTCACACCATCATAGACGATGCCTTCGTAGTCGGGGGTTATGATGATCTCAAACACTGGGTCCACATTACCTACAAGAAAGCATTCAAGAATATCATGATGGTACCTGAAGTTGTAAATTACCTTAATGGAATTTTAAAAAACATCACACATAAAAAATTATTTCAACAGGCTGAAAGCAATACGGTATGTCACCTAATATAAAATTATACAGTTAAAGAAGAAAAAGTGTGTTTAATGTCTATCGAGTCTATGGCATACACAAAAATCAATGTTGAGTATTATCAATTTGCCTTTAAATGTGATTCACATTTACGATTTCAAGAATCTTTTTCTCCCTAAATCTAATTTTAGAAGAAAAAAAGGGTACATGGAAATATCCTGCTATCTGAACAAATTCCTAAACTACATCTAATGAATTATTATTAGGCCTATACAAAAAGAGATGTTGTATTGCCCTTTGCGACCGACCTACAAATCTTGAAATCTACGTTGTTGTTTTTGTTAACGTATTTTAGAGAAAAAATGAATTCAAAACTGAGAAATATTAGCCCAAAGGAAAAAGTTTTTTTTTTGACCAACCGACACATGTTTTGACACCTAAAGGACAATACAGGATCTTTATTTTTGGCCTTATGATACTAAGGGAACCACTTACTTTCTGTTTCACATAATTCTCCGGTAAACTCAGGAGGACACAAGCAGTTGCCATCCAGACACTGCCCACCATTCAGGCACTCACCCAGACATCCAGCTGTGAAAGTAAATATCATAGAAAAAGAATTCTCCATAACAAATTGTATTTCACACATGTGCTATTGAAGGAGGCCAACAACATCGAATGCAAAATCATAAACAGTGGTCAGAGGAGACTATAAATCGCCATATCTTCATCTGTAAACACAATTGCTGAAGTAAACATTATGTTAAATAATGTTCCTGATATCAAGAGGAGACCTTGAAGGGTCTCCTAAATATTATTACGGCCCTGTAAAGTAGCATAATAGAAATACAAGGACATGTAGTTGAAGAGCCAAGAAGGTTGAACTATGTTGCTGTGCAATTCAAGTCGTTTCTGTCACCTTCAAATTCGGTGCGAGTGTCACTCATTTATCTTCTTCATGTAGGCCTAATTATTAAAGTTGAGAGAGAGAGAGAGAGAGAATATAAATGAGTGATCCAAATTGATTGATTTGATTTGATTTATTAATTTCTGTTTGCGTAATAGAGTTTGGGAGAAAACCCACTGAGTTACTGCGAGGTGGATGATTGGCAAGAAAGTAGACCAGAGGGGTGTTTCACAAAGATCCTAAGTCAACCTTAACTCTAAGTTGGACTTAAAAATTATGGAGACCCATTTGTAGCCTTAAAATAAAATATATTTAAAAGTGAAAATTGAAGTATTTTTAGACTTTTTATAAATTCCACATAAAGAACATAAAATCTATGTGATAATAGAAAATATGAATGATTTGAATCAACATTTTATGCCTTATAAAATAACTTTTAGAAAAAAATTTCATACATGCTAACGGCTTTCCATAATTCCAACTTAGAGATAAGCTCAACTTAGGATCTTTGTGAAAGAGAGCCTGGTTAAACGACAATAGGATGACAACAAGTCATATTAGAAGAAAATACAGTCAAACCTGTCTAAAGCGACTGCCCAAGGCAAGGGAAACACAAACAGTGGTATTTATAGACAGGTTCCTTTACTACATGTTTCAACGAGAAACCATTTTCCAGGGAAACACAAAAATTGGTCTTTATAGACAGGTTCCTTTACTACATGTTTCAATGAGAAACCATTTTCAAAGGAAACAAAAAAGTGGTCTTTGTAGCCAGGTGGTCTTTGTAGACAGGTTTGACTGTAGTAACTTACAGCTTGGTGGTGGGAGCCGTGGCTCAGGTCTTATACAGTCTGTCTCTGGCAAGCTAGCACAGAGCTCCAACATGTTCCTTGTCACTCCCATGCCGTAGACCGTCAACATTCGACTGACAAACGGCTGACAGTGGTTCTGAGCGATCTCACATACATCTGAGCACATGACGTTGGCAGCGTCGCATGGTTGGTAGAACAGGTAGCACAGGGCAAAGGTCGCGTTAGCTGAGCATTCTGGAAATTTGTAAATGAAATGACATTTGATATACTTAGAAAATGCCACTGAAATTTAAGTTAAATACTGTTATTATGCAAGCTGGTTCTGCTATTTAGACTATTGTCATATAATTACAGTAGGATATGTCATGTCAACAATTCCAACCTATGTTACTACTTTAGAGTTCATATTTTATCATCTACCATGACTTATAAAATAGAGTTTCTGCTGATGCTTAGAATGATGTGTGAAGTATTCTAATTCTTTCTTAAAAAGTACTAAAATAAAAGTTATGTCTCCTTTGTAAACCCTCTCAATTGATGTACAAACTCATTATTTAGCTTAAAAAGTGATACATTTTTTTTGTAAATCGCTAACTTTCATTTATTTTTATCATGTCAGAATTATGTATTTACATGTTTAAAGTGATTTGCATGTCAGATTTCTTGGTAAACCTGTAAAAAGAATAAACAAATCATAATGAAATGAATAAATTAAATAAAATTGAATACAAATACAGTTTGGTTAACTGATGTATTTAAGTCACACACACTCTCTATGCAGACTATGGAAACACAGAGTCAGTGAAGATGTGAATAAGCTATGTTATCTTCAAAAAGAAATTAATGAAATAAAATTAAGGTAAATTTTAAAGTTTACTCTGAGTTTAAAGTCACAATCTTGTAAAAATGGTATTTTACCTTCAAAGAGAAATTAACCTAATCAAATCAAATTTATTTACTGAAAATTCCAAGTCACAATCTTACCATCATAATACAGAGTCAGTGAGGAGGTAATAAGATGTGCTATCTCTGCATCCCGGGCAAAGGCGTTAGGAAACGAGGCGTATCGATACGGCAGAATACCGCAGATATCAGACTGGATCAGAGTACAGGAGCTCAGATTGGGCGTCGGTGGGGGCGGGGATACTGTAGGTGGGGCTGTTGTGATGAGTAAGAGGGGCGTGGTGGCACCTGTCAGAGGTGCAATGGTTGACACTGTGGAAGTAAACATATTTTAAAATCAATGTAACAGGGTGTAAGTCATATTTACTTGCTATAAGTTTCTTCTTGTAGGGAATACGCAAATGTGTGTTGAAAATCATTTTCTTGTTTCAATAATGACATGTTTGCTTTTTATTCTAATATCGTTTCCTTTATGAACATATTTGCTATCCATTTGTGACTTGCACAAGGCAAAAACTTTTGATTTTGACCATGAAACTCATGTTTCAAGTATTACATCTTCTTTAGAATTCTAATGAAGAGATTTGGGGCAAACGTTGGATAACCTCATTTGAAAGTCATTATTTTTAAACGGTTCTTGAATGCTGACAATCTAATTTGTTGAATGTCAACAAGTGATCAAGATTCTTTCTTTTCTACCATGCCCAACGTGCACAAAGTTCCCATGAAAAAGTGATAACGCACAGCACGAAGTGATAATGCACGTCTAAGATGCACATATAAGGATCTACGGCGTAAAATGAAAAATGAAAATCGCGATGATATGCCAAATAAAGTGTCAAATGGGAAGGACAATGATGAGCGCACTGTGACGCACTTTATATTGCTTTGGTGAACTTATGTGATGTCATTCAATAATGGAGCCTCTGTAACTGCGCGACACTGCTTTATTGAATGACATCACATAAGTTCACCAAAGCAATGTAATGTGCATCTCAGACTGGATTTGTTGCTTATTTCATAGCTTTATATTCATACTAGCCAAACCCATTTTATAAACAAAAAAAATCATGTTTTGAAGCTTGTGCTCTAATTAAATACACTGCACTCGGTTAAGTTACAGTGAGTTGAATAATTAACTTTGAAACGCCTCACTCACTTTCCAATTGTGACTTAATATGGATGCAGTGCATATTCAACTTAGGCCTAAAACAAAAAATGTTGTATCGCCTTTTAGGTGCCAAAACATAGGTCGGTCGGTCAGAAATCTTTTTTACATTTTTTTTTCTTCTCCCTTTGTTGGCTGATATTTCTCAGTTTTGAAAGCTTTAATACATATTTTTTCATTGACTGAACTTTTTTTCTTCTAAAAACCGATAAAAAAAAAAAAATGTAAAAGCCGACCGTAGAATTCAATTGAGTCGGTCGCAAAGGGCAATACAACGTCTTTTTTAAACGCCTTATGCACTTGCAAACATGAATTATTTGAACACCATACCGTACTAACCTCCATTTGTGATGTTAAGGGTGATATTGACTTGGTTGAAGATTCCTCCGAACCCACAAGTATAGATTCCTTGGTAGCTTGGCTCCATGTCCAGGATAGTAAGCCTCACACCTTGGTTAAAGAGTTCCTCCACAAACACAGAGTAACCTGATCCTAGGTCACCACGTACTACAAAGAATTAAATTCAATTCAATTTATTTTGCCAAGCAATAGAAAACATACAGGGTTATACAAAAAAGCAGTATACAAAGTTTCACACAATTACAATTACTAACACAGATAAACACAGAAATACGCAGAATCAATTTACAAACATGAATAATACAAGGTAAATTGCTAAGGGTGGTAGCAGTCAGAAAGGAGGTGGTCCTTATATGCGGCCGACCAAATAATCAATTATAAAAGTATTATGATTTAATTTAAGCTATAATAACAAGTAAAACAAATAACTACGACATGTAAAATATAATTAATTTAACAACCGTTGAAATATGTGGCTAATATCAATATTTGTTAATAGGGCCATCAAATATTTTGTGTATTTATGTTTAAAAGTGTTAACAAATTTCAACTCAACAGAAAAGCATTTACTCAAGTTGCTTAGCGAAATGTGGTAGGGTGAAAAGACGCATCCGAAATGAAACTTGATGGAATTCGACTGCGAAACGGAAGAAATTTTTCAAATTCAAGTTCAATTGTAATCCATTAACATGTTCTCAGAATATCGTGATTACAAGCAATTTCTCATATACATAAATGACCCTTTGATCTTTGACCTCATGACCCTAAAATCTACTCAGTTCATTGGCTCTGCAAGATTTCCTGAGTTAAATAGTAATCCATCTGTCAGTTCTAATGAGAATGCGTCCACAAGCTATTTTTGCATACATAATGAGCCCATGACCTTTGATCTTATGAACCATTCATTGGCTCTGCAAGATACATAAATGATCTAAGTTTGGCAGGAATCCATCAATCGGTTCTTGAGATAAGGCGATCACGAGCTGTTTTTGCATACACAATGTGCGCTGTGACCTTTGACCTCGTGACCCCAAAATCTAATCAGTTCATTGGCTTTGCAAGATACATACATGACCAAAGTTTGGCAGGAATCCATCAATCGGTTCTTCAGATAACGCGATCACAAGCTGTTTTTGCATACATAATGAGCCCTGTGACCTTTGACCTTTGACCTCGTGACCCCAAAATCTAATCAGTTCATCAGCTCTGCAAGATACATACATGACCAAAGTTTGGCAGGAATCCATCAATCGGTTGTTCAGATAACGCGATCACAAGCTGTTTTTGCATACATAATGAGCCCTGTGACCCTTGACCTGTGACCTACGTGCTCCAAAATCTAATCAGATTGTCTTCCTATGGTGATACATACATGTACTATCATCAAGTTTGGAGTTTAAATCTCCAGTGGTTCTTGAGATATCATGATAACAATCTCAATGTATGGAATTTCATAAGTTGACCTCTGTGACCCTTGACCTTTGACCTACGTGCTCCAAAATCTAATCAGATTGTCTTCCTGTGGTGATACACACTATCATTAAGTTTGAAGTTTAAATCTCCAGTGGTTCTTGAGATATTATGATATGGTGATACATACTATCATTAAGTTTGAAGCGAAAATTCTCCAGTGGTTCTTGAGATATCGCGATAACGATCTCAATGTATGGAATTTCATAAGTTGACCTCTGTGACCCTTGACCTTTGACCTACGTGCTCCAAAATCTAATCAGATTGTCTTCCTATGGTGATACACACTATCATTAAGTTTGAAGTTTAAATCTCCAGTGGTTCTTGAGATATCATGATAACAATCTCAATGTATGGAATTTCATAAGTTGACCTCTGTGACCCTTGGCCTTTGACCTACGTGCTCCAAAATCTAATCAGATCGTCTTCCTATGGTGATACATACTATCCTTAAGTTTGAAGTTTTTACATCTCCAGTGGTTCTTGAGATATCATGATAACAATCTCAATGTATGGAATTTCATAAGTTGACCTCTATGACCCTTGACCTTTGACCTACGTGCTCCAAAATGTAATCAGATTGTTTTCCTATAGTGATACACACTATCACTAAGTTTGAAGTTTAAATCTCCAGTGGTTCTTGAGATATCATGATAACAATCTCAATGTATGGAATTTCATAAGTTGACCTCTGTGACCCTTGACCTTTGACATACGTGCTCCAAAATCTAATCAGATCGTCTTCCTATGGTGATACATACTATCCTAAGTTTGAAGTTTAAATCTCAAATGGTTCTTGAGATATCGCGCTAACAAACTCAATACAAGGAATTTCATAAGTTGACCTCTGTGACCTGTGACCTTTGACCTACGTACTCCAAAATCTAATCAGATCGTCTTCCTATGGTGATAAATACTATTCCCGAGTCTTAAGTTTAAATCTTAAATGGTTCTTGAGATATTGTGATAAGGGTCAAACGGGACGGACGTACGGACGTACGGACGGACAACCCGAAAACATGATGCCTCCGGCACCACCTTCGGTGGCGGAGGCATAAAAAGGCATAATTGTTGAATATCATAATTTTATCACATACAGTTACAACCACATCATTAGGATCTGGAGCTGACAAATACATGTACTATCTCAATTAGGCTTAATATTACCTAGGTTTTCATTCATATGTGTCAATATAGAACTTGTAATTCAACAGAAATCACTATCAAGCCTTTTGCGTTTTAAACGTGTCTTTTTGTGCCACTACATTTTTCTAAGCTACCTTAGTATAATTTGAAGTCAAAGAACAGTGGAATACTATCTGTTAACAACTAATTTAATTACTTTTGGACTTGATATGAGGCGCTGAACCGTGCCAGGTTTTTTATGATGGTGTGAAGTATAATACCTTCACATTTCTGTATCTCCTAACATTGAGCTAACTGAATATGAGTACGTTTTTGACATGCAGTTGCTTTTCATTGCATGTTTGTTTAAATGCACTGTCATCACGAGATGCACACAATTATATCAACGTACATATTTTCTATTATCAAGGAGATTTCATGTTCTCGATGTGGAATTTATGAAAAGTTTAAAATACTTAATTTTTGATTTTTATATATTTTATTTTAAGGCTACAAACGGCTCTCCATAATTATTAACTCTAACTTAGAGTCAAGTTCGACTTAGGATCTTTGTAAAACACCCCCTGATCATTCAAAAATACCACATACCTGCTGACACCACAGGTACGACGGTCCCATCAGGACCATACCAGATAGGTGAAGCTGATGGATTAGCATCATAGATACAGGTGAAGGAGACAGTAGTGTCCCTGTCAATGACTGTCTGACCAGGGATGATGATTACTGTGTGTGAAAGATGGTGATAAAATATCAACAATAATATTCTGTTCAATTGTTTAAACATATTTGTGGCTTACACCCAGTAAAAAAGATTGACCACCAGGCCATCACTGGTCCATGGCACAGTCACGATGAACTAGAAACAAATACCAAAACTCTCCTGATTCGTTCTGACTTATTAATATTCATTAGTCCGCTTTAGTCAATTTAAACAATTAAAATTTCTCACAGGAAGCATTACATTTAAAAAAAATATTCTGTATATTACATTTATAAAAAATGTTATGTACTACATTCTTACACCATCCTTAGGCTTCTGAAATGATATCCCTGGCTCTGGCCCTGGCAATTTTTTTCATGACAAAGAGCATTTCAAGGCATCAGATACCTATATGTTACACCTTGGTCAAGAGTGGCGAATGGAGATGTATGTTATTGCAAGAGGACTTTAATACCATTGCTATAAACTTATCTATTATACAAACACACCTCTGCAAATGATACAGATGTAAAATGCATGTATAACATAAGCATGTAACACATCTGCAGATGATCCCATATACCACAAATTCAGATCTTAGAACAGACAGGAAACCACATTTAAACAAAAACTGCTCAAATCAGCACCACTGTGATGCTTTGATATCCAAATCAACATTTATAGTAATGGAAGCCGTTTATATAAGACAAGCATTATATTTAAAGACATCACTATCACATAGATGACAACTCATTGTAAGCAATGTTCCTACTCACATGATACTTCACAAGAAGGTCCGCCGAAGCCTTGAGCGCATTCACAGATCCTGTTCACACAAGTGCCTCCATTGCTGCAGGGTGTGAAGCATGCTGAAAACAAACAACATATGAGTACATAAATATGTTTGCCAATATCTCATGCCAAGCAGAAGGGCATTAATGCCTATCTGCACTAGTTAGGCCAGCAGGGATTAGACCTCCTTGCGTGGTCACTGACAGGTGGTTATCTCATATCAGCTCTCAATTAACATAAGAAAAGGGGACCAACGAGTACCGCTTAGGCATTGTTTGCTATATAGAGGGAGCAAGTAGCTACAAGTAGAGCAGTCTCGCTTTAACACAGGTTTTTGTAAAATTTCCAAGCTTTTCATTTTTTAAATGATGTTAGACCTGATATGGGCTGCATAGATGTATTAAAAAACCAGCAAATACTTTGGAATGAGTTTTTCTCAAGTTGTAGATCCATTGTCCTTGCACCCATTCATGCCCTCCAGCTGGGCTCATAACAATTTGTGTTATGAATGATATATATGTTTCATACGATATTTCAAACCCATTATGAAGACACAAAACAGATTATCAACTTTTCCAACTCTACTGATTCAAAATTATGTTTGAAGGCTAGCTAACTAGACTTTCAAACTAACAAGTTAAATTGACCATCAGTGCAAGGAAGGGCACGCAATTCATTGGACACTCCATACAATTTTGATAACTATGCTAATCCCTGCACTATGAAAAAAGGGGAAGACATCTTTCAACCAAGAACATATTCTTACAGGTGTGTGGTGTCAGTGGCTGATCAGTGGTCTTGTAACCGGGAGGACCTGATCTTGAAACCAAGTCAATACACTCATGCCCTTTGGTAAGGCATTAATCCTCATTACCAAGTTCCTTGGAGAGGACTTAAAGCCATCAGATCCCTGGTTGTTATTAAGTTACATGCATAACTGTTTCCCTACCAGTCAGCTAAAACAGTCATCAGCAAATATTGTGATAGCTTTATGTGCAAATCATCAAGCAAAAATAACTGGTTTCAGTTTCGGTGACTTACTTTCAAATTCACACCTTATTCCTTCAAATCCTTGCTGACATACGCAACGTCCTTGGTAGCAAACACCCTCATTCAAGCAGGATGGGAAACAGACTGTTAAAGGATCACAAAACATATATAGTATGTCATTCCTATAATGATCAATATACATTGATATATGGGTCAAGCAGTAACCCAATAACAGGTGTTGTCTATCACCAGGATTAGCCTTCACTTTTATGACTAACAGGCTTTAAGTAATGCTCTGTTTTTTCCACTTATGGTTAAGTCATTATCCGACATTTGCATCACCCAAAGACTCTCTGGGAGACAAGGGGGGTAATTCTTGATTGACCTACGGGTTTGCTGTGTGCAGACGTGTATACACCCATTAATGGTAATTCCATCAAGTCTGATATCAGCGGATCATGACCTTCTGCATATGGAAACTAACGACACACTGGCTTTAAGCACCAGGGCCCAGATGGGCCATACTTCCTGACCAATACACATACCTGGTATCTCACAAGCGAAACCAACATATCCATCGGGGCAGACACACAGTCCATTAACACAGCTTCCTCCATTCAAACAGTCCTGTAGGCAGCTCATCTCTGGCTCTGTATGGTGAACAAAATATATGTTTTATATCCCAGAGGAATAACATTTTCCAGGTGACCCATTCTGCAAGAGGCCCAGATTCAAAGCCAAGAAAAATAGTTAATCCTTGATGTATACTTTAAAGCCCGCCTGCACTAATTTGACCAGGGGGATGAGACCTCCCTGCAAGGTCGCTGTCTCATCAAATCAGCTCTCCATTAACATAAGAAAAGGGGATTATGAGGGAACAACAGGCACCGATTAGGCATGGTTTGCTATATAGAGGGCCCAAGTAGCTTTAAGTAATGCAGTGGGGCTTCAATAAATCATGATCACATGGTAATTTGTCTGTAAATACAAATAACTAACCAGGTTATCTGAATGACTGAGTAAAAATAGTATTTTCCAAGACATACTGCACATGTAAATACCAGAGAGATAAATCTTTCTCCTTCATATGTTTACCTCTGCTACTAATCATTCCAAGCATTATTCTTAATCCTACTCTTATAAATGAATATATTGTACATGTATGTGGTTCCTGAGAATTTGTACCATGTTAAAGAAATGACATATAATGTATATGGATAATGAAGTAATCAAATCAAATAGAATTACAACAAACATATCAAATGTGAAAGTACTTGTAACAAAGAAACTTCTTACCTCCCATCTCACAGTAATCACCATGATATCCTTCAGGGCATACACACTGGCCTAGGACACAGGTACCACCGCTAGCACAAGGTATCAGGCATTCTGAGGGGAAGAACAATACAAAGCACATGAAAATTGGAATTCTATTACAAGCAGCTCAATGAACTCCTGCACACTTTTTGTTCTTCTAAGTTTTGCATTTCATATTAGATTTATTCTTGGGAACCTACAAAAACAAGCTATGCTTTCCAGTAGGTTCCTGTGTCATTTCATGATTTTTATCTTTCTTTGTCAACTTTGTTCTTTATTGTGCAAACAATTGTTATATGAAATGAAAAAATAAAATCAATCAATCAATCACAAGGATGAATGAATCGGGTAAAACAGCCCGTTTCTGTACAATTCAAGTTCAAGTTTCAAGTTCAAGTTTATTTTGCTACACATTTCACAAAATAGAATTCACATAATTGACAAAATGAGAACATAATATGAAACTATATAATCAATTCTTTGTAAAGACATCGAAATAATTGTATTGAATAGTAGGTTATACAGTGTAAAATGTGAGGAACCTGTTAAAAAGCTCAGCTCGTAGATTATAGGAACCACTAAATAAAACTAACATTTCATTGAAGTGGTTGCAAAGGTGAATGACGTAACAATAATAATAGGTGGACAAGAAGGCCTTAACATAAGTTGAAATACAAAGTTAAACAACCAAAAATAGCAAACATAGCAAACAAATTGATTAGTTACCCCAAAAATGTCACGTTAGTCACTTTAAAATATTTATGTACTTACGACTGAATCTACCGATTGGCACCTCACATCTCTCTCCTCTGAAGCTCTCAGGACACAAGCACTTCCCGTTGAAGCATGTCCCACCGTTCAGGCACTCTGGCCAACACTCAAGAGCTGAGAGGAAGAAAAAAATTAAACATTAATTTTCTCTGACAAGAAGACAGTGCATACAAATAGTTCGTCATCTTGTCAACTAAGTATGAGAGGTTCCATTGGTATTATTTAAAGCATATCCAACCCTTCTAACACTCTGGCTAATATTCAATAGCTGTGTTTTATACAAACAATATAAAATAAATTTCCATAAAAAAAATGTAATTTATTTCTTGTATGCATAGCCAAGCATGATCCCCAAACATTCTACAACAAAAGTGTAATTTGTTACAAAATGAGCACTGAGAAAAAGAGCAAAAGAGGAAAAAGGGTGAATAGAGGAAGAAGGACAGTAGAAGAAAGGGAGAGAGTCAGAAGAAGAGGAAGAATATAGAGAGAAAGGGAAAGAGATATGATGTAAGTGACGGCTGTAAAAAGAAAGAGAGGATATCATTAAATGATAAAGGTATTGAACAAGAAGATTATTAATTTGCGCTATCAAATTAGTTAATACCTTTGTATAGTGACACTAAATTGCAACAGAAGACAATGAAGAAAGGATAACATATAACCGGGAAAGTAGAAAAATTTGAGTGAACACATTGAGCTAGCAATTGTAACTGGCTACGAGTTCTCATTGCCTCGACTTACTTAGAAGTATGGAAGCAACCTGTCCCCCTACACTGCAGTTGTAATTGCCTGAGAGTCCTGGCTGGAAGTTAACCACCGTAAGTCTGGAAGCAGTGCGTGAGAGTACCTCGACCGCTGGGCCTCGCTGAGCCATTGACCCTACATTCACTGGATGGAATACAAGCAAGATATTGTGAGAAAAAAGTGGGCCTTTTGACTGTATAAGAAAAAAAAATCTCTCCAACTCCACTCAGCAGACACCAATGTTATTTCTAGTAGATCAGGAGATACGTTTCAAACAACCAATTAACAAACCATTGTCACAACCATCAACATGACCACCACAATCACTCACCATTATCGTCATCATCATCACCAGCACCATCGAAACTGTCCAGGCCACACCCACTTACCAACTTGTCTGTTGAAGACAGTTTGTCCGCCTGGTAGAACCCACGTTATCTCTGGAAGACCCGCAGAGGGAGACCAACCGACCACTTCACAAATCAATGTCTCCATCATGACTACCACAACCACTCGCCACTATCATCAACATCATCACCACCAGCACAATCAAAACCGTCCTGGCCACACCCACTTACCAACTTGTCTGTTGAAGACAGTTTGTCCCCCTGGTAGGACCCACGTTATCTCTGGAAGACCAGCCGATGGAGACCACCCGACCACTTCACATATCACCGTCACCATCCCTCCAACGGTAGGTGACTGGTCTGAGGGAATTGTCAGTCTGACGTAGTATTCCTCACCCACTAGTGTTACCAAAAAGATACATGTACATGCAGTCAAAGTTTAAGTGAGTGGGTTGTTACTATTCAGGCAGAGATAAAATACTTCTTCTTTTGTTTATAATGATCTACAGTTTTGGCTTGTACTCCCTGAAATCACTTTGAAAAATAAACGTACACGTCAGACCTTTTACGTATTACAAGTCCCTCGGGGAGGATTTTAAGCCGTCGCTTACTAACAAGCATTTATGCTTTCTTAGCAGTCGGGTAAAATAACCACCACCACAACCAACAAGTAAATCTTCTCTAACTATCTATGATAAAATTACATTTGTTATGAATTCTGTGCTTTTGTCATTAAGACTATATCAATAATTGTACATCCCATTGCTGAAATCCAATGATATATATTCATCAGAAGTGTTTATACAATACAGATAAAAAAAATCGGTTGTTGGTTAAAGAACCCATCCCCCTTTTTCATCTCTTAATGGTTTTCATGGATTTTACAGTAAATATTGTTTTAAATTTGTGCCCCACAATTGTAAAAAATAATCTGTTTTCCAATTCTGACATAGATAAAAACAATGTGGAAGCAAAACCAGTAACTGTTACACCCTAAACTTTCACCTTATGTCTAATGAAGATGGTAATTTTCTATGCAAACACCTTGTGCAAACTGCACAAATTCATTGGTGTAATTCATTGCGATTGTGGCATGAAACTTTCATGGGTCATTACATCTCTTCCATCTTTTTTTGATATTTTCAAATATTTCAGAGTTGCCGATATTTGAGAAAATGGATTACATATTCAACTCCTTACCTGCTATTTGGCACATGGTTCCGACAAAGCCGTATTGGCAGATGCATTTGAAGTTTATACAGAACCCACCGTTGGCACAGGCTGGGCAACGATCCACTGTTACAAAAAATTAAAAAAAATAACTACAGTTACTTGATGTACTAATAATAAATAATATAGAGTATTTTTAATGCACCAACTCCACATCACTAATGTGTTCAAGGCGCATTGAAGAAGAAAAATTAAAAGTACACAAAAACATAAAAATGGAAAAACAACAGTGTGAAGGTTAATCTACTGGAAAGCCTGCTTTAAACAAATGAGTTTTGAGGGCATTTTTGAAGCAATCTACACTTGAATTATAACAAATATCTTGTGGCAATTGATTCCATAAGGTTTAGGTAAGGTCAAGCGTTCGCAAATGACCGACCCCCTATGATTTCTTAGTTTTCGGAACAACAAGCAATTTAGAATTGGATAATCTTAAGCATATTCACAAATTACCGTTCACAAACATGTATAAGTTAGTAACAATTTCATGACACAGTTAGTGTGTCATACACTAGATGCACAAGTAACAAGTAACAAGTAACCTTACATCAGTAATTTAAAGTCATCTCACGCATGCCATACGTATGCCATATCTTCATTATATAGTGGTGATCATGGATCTGATAGAGTCATGAACAGGGCCCCGTCTTAAAAGGAGTTGCCAGTGATTTGAACCAATCAACGTCCTCTCATTAATTGCAAGTATGCTGTCCCCTATCTCTTATGTACATAGGGTAAAACCTGTCTATAAAGAGGGAGACAAGAAAAGTGGTCTTTATCGACAGGTTTCTTTAGTAAATGTTTTAATGAGAAACCGTTTTCAAGGGAAACAAAAAATGTGGTCTTCATAGACAGGTGGTCTTTCTATACAGGTGGTCACTAAAGCAGGTTTGACTGTAGTTGCAATTGATATCAATCGCAACTGTTTATAAGACAGGGCCCAGTTCTCACTTACTTTCTATTTCACAGCGTGGCCCTTCAAATCCCATACGACACATGCACATGTCGTTGAAGCAAGATCCTCCATTGAGACAAGGTTCTTGGCACTGAGGAACTGAACAGGTACGGAACAGGTGCATGTACATGCCAATAGACATTGAATGGTGAATACAGTATTGAATGGTGAATACAGCATTGTATGTGAGTTGCAGGTGAGGTACAGGTGCATTTATATATAAGTACATGTTCATTTATATAGGACAGTGCAACAACAATGAATATCATATAGAAATGAATTAAACAGTGTTTCTTATGAAGGAAACCTTAATATTCCCATCAATTAGTACCACCCAAACAAATTATGACCCGATAGAGTCGCATTCATGTAAAAAATATACATGCATAATTATAGACATACACATCAAAGAATGCACATTAGTGAGTGGCAACATCCATATTTTGATGCTTTTTTTAATGTGAACACGATTGGTATATTACATATTACTGTTTATTATTAAAAAGTAAACTAAATTACATGTGCAAGAAATTCTAGTGGCACTACTGCACAAATCACATGAGGAGAGGAGACTAGATATAAATTCAAGTGGAAGGATTAAAGAAGAAACAGAGGCTAATGGGTACTTAAGAAAGTAAATTTGACTTCAAAGATTAAAACTTACCATAGACCACTAGAGTCATGGCAACACGTATTGTTAGTCCAGCTGCACATACATAGCGCCCTCTATCGTTTGCGTTGAGATCTCTGACAATGAGGTAAGAGGCATTCTGAGCGATGGGCTCATAGTAGATTCGACTGCCAGGAGCTGTGGGTACGAAATTGAATGAGGGGTTAAGAATATTGCATGAAACTTTGACATTAATAAATATATATGCATGTGGTATGGTTGTTTTTACTTTTGAATTTTAATCAAAATTCCTAGATCTGATACCATAACAATAATATAATAACAATAATAATGTTTTTATACAGTGCATTTTCCAAAGAAATTTTTAAATGCGCTATACAATCATGTTGTTAACAGATGAGGTGCATATGCAATCCTACAATATTCAGTGATCGTTGTCACGGTTGAAAACGAGTCTAAAGTTATGAAATTGTAAATAATAAACTCTTTATGTTGTACAGCTCCCCCTCAAGGTCAAGATAATAATTCAGTTATAAAACAATGTTTCTTGACTACCGGTAAAATCAACTGATTAGCTATTTCTGTTTGAAAATTATATATCACAACTACATATTCTGAAATGTTCATGGTCGTAGCTACCATTGTACGGCCGTAGGCGCTATCATATATCAGAATTTATCGGCAGCACCAGTAAATGTTTATATTCAATTTTTCTCAAAAGCAGAAGTGTTTTAGGGGCTAAATTTTATAGTGCTTATAAAACATCCACAGGGGCATCCAATTATATCAAAACTGTAAAGATTTACTATCCACCCAATTTTCAAAATTTTTCCAAAACTTTGTGTTAGGAAGGAGCCAGACCTTGGAGGCATTTGAAGGTGAGAAGAAATATTTTGCCCAAATACCATTACCGTTTCGATTACCAATCCCCTTAATTTTACAATGCAATTACCATTCCCATTACAATCATCATAAATTTAGATGTAGATAATAGAATATAATCTAATCCTCTGTCTTGCTGGGAATATTACCAATTACAATTATAAGTAAGTTACATATAAGAGTATATCACCTTCTGTCTTGCTGAATATAGGTGCATCAGTCTGGTCATACCACTGTGGGTTCTCCAAGGTCCTGGTGTAGTTGGTCTCACAGATGAAGCCTACTGTCTTCCCTACCATGTGGTCGTTGTTAGGGTTCGCGTAGATGTGGATGTTGAACCCCTCAAGGCCTGATGTTAGAAGTTGGAAATAGAAAATGTATAAATATAAGCAATAAGAGGATAGGAGAATTACCACAAGTTTTAAAAAAATGAATACTGGATGTTGTAATATGATTTGTATATTAATAACAGGGATAGAAAGAGACAAAATAACAAAATACTATCAAAAATAAACGAAGACTTCCAGAGAATATCAAGAACAGGATACACATATTGGAACAAAATCGTAATCAAACGGTACAAAACAGAATGAGAATACATAAATTTAAAAAAAAATATAAACAAAATGGGCAATATATTCTCTTTAAAAATATTTTCTAAATGAGAAAATAAAAATTGTTTATGTGCGTAACTCAGTCATATTAAGTAAAACATGCAGTCATGAAAATTATAATGAAAGAAATTACATATTAATTTTGCATCCAAAACAACCATCTCTAAACAATACCTGGTAAAAAAACTGATGTGGTTGTAATACGAAGCAATAGTACTAGAACGAGCACCAAGTAAAACGATGTGAAATAACATTTTTGGACAAAAGATATTATGTAAGCCTCACTTCTGTTAATGGATATTTAACCTGCAAACACATTTAACTCATTGCCTCTGGAAATCGGGTGGTTCCTGTATTAGGCCATGGGAATTGGAGAATCCAGAAGTCAACGAGTTAATGTTAGAACATTTATCTCATCTCTATACTCACTTGCGGTATGCTGGCAGAATTGTCCAGTAGAGCCTTCCTCACACTCACATACACCATTGATGCAAAGACCTCCATTGAAACAGGGTGGATCACAAGGAGCTGAATGCAAGAAACCAAACAAATTATTACAAATCTAAAGAAAATTGCAGAAGTCACACAATGTCTGCAAAACCCAACATTGTGTCTTTGGTGATTTGTTTTCTACTTCATGAAACTGTAAACAGGAAATTAGATTCCAACATCAAAGAGCATGTTGAAACAGGTCACAACTTCCTGTCTCCTTAAAAAAGTGCTATTAAATGCAGAGCCATATGCCATGTGTAGAATTGGAAGATTCTTGGGTAACACATGATCTTTCACTAGGTATTGAGTGAACCCTTTACTCTTCATGACAAATCCAGTTAAAGATACATATAGTTATAGCAAGTCTGAGGTATTTGGTCATTTTTAGTTCAATATGTAACCTTGTACTGTGGTATTACAAATGTAAATTGAACTTAAATTTCATTTTAATTAGAATTTGGTCTGATCATATTTCTAGTAGGGATTACAAATCACTACTGCAATATATTAAAATTGTGGATGAGGTCGGTATCACAAATGGGACTTTAATAATAGATTAGACTTGCCCTAAATCTAAACATGACCCAGTGGTACAAATACAAATTGGAAAAGTAAGTAGCCCATCATTATTTACTTCAAAATCTAATGACAATTGTTTGAAATGACTCCAGCAGAGAGAATAGGAGAGAAGGGAAAAAAGGAAACAAAATGTGAGAAGAGGACATTCACGAAAAGGTTGATTAATGACTACAGAAACAATGATGGACAGCATAAAGAAAAAGTAAGACTTACTGATGGCAACGATGCTACAGAAAGGTCCAGAGTAAGATGCATGGCATATACAGGTTCCATTCACACATGTCCCTCCATTCTGACAAGGTCTCTGTTCACATCCAGCCACTGCACATACAACATTATCATTATGTTACTTTTTCATCTAAGTACACAACTTAAAAAAATGTTAGAGTCTAAACGGAAACTGCAAATTAGTTAAAGAGCTTTGGCATACATGTAGTTGGGTATTCAATTTCTTTCTTTTCTTTACCTAGAATGGATGTAAGAACACAATGATTTTCTTCTCTACCTTTGAAAAGATTACACTCCCCAAAATTGTGAAGAAATGAATTCTCCATTTAGTTTGAAACGACTTCAGCAGAGAAAATAGCAGACAAGGGAAAAAAGAAACAAAATGTGAAGAGAAGAGGACATTAAAGAAAGATACGCAGAAATAATAGGATAGAAAGTAGTCTTGTAATATTTATATAATAATAATAATAATGATAATAACAATATTTGTAAAGCGCAACATATCCATCTCTAGAGATGCTCAAGGCGCATACAAATAATTTAAATTAATATTCAACATACTTAAGATTAAAGAAATATTAAATGTTAACTTGCATTAGATCATACACGTTCATGGTGCCAAGGTACATGTAATACATATGATGCTTTTGTAAAGATTCATTTGAATATATTTCACATGTAAAATACAGATAACTACAAATTAAAAAAACATTTTGATTGAATTCCAACTGGATACTGATAATGAAAATGTACTCCACTAAACATTTGATGACAATGAAAAGGGAGCACCTTATTATTGTTTTTGAGATTAAGCTTAGGGAAGAACGCAAAAAAACCATTGGAGACATTGGTAGGCTTACATCTGATATTGCAGTACTGTCCAAGATATCCGTAGGGGCATTCACATAACCCATCCAGGCAGACACCTCCATTTTGACAGAGGGGCCAACACTCTAAGAAAATATTAGGGAAGCATGGAAAGCGATAACTTATACTGTGGTATTCTTACATGACAAAAAAGTAAAACAATCAATACACAATGTACATGTTGAAAATTGTTTCTCATGTGCTCTGTAAAATGAGCTGACACAGTAAAGCAATATTATCCCTTTGTTGCAAATCATCAAAATATGACTAATGTTTTGTATAGAATTCAATGTTTTAATACCAGAATTCGCAATGGAGTGAAAATGTTGTTGTTTTAACCAATTCCATGCCAGTACCTGGTGGCTCCAGTATTAAGCCTATGGGAATTAAACAATTCAGTAGTGAACTAGTTAATATGCAATAACCCACCTCTGCTTTCACACTGAAGCCCAGAGTAGTGCAGCGGACAAACACAGTTGCCTTGGAAACAGGTTCCTCCATTCAGACAAGGGGGGTTGCAAGCTAATTGTGAACAAAGAGCAATATAAACAAACATAAAAGTATTACAGTGAAAAAGGTTGAAAATGGTACAGGAACAGAGGGCAGAGGAATAATATATTCGCAACTGTTTTTTTTTCCTTTAAAAGAATGATTGCACAGATATAACCGATTAGTTCTCTAAACATTCAAAACAAATCTATCCTTTGCCTCAAATTCTCAAATTCTATCTGATATGCAGCACCTTCATAACTTGAGGGAAAAACACATGCTCAAAAGTTACAGGTTAAAGTCTTGGGAGATAGCATGCACTTGTCAGTTTTACACTCACACTCACATTGCAATACATATGTTACTCCTTCATAACCAGTGGGCCATACAGATGCTCCACAATTACAGATTCAGATGTTAGAAACTTCAGTTATCAATTAGGTAAAACTAACAATAATCGATGAGTTTTTTTCTCATGTTCTAATTCACATGTGACATACTCAAATAAATCAGTTGTAAATACACATGCTCCAAAGTTACACATTACGATGTTTAAAAGACACATAGTAGTTTAATAGCTCTCATGGGGAATTCAACACTGTTCGATTTTTACCCAATAAGAGGTGCTGTCAATCACCAGAATTAGCCTTCAGTTTTATGACCAGCAGGCCTTATGTAATATACTGCGTTTTCCACCTATTCCCCAAAATAGTAAAGTCAATTTTTTACTTTTCCCTCACCCGAAGACTCTCCGAGAGACGAGGGGGTATTTCTTGATAAGCCTACAGGTTCGCTGTGTGCAGACCTAATACCTGTTCACACGTTAATGATTTTTATCCACCAAGTCTGGTGTCAGCGAATTATGACCTTCTGCACATGAAAAACTAAAAAGTGATGCCCTTTAAGATGTCGGAAACCTTTTATAAAATTATTAATATATGTTAGGTTTACACTCACTTTCTAATTCACATGCCACTCCCTCATAACCAGTTGGACATACACATGCTCCAAAGTTACATGTTCCTCCATTAAGGCAGGGTCGAATGCAGTCTGCAATACAAATATGTTCAAAGGTGAAAGGTCAAAGTTCATTCATATACATGAACACCTATCGTCAACATTACACAACTCACAATGATGACATTTAAAGATACAATGCAACAGGAGGTACATGTACAAATAAAAATGCCACTCCACATACAGAATAATGAGAAAACATAGGGAATGGCTAAAGGGATAGTAATCTGTACAGTGTATATGCAAGAGAATATCCCAAAAGTAATGAAGCTTTAATAGGTTGCAAGTATTTCATGTAAACTTGCATGATCACAAATCACTGTGTGAATATTTATAAAAGTTTACAAAAGAAGTACACCACAATTTAAATGATCATTGTCACCTACCTGGTCCACACAAAAAGTGTAGAAATTTGCCAAAAATATACACTGTTGTTGAATTCCATTTTATATTCCTGATATAATTTGAACATTAATGAAATGATATTTCTTTCATACAGTTTTCTCAAACACAAATCTACAAAAGAGATTTTCAAATACATCATGATTTACAGGGGGAAACTTTTTCATGTCTTCGTGTTCAAGGTATTGTATTCAGTTCACACACTGTTAACCTATATTTTAGGTCTTATATTTAACCATTCTTATGTAGTGCCATTAATGTCATGGGATACTGGAAAGAGTGGAAATATCTTGGAAAACCAAATCCTGTACTGCTTTATCGACTGATAAGCATCCCAGGTCTATGAATCTTTAATAATTGTAGTAATAATTTCCAACAACTTGTTATTCATTATTTAGACTAACGTTTTTAAACTTTTTATTGTAAAGTAGGGATATGTTCAAGGTTAAAATTACAAATATGTGGTAAGAGTTTGTGTGAATGTACTTGTGATTTAGTCAGGATTCTGAATACAATACATCAAATGAATTAGGCGAGGCGTCAAAAATATCGATACCAGCAGGCTGCCGCCTCATGTATTGGCGCATCGAGGCTGCAATTACGGCCGAAGCCTGGCTGGGGCAATTATTTTTCACTTATTAGCCCAGCCGGCTTGCGCCAGGCTGGGATCTGAGGCTCGGTTTCCATTCGAAAGGCGGCAGCCGGCGCATGCTTTTGAATGCCATTTCCTACCGCCAGTGGTAGCCGGCTGAGCTAATTTAAAAAATGCAGCCAGGACGCACAAGTGCAGTTAGCTGCCGCTGGCTGGTATATTTATTTTTGACGCCTCGCCTTAGTTATTATAAACTAACAGAAGGGAATAATGAAAAGAAGTTAAATATATACAGATAAATCAAAAAGACCATTATAAAGGTAAATACAAGTTTGATTTGGAACACCTTTGGCGTATCAAGTAAACTTACAATTCACACAAATGCTTTGCTTAGTGGAATCACCCATGATTAAACCTCAAGTTAATTTGTGATAATATAAATTAGATTAATCTAGGAGTAATTGTTTTTGTACTCTCCTTTCTTTTTTATTTTTCTCTTTTTCTCTCTCTCCCTCTCTATCTCTCTCTTTTTGTTATCACTATTTTAAATCAACTATGAAGGTGATAATAGATATCAACAACTGAAATGTAATGATTAACATAAATAGTTGACAACTAAAGCATGTCAGGAATTTTTTGAAAGATAAAAGACATGGACAAACAAATTATATCTATGTAATACATAACAACCGGAAAAAATAATGTTTAAATTCAGTTTCAATAACCATATTTTATTTTGTACATATAACATAGGATGTCTGGGATTAAAAGAAATTTGTTTAATCATGTAAGTTATAAGTTATAAAAACATAAAACAACCAGCTTGCAAAGCAGCATTTAGAAATCAAATAATAGATAACATGAATGGTAAGATAAAGTTAAATGCAGCACAAGATTGGAGATACGATAGATGTTTTTTATGATTGACTATATAATAAGTTGATTTTTATGTCAAAGGTCCCTGGTCCATGTTTCGATGATGTTTAAATGCATGAAAGCTTTTAGACGTAATGGATACTTTATTCCTGATATCAATGGAGTTTGATGAGGATGAGCTTCTAGCTGTGAAATGGCTGTCATCGATTTACCTGGCTCTTCGCAATAAGGCCCAGTAAAACCAGCAAAGCAAAAGCATGTACCGTCTATACAGGTTCCCCCATGCAAGCATGGGAGGAGGCAAGGTGAGACTATGTACGACAAGACAGACAGAATAACATAGCACATGACAAACATACAATAACATGAAACTTAGTACTACATAGCACACACATGATAAGCACATGATAAGCAATTGTTTAATTTACTACATCGGGGGCTCCACAACTTTTCTTTTAATGCACAGGACATCTTTAATGAAAATTGTTCAGTGTCTTGTTCCAATGTAAATTTTGGAGGAAAAGAAATTTCATAGAATATCAGGAATGAACATTTTTGCAATGTCTTGTTAGAATGTATATTCTGGAGGAAATATAAATTCACAGGACATCAGTAATGAAATTTCTGGGTGTCTTGATACAATGTATATTTTGGAGGTCCAGCGTAAGAATTTGAGTCCCGAGTACACCGGACACCTATCAGTGTCACGCCCAGCTATATGTAAATCCCATGTCTCTTCAAGGATGACAAGCTTGGTAATATGATGACAAGGAAAGTCCTTTAGAGTAGCTATGTGTGTTTTCAAATGTTGGGATCTTTTATAACAAAAGAGTATTACGCATTCATTTCAACTACAATGAATGTAAAGTGTGGTAATTAAAGATGAAGTTGAGTTCTGGTCATGCGATTGCATTGTGAAAGAAACGGTGTGGAATCGACCAGAAAAGGTTGATCATCTAGCATATAAGAATTTGTGTGTATTGCAAGGTTCTGGAATCATCAAAATGATAAGAAATTTGGCCAAGTCTTGGTACAGTCACAAACACTGTACACAGAAAGATGTATATTTGACTACACGAACACATGGCGTAAAAATCCTACCCCCGAGTTTTACGATGTTACATGACAAATTTAGAATATGAAGGCATTTGAAGAGCCATGCTTTTCAGGGAACATATCTTATCTGATGTTCTTCCACACTTGCATAATAAGAATGATAACGCTCACAAATTATTTTTCACCTCTTCCCAGAACTCAACCTTCTCTTTAAATATGCTAAGAGGTAATAAATATTCAAAGTTTCGTCATGTGCTATGTAAGAGTAAAGCATCGACTTTTAGCTTCAAAATGGTGTAATCATCACCTAGTTAAAAAACTTCAATGTTAAAAAACGTATTATGGCCATTTTTTATGTACAGAGCGGATATACCCTTATACCTTGGTTTGAGCCCTAAATTCAATATTAAACAGTAAGACCCAGACAAGAAGTTTTGACATGTGCCATATGTGACAGTTAAGAGCAAGTATTCAGATTAAAAATGGTGTAGGTCATTATAATAGTTAAAATGTCCTACAATAGTTGTAATATATCACCCAATTAGAAAACTCTTTTGATACTATAATTTATTTTATATAATTCAGCTCAAAAATCATCCCGAGGGGTTTAAGGATTAATAACATTAGTTAAACAAAATTTTAAAAGATAATCAAAGAATATTTTGTAAAGAAAAAAATTCTCAATACAAAACCAAACAGAAAGGGAAAACATCAGCACACACATTTAACCAATGTCGTACTTACGTTCTCAAAACTATGTAGCAAAGCAATGCAATGTCAGTATGTAAGCAAAAACATCATTCAAGTTATATCATATGTATACATGTACAGGTACTTTTTATCCAACTGCAATAAATGTAAGTGCATTATAAAGCGGTATGGTAAAGCGCTTGATAAGAAGCACAAATATTTATTCATTTTAAGTCAAAATTCACACTGAAATCATCACAATTCATTATGTTAAGAATTTTTATACATTCATTTCCCATGGGGGATTACCAGTCAGATACAATTTCTTATTCCACATTACCAGAAAATCATTTGGGCTGTAAAAGGGATTTTTTAGGGGAGGGCAATTTTCAGATCACATTTTAAAAATGAAACATGCATAGATTTATGTATATCAAACTAGTCCTTGTGGTTCATGGGTTTATAAATTACAAGAAAAAGAGGGGCGATAAAACAGAACAGGTTGATGGCCATTATTGCCACAAAGAGATTTTCGCAATATATATATATATATATATATCATGAAATCTGTTCTCCAGAAAGAGATCACAAAATTATTTCAATTCAAGCAGAACTCTAATCCTTTAGGCTTATACACTAAAACACTGTTTTGATGAAAAGAAGTTTATAACAGTATATTTATAGACATGTATACTCTGCAAAAGGGTGATTCCATACTTGCGTCCCATTAAATATAAAAGCTATTTCCATTAATTTCATTAAAAAAAATTTAAAAAATTTGGATCGGCTATTTAATAATGGTTGCTGTGGTATCACAAACATTATTCTAGATTTTCATTTCTTGAATGAAAATAATGGAAATGAGGTCTATATCGTAGGGAACGCCTCGCGAGGAATCGCCCCAAAAAGAGAAAAATCAAGCATAGGAGGAAGGAGATTTGGATGAAAGCAACTCACCAAGATCTTGGCAGACTTTTCCAGTAAAGCCTGGTCGACAGATGCACACACCCCCAACACAGGTACCATCATGCATACAGGGTGGATCACACACTAGTATAGATACAATCATTAGTCACTCCAGCTGTTAGTATTTTATATTTGCTTGTACAGTTTACAACTAAATTGTTCATACCCTTACTGGGTTTTTTTTTTTTAAGTATGTGAGAAATTGATTTGTCTCGATTTAAGTTTCTAGGGATTGTCACATATTTGAGCTTACATCTTAAATTAGTAAACAAAGCTTTAACTCAGACAGACCACCTTCCATCCTTGAGTTACCAAAAACACCAAAAATATATAATTACAAGTGGTATGAATAATTTATTTGATAACTGTACATGTACCCATTGATAGTATTTGGTGAGCAGACTGGCGATATATTGGTGTTAAAATACACACAACTTCAAGGATTCTATAGATTTAATCAAAAAATGTTACAGGTGGAAAATGCCTATTTTGAAATAATTAATTTGTTTTCCACTTTCCAGAATACAAAAGGCATTTTCAATCAGTATGTTTAGGCTGGGCTGTTTAAATAGAAGCCTTTTTTTCACCACATGCATGTATAATAACATAAATCACTCTAATATTTCACAAGAAATGTTAGTATGTTCTCTTTTCTATTCTCATACATTAAATATCATTAAAACAGTATTAGCTACAAAGCATCGCATAAAGAAATCACCAAGTTTTAGTTATACAGTTTTGTATGGTTTAAGATATTTTAAACCTTTCATTCCGCATATTTTTGAATTGAGTAAAACAAGTCTCTATTAGCTTGTTGTGGTATAAGATAATGCAGGCATTCAAACAAAGATGTAAGTGCAGCTGCTAATAATTTGAACTTGAATTATCCATACTGCGATCAATCTTGTATATTTCAACACACATGAATTTTTTTAGTAGATTTTGATATATGCAAATGTATCAGCTGCATAAACCTGTATAGTGATTGTATACAATAAGCATGATGCAAAAAATGGGTTATAAAGCATTTCCCATAGATTTAAAAAGCCCAGGAATAGCATATTTCAAAAACACTCTCTGATCTATCGCACATGCTAAAACATTTGTATTATATTTTTTTAATATTTTTTTTTTTTTATCCAATAATCTTTCTTAAAAAACAGAAAAAAATTCTGGCAACAATTCTTAAAACATCTGTCCATCCTCATTTGATCTTCTTCCATCCTCTCTTACCTCTCTCTTGGCAGTAGAGTCCACTAAACCCTGAGGGGCACCGGCACACCCCTTCACTGCATACCCCTCCATTGATACAGGCTGGCTGGCATACTGTAAATAAGCATTGGGACAGATTAAATACAGTGAACCTGTATATAAAGACCGCTCAAGGAGTCAAGAAAAGTGATCTTTATAGGCAGGTGGTATTTAAGTACAGGTTTCTTTAGTACACATTTCATATGAGAAATATTATGAAAGGGAAACAGATAATGTGGTCTTTAAAGACAGGTGGTCTTTTCATACAGGTGGTGGTTCGTGCAGGTTTCACTCTACAACAAACCCCAATTTCTACAAACAACAGAATGTTAGATAAGACATTAATTTCCATTCTAGAACTGAAAGAAGTGATGATAAAGCTAGATTGTACCTCTTGTTTGACAGAACTCCCCAGTGAAGCCGGCACCGCACTGACATGCCCCTTGGTAACAGAATCCTCCATTCCGGCATACATCATCACATGGTCTTTCTGAGATGGAAAAAAGAGTTGGTAAAGTGCAAGGAATATCAAACATTCATTTATACATTTGATTTTTTATTAACAATAAAAACATAATTAGTTTACGGTACATATATTTTCATTGTGGCTGTGGACACTATTGATCTAGATTACAGGATCAACACTTTGGTATACTACAGGAAGTAATTATAAACTCACTATCTAACCACGTCAACTCTCTTAGCATAATAATCACCAGCATCTACAACACCATGGAACGTTATAATAATGACTGAAAATGCAATCACAAACATCACTGTCATCAAAATTTGTCACAAAACACTGTCAAAGATCCCAGGAATTGTAATCTCAACTAACATCGCCAAAATCATCATCATCACCAACATCATCACCATGACAACACAAATTGTCCTTACCGGGGCTACTATGAACCTGACAAGACTATTTCAAAGACAAACCCCTCTCACAAACTGGTCTCCATTCTTCCAGAGGCCACCATCTAAGCCACAATCATCGCCATCATCATAGCCACTAACATCATGGCCATCAACATCACCACCATCATCAAAGGTTTTTAATCTGTTGACTACAGAATTTTCTTATTCCCATAGGCTTAATACAAGGACTACACGGTTCCAGTAAGCAAAGGGTTAATCATTCTTACCCTGGCTACAATCTTCCCCAATGAAGCCGATAGGGCACTGACACGCCCCTCTCACGCACTGCCCTCCGTTCACACATGGTGGGATGCATGGTACGTCTGAAATAGAAAAACAAAATGATTCATCATAGCTACAAATGAGCTAAATATGAGAATGTATGTCAATACCAACAGGTATATGTCCCAGGGCTTGTTGGTAGACATCCTGGTTCGGCTGTACAGTGGAACCTCATTATAACAAGGTCCTTAGGACCATGGAATTTACCTTGCTTTATCGGACATCTTGTTACATCTATTTTAGGGTAAAGAAAAGAATACAAAGAGCTGGGACCAACAAAATCTCCTTGTTATGACAGATACCTCGGTTTATCAGAGCTCTATATAATGAGGTTGCACCGTAACTATTCAGCTCTCTATATGCCAGTAATCGAATGCCTATCCACTTTCCAATATAGTGGCTCATCTCTACTTTATATTTATGTAAAAATATTGGAATAAATCAATACATATTCTAAAGATTCATGTCCTTGTTTACTGTGCTTGTTACTTTCCCAACATTCGTGACTGTCACCAAGCCTTACTCCTGCATTTAAATTGATTTGATTTGACATGGTTTTAATCGATTTCATTGGCGTGAGAGCAAATTTGTCATAGAAATTTTGCATTTGTTATTGATAACAAGTTTTATAAAACAGGGCCCAGGGGGGGTGTTTCACAAAGATCCTAAGTTGAACTTATTTCTAAGTTGGACTTAACAATTATGGAAAACCGTTAGCATCTATAAAAATATCTTGACAAATTTATTTTAAAAGTCATAGAATGTTTATTCAAATCATTCATATTTTCTATTATCATGGAGATTTCATGATCTTGATGTGAAATTTATAAAAAGTCTAAAACACTTGAATTTTTGCTTTTGAATATATTTTATGTTAAGGCTACAAATGGCTCTCCATAATTTTAAAGTCCAACTTAGAGTTAAGTTTGAATTAGAATCTTTGTGAAACAGGGCCCAGATTTGACCGTACCTCTGCAAGTGAATCTATCAGGTCCTAGCTGCTGGCCGATGGGGCAGGTACAGGCATAGCTACCGGGGAGGTTGGTGCATCGGTGTGAGCAACCGAGTCCTAGAGTCTGGCACTCGTCCACATCTGCATAGTGAGAACATCATGCAATTCACACATATGGTAATATACAGTGAAACCTGTTAGACCACTCAAGGGTGACAATAAAAGGGATCTTTAAAGGCAGGTGGTCTTTATGTACAGGTTCCTTTAGTTCATGTTGTTCTGAGAAATTATTGTCAAAGGAAACTAAAGATATGGTCTTTATCGACAGGGGGGTATTTATATACAGGTGGTTGCTAAAGCAGGTTTCACTGTACATTGTTACATAAGGGTTCTTGTGCCATAATATCTGCTACACACAATTGTATATTCCGAGATCATATGCCATTCAAAAATCAAAATGTATTTATAATACAAATATTAAACTTTTCATTCACACAATTAAAGGCGATCCACAATTTAGAAACAATAACAGGTGAGTCAAAACAATAAAACAGATACAAACAAATATCTGGTTTAAAAATATAATAACAAGTGGCTGCATGTTGTAATGTTCCACTGCAATACAAGCCAAATGAATGTATCTTGATTTATCAATAGGATAGCAGTCATAACGCGATCTTTAGAGATAAGAATAATTTTCTCAGCACAACATAGTTTATAATGTCCATGTTATTTCAGGTTAAAACATGAATGACATTTACTGGACATAAACCAAAGAGTTTGTAAATTTACCAATGCATCCTGTTCCGTCGGTGGAGATCTGAAACCCGACTGGGCAGGAGCATCGGTAGCTCCCATAGGTGTTCTGGCAGGCATCTGGACATCGATTCAAACCTGTTGCACACTCGTTAATATCTATAAAAAAATTTAAAAAAGGGGGGGTTCAATGAAATAACAGCAGTCAAATATAGAGGCAACACCCTAAAATGTATCCTAACAGTCTTTAGGACAGCGATTCAAACCTCTTGCAAACTCATTTATGTCTAGAAGGGGTTAGATCAAATAACGGCAGTCGAATTTAGAAGACCACAGCCTCAACATGTATCCTAACAAACACAATGAGAGCAATATTAAGATCCTCTGCACTGCTATCAGCTGCTGGAAGGGGTATGGATAACTATTTGAGTCACACATATCAGGAGCACAGCTTCAATAGAAGTTCCATGTTTAAGGAGACCGAGTCAGACCCAGTAAACGTGTATCAAAAAGGAAAAGATCAAACTATATTTACTGGGGCTTTGTTTAAGGCTTGACCACTGAATTTCTCCATCCCATTGAACACAGGGACCACCTGGTTTGCGTAGACAATGGTTTAATATAGCTGACATATTGTAAAAATGCATAAATTTGCAATGAGTATAACAAAGTAGCTTCATCTTTATGAACAAGTATATGTAAGATGTCAAACAAAGATTACTGCAAAATAATAAAAATCGAAATATTTATCACGTTTATGTCATCAAAATAACAATCATTTTGTATTAACTGACGATTATACAGGTCTTTCTTTATGTTTGAGTAAGAATGTCTAGCTTTTTCACAGCAGTATATACAGTCTAAAGCTCAATTCTAGCCTAATTTAACAGCTATGATTAAGAAAATAAATAGTAAAAGTCACTGGAATCTTACCACTGCTACAGTCTGTTCCAGAGAAGCCCGGGGCGCATTCACACACCCCTCTGTTACAGGTGCCCCCGTTCACACAATCCCTTCCACACGGAAGCGTGCCTGTTATAAAGAACGACATTGACATCATCCTTATTTATTCTCAAAAAGCTATATTTGTGACTTTCCACAATACCTTCCGTGCCTGTAATAAAGAAGCACATTGACATGTATTTCTATATTCATTCTCACATAGCTCTATTTGGGATTTTGCAATGTTTATTCAATTTTAAAGGGAGAGAGCACCTCACATCATTAACCATTATTATTTTTTTTTCTTCTATGTCCTCTGTCCGTTTCCTTTGGTTCATCATCTGCTAATCTTCATAATAAACATAATGATGACAAACGACAATATCAAATAGGCATATAAGTTTAGCAGCCTTTGTTGACTATTATAAAGTCTAGTGTACACAATCAATAACTTTCCTTGGAGACGACCCCACTGCTTTAAATATTTTTTAAAACAAAAAATGAATCCTCTTTCCACAGATAGAAATATTAACAATTCATTGTTTAATCAACATGAGAATGCACTCTCAAATTTCAAATTATTTTCAAAACATTTGACTTTAAACATGACCTTGTAAATGAGCGACCTTCAAAATGACCTTCAAAACGACCTTGTACTCACATGATCTTCCATCTGCACCAAGCTGATATCCTGCAGGGCATGTACAATGGTAGCTACCAAAGGTATTGACACACTGAACACTGCAAGGGCTCATATCAGTCACTATGCATTCATTCACGTCTATGATAATAGAAATTGTAATACAAAATTGTAATGTAATGTTAACCCTTTCTAAAAGACCCTGGCTCGAAACATTATGTTGCCTATCTATTTAAATGTAACAAATGATTTTGATATTCATTTCAAACAAGAGAAAACTAAATGCACTTTCAACTATGAATATGGAATTTTTTTTTAAATAGTTATTCATTGAGAATCAAAGAATTAGTCATCATGAAAGACTACAGGTACTCTTGAAATATTATTATTATTATTATTATTATTATTATTATTATTATTATTATTATTATTATTATTATTATGATGATTATCATTATCATTTATCATCCCTGTCAGACTACTCACCATATTGGCAGGTGGATCCCTGGAAGCCCGGTGGACACACACATCGTCTGTTGATACATGTACCATTGTTCTGACATGGTGGAAAGCACTGTCCTCCTGAAACAAAGTGGGAAAAGAAAGACGTAATGAATATAAATTACCGGTATTCTTTAAAAAAACAGTTGAGGTGTTCATAGCAACCATCCATCTGTACACACAACCATATAATTCCTAGTACATATTTAATGACTACATTTTGTACGAAGAAAGATGTGTGAAAAGAGGGCTTGCCTCTAAAAGCAATCTTCCTTGTGTTAGCAATATTTAGCAATATTTAGCAATATTTTTATGCAGATTTACCATCAATTAGTTTCGCTATATAATTACCATTTTTACTAGTAGTAGTGCTGGTAGTGGTAGTAAGTGTGTCAACATAATCATGATTATCACAATCATTATCATCTTTACTACTACTAATATTACCATCATCAATTATAAAATCGTTATACCCCCATTACAATCATAATTAACCCACTGACTACTGAAATATCTCATTTAATAGGCATTATGCAGGAGCCACCCTTTTACTGTAGTCAAGTTTTAAGTTTCAAGTTTCAAGTTTTATTTCCATTTTCAACAAGAAAAAAAAAAAAAATTGTACAATAAATAGATTACAAACAATATTTTACAAAGTATGCAAAAGTAATTAAACAAGTGTAGATGCTATTTTTATTTGCATAACAAAAAATATTATTCATATTATTCTTAATTAAGTTACAAGGAATTACAAGATATATCATATAATACAATCTAAATCAAGAAGGAAAAATAAAGGTGATGCTGCATATTTATATGTCAAATGAAAATGGAGGGACCCACTGAAAAGTCGTCAATAGGTATGTCTTCATCAGCTTGAGATTGCCAAATAGCCCGCTATCTCTGATTTGGGAAATAATCCTGAAGTTAAAAATCGCGTCTTCATCAGCTGAAAATTAGCTCAAGATAATTTGCTCAGCGTTTGCGCATAGTGCGAGTCTTCGGGCTGGTAAAGACGCACCGGACAAATAGTGGGATATTTTGCAAACTAGCTCAAGATATCTTTGGATGATCATCTCAACCAAATATCATACTAATTGCAACTCTGGGCTGATGAAGACGCAAATTAACTGGATAATTTGCGATCAGGATAGTTGAAATAACAGGATATTTGGCAATCTCGAGCTGATGAGGACAGGCCTAATGGGACAAGCTAACATTGATCATGGTTCCAAGTTACCTGAGCATGAATGTCCATCAGGGTTGAGAGTTGATCCAAGAGGACAGAAGCAGACGTAGCTACCTAGCATATTCCTACAGATATGCTCACAACCTCCCTTCTGGTTGGCACATTCATCAACATCTGTATCATTAAGGAAGACAATATCAGGTTGATTAGATACTTTATGGGTTACTTGTTCTCTACCTCCCTCTCTGTATGACTTTCTCTGTCTCTCTTCCTTTCCTGTACCATACTATGTTCATTCCCCACTCTCTCTCTCTCTCTCTCTCTCTCCAGCTCTTGCCCTCTCTTCCTCTCCTTTTTTCCCTCTCCCTCTCCCACCCTCAATCTCCCTTTCCCATTCTCTATCTCTCTCTCTCATCTACTTCTTGCTCTCTATTTTCCTGATCCACTTCTCTTTCCCTCTCTTTCTCTATTTCCCCCTTCTCTCTTTCTGTTTCTCTATTTCTCTCTTCCTCATCCCCCCCTTTTTTTTTATCATCTCTCATATTCTCTGTTCTACCTTCTTCACTTAAACAGCTCCTCTTGCTATATTGTAACTTTAACCTAGGAAAGGAGACCAAATCAACAAGATATTCATTCAATGTTCTTCAGGGGCGATAGGGAGCACTAAAAACAGCCCCTTGATTAATTTTTTTAAGGATTTGGGGGAGAAAAGAAATGGCATCTAACAACATCCCCCCCCCCTCCCTTTAGTAAGAAAATTGGGAAAAACAGGGGAAAAAATAAGGACAATAAGGAAAAAAATAGGGGAAATAGGGTTATAATCGGGGGGGGGGGATTGGGAAACCGATTTTTAATTGGGTAATTATCAGGCCTGGTTCTTACCTTGGAAGCAAGTTGCTCCTGTGAATCCTCTTGGACAGATACACCTACTGTTGTTACACACACCACCGTTCATGCACTCTGGGAAGCAGCCAACACCTATGTGAGAATAATATAATAATATCAGATATTTATATAGCGCACATATCCACCATGCAAGGTGCTCAAGGCGCTCCGAATATTACCCAGCTCTGCTAGGCTGCCGATTTCGGCGCTCACAACATTCAATTCCCATCTAACACCTGGGTGGAGAGTGGCAAATGTAGATTAATGTCTTGCCAAAGGACATTAGTGCGGAGAACCCAACAATAAGGATACAGTGCAAGATCTATCAAAGATATTTTCACAACTTTTAGGCGGAGTCAAATGGTAGATCCCCTTGTACCAGGTTGAGTGTATCTTTCTAATTCATCTGGAATGAATACCTAAATTAAAAGGAACATCTATTTTCTTATTTTTCAGTACATCTATAACAGCATTTGAACAAGATATTCTCTATACTCTTTAGTATAAAAATCTACAACACAAAAATACTCTCATTCATAACAAAGAGATCAACCAGCTATTATCATAATTGCTCCCTTAATCTCCTCCCCCAAAAAGATAATAAATTATATTAATGATAATGATAATAATGATAATAATAATGATAATAACAATAATTAAAATACAGATGAATTACATCAATAATAATAATGAGGATAATAATAATAATAATAATAATAAATATAATTAATAAATGAATAGATAAAAAACAGAATTAAATGACATCCTTGGGTAATAGCTTACTACTGCAGGTGACGCCATCAGCATTGAGTACAGAACCAGGTGGGCAGATACAGGCAAAGCTACCAAAGGTGTTTCTGCACTGGTACTGACACAAGTCTGCTTGCAGACACTCATTGATATCTGGTATAGAAAGGTAAGGAATTAAAGACACGTAGTAGCGGGCTCTCATTGGGAATGTGATGCCTTTCCAGTGTTAACCAAATAACATGTGTTGTCAATCACCAGGATTAGCCTTCGGTTTTATGACCAACATGCTTTATGTAATACTCTGTCTTTTCCACATATGGTTAAGTCCTTATCTGACACTTGCATAGCCCAAAGACTCTCAAGGCCTGTTTTCATCAGCTCGAGTTTGCCAAATAACCCGCTATTTTCAGACTCGGGATATTATCCCAAAGCTCGAAATTGCGTCTTCACCAGACCGATACGCTCATCACAAACTAGCTCGGCAGGCGCAAATTAGCCTGCTTTTTCCCAAATAGCGGGATATTTTGGAAACAAGACCAAGATTTGGGGGGATATTTTCTAGACCAAATATCTTGCTAATTACAACTGCGGGCTGATAAAGGCAAATACAGATGGATATATGGATGAAATCAGGAAGTCTAGGGGCATTTTCAAACATCATAAACAATTGGCACAAATTAACAGTAAACCTTCACTCTATCTCACACAAGCTTGGCATATTAATCCATGTCAGGTTTTTATCAGGTATGGGTCCATTTACATGACAACCCCATTGAAACCTATTACTTGTATATTGCACAGCATACTGCATTTGTGTATCCTCTATACGCTTTGGTAACTACCCCCACAAGAAACATGACACAGGATATTATACACAAAGCACAAATAGAGTTTAAACATGTTTCTATATTCTATATTCTTTATTTATACTTATTTGAAATAAATTATAACCATTCTATAACTAGGAAAAAGGAATATTGATGTTTGAAGTTATGCAACGTGACGCAACGTAGGCTGTCACATTTTACTTTGCACTACACCATGTGTTTGTGACATTTTAAAGCATGAGATGCATGCAGAAGATTACAAACAGTTTCACTCACCAGTGGCACACGTCCTTCCAGTAAGGCCTGGTTGACAATTACACCTACCCTCTACGCAAGAGCCTCCATTAAGACAGGGTGGCTGGCAAACTTGTGGGTTTTCTCCTGTACACATACACAAATGACGGAACAGTAATATGAATATACTTTCTTTTCCTTCTTGTTGGCATATATGTATATGTCCTCCATGCAAGAGCCTCCATTAAGACAGGGTGGGTGGCAAACTTGTGTGTTTTCTCCTGTACACATACACACACTACAGAACAGCAATATAAATAAATTTTCTTTCAGCAAGTTCTTGTTGGCATAGATACATGTATACACATTTTACCCTCCATTACCCTTCATTTGGACATGTTGGCTGGCAAACTTGTGTGTTTTCTCCTGTACACATACACAAATAATAGAACAGCAATATAAATATATATTCTTTCAGTAAGTTTGTGTTGGCATAGATATATATACAGGTATACATGTTGTATCTTCCACATAAGAACCTTCATTTGGACAGGGTGGCTGGCAAACTTGTGGGTTTTCTCCTTTATACATACACACACAACAGAACAGCATTAAGAACATAATCTTCTTATTGGAAAGATACATATATAAACCCTCTATGCATGAGCCTTCATTAGAAAGGGTGGCTGGCAGGCTTGTAGGTTTAGTCATGAATACATAAATGTATACATATGACAATTATGTTTAGAGAAGTTAAATGTTCACAAAGTTGTCCTGGATGACCAGGGGGTGTTTCACAAAGACTACGACAGGCCATTCATGCCACTGTTTGCTCTCACCGTTTACTAGCATTGATCTCCCAAGAGACGTACAATTCATGATCACAAATCCACAGAATTTATATTTGTTGATAATTCATTATTGAAGGTAAAAATGTTATCTAGAGATCATAATTGAGAGACCAATGATGAGAGCAAACAGTGGCATGAATGGCCTGCCATAGTTAAGTCCAACTTAAAGTCGATCTAACTCTTTGTAAAACACTCCCCTGGTGTGTCTTGTATCTAGGGCCTGTGTTTGGGTAAATAATTACCATTACAGACAAATACAAGTTCTTACACTACACCAAAGTTGATAAATACAAATCTACCCTCCATGCAAGAGCCTTCATTAGTACAGGGAGGCTGCACACCAAGTGGAACATCCACGCCACAGGTACACACATGGGAAATTAACATTCTTTGCAAAATAATTCACTGGTCCTCTATCTTCCAATCATTTCTCCATTTGACTATTCCTTCCTAAGAAATGTTCAATGTCTTTTTGTTTGATGAAGTACAATAGCAAAAGCACACTGGTAGGAATTTCTTTAATGCTTTAGCGACTCAGGTAAGGCAAGAGTAATGTTATGATCGATTGTTTCAAATATGGCAGAGTATATACAATAGCTGCGCTATACAAATAGACCTATTGTTAATATCTTTATAAAATACAAATCCACACATTTGTTCATTAAATTAACAATTCAATTACTACTTTAATATTTGCAATTATTTAGGTGAAACTAGCATTATAGTTCACCCTTTCTACCACATTAACTTGAAATTTGATATCTTTAAAATATACATTATATTTCCCTCTCATTTAACAATTGTTCAAAAACATGTCACAATCATTTCATACATACACCATTTCCTTTATACAATTCATGTCTGGATCAAAACATGGATAATTTTAGATGTCTATTATTTACTAAGCTCACGCATGAATTGATTTAAGATGGATTTGTGAAACAATCATAAACTGCCAGATGTAGGATGAGGCAGAAGCATACTAAATATATCTTCATTTCCATCGGCACATGGTGTAATGTAGCATGCAAACATCTTTATTTAACACAATACTGTGTGACTCAAAAAAAAGTTTACACCTAGAAAAAAATTATTTTTAAAAAAATCATCTATGAACAGTAAATCATTATAAGTCGTATGAAAGAGTGTTTTTATCCCAAATCACTTGGTATCATTTTTGTGTGGTATGTGTGGTAATACCAAAATCCCAATTGTTTTATTCAAACACCACATAAGCAACTTTGGCGCAAGTCGATTTTTGCTCTCTTGCAAACAATGCCTCATGTTCATACAAGCGTGAACACATACCACACAAAAATGATATTAAATAATTTGGGATACAACACTCTTTCAAAGGATATATACTAATTTACTGTTCATATATGATTCATTAAATAATTAGTAATTTTTTTCAGGTGTAAACTTTTTTTTTGACTCACACTGTACATCAACCCAAAGAATGAGACACATTTCCTAAGACACTTAAGATGGCAGCGCTCCAGTCACAATCTATCAAATCATCCATGTTTTTCTTCTGTCAAAATATCTTCCCTTTCCTCCCCAGTCAATTTCACCATCTCCGTAAATGGCACATTGGATGGGGTTTCCTAGGTAACCTAAAACAGATTCCTTGTAGGCAGACAAGAGGAAAGAAGTAATCTAATGATGAATGCTTCCTGCATTTTCCTTTTATTTGGGGATGAGGTTGTATCTCTTGGGAGCTAGTAGTTCCTATGTAATGGCCCATAAAGTCTCACTATGCTCTATTCTCCTATCCTGAATGAGAGAGATGTTCTGCACAAGGATGCTATTTCTACCAAGACCCTTACTCTAGTGTAAGGGGGAAAAATCACTGAAAATCACTATAATTACTCAAATCAATCAAAATCACTCAAATCACATAACACAAAAAAACATTCAACAGAGCGACAAACATGTACAGTAGGCCAACTTCATAATGCACTAGAAGTAGAAGTCCATGACAACAAGATCGGTATAAAAATATGCAAACTTTCACAAGAAAATGAACAAAATGCACAAGACAAGATTTTAAAGTAAGGTTTGATACTTATAGAGGAAATTTTGAGCTATGAAACAATACAAACTTCATCACAAGTGATTCATTCTAAAATGTTGTTACTTAAATTTCCTGTCGATTTTAGAAACTTTTATACAAGCGTAATAATGAATACATGATGAAATTTGGCTCTTTGCACTCATTAAATTGAATGACAAAAAACAAGGGGGTGCTCACCATATTCACAAGAAGGGCCAAAGAAGCCCCATAGACAGGCACATGCTGTGGGACAAGCTGGCATGCCGGAGCAATGTGGTGCATAGCGGCAGGTACCCCCGTTCATACAAGCTGGACTACACATTGGGTTTCTGGGTACTGGACATGATGTGTTCAGACAATCAAACAATTAACATGCAAACATGCCAGTAGATTATGAATAGCTCATGAAACTACATAACAACAAATGGTTCGAATGAAAAAAGCATGAAAATGTGAATTACATGAAGGGGGCTTTTATGATACTTTTATAAACAAATGTAAAATCCTCAAATCAATTCCGCATTTCTGATCAATGAAAAATATAGGAATGATATCAATATGATGGATTTAAATTTGCCCAAAGTATCAATAAAAGAACCCTGTGAAAATGATAACAGATGACTGGGATATGATAAAAACTGACAAGTGATATGACAACAGGTGTGTTTAGACTGTAGTGAAAAAGGATGATAAAACGATGAAAACAATCTGAAATACAATGAGTGAGCATAATTATGTACATGTACTGTGTATGAGAATGAATGAAAACATTGAACTTGTCATGAATACAAACAAGTATGTGTGAAAATTAATGAATGAAACTATTTGAAAGCAAAGCTGATTGTTGGGTTTATCAAGATAATGAAGAATAAAACTAAACATCTAACTCTAAAATATTTTTATTTAGGCTACATTCATAAACTATCAAAAATATCAATGATAATAACTCAGATAGTCAAAGTAGAGGATCTCTTATCCACAAAAGCTAACAAGGAAATATGAATAGGTTCATCTTACAACACAAATGTAAGCTATTGAAGTATAATACCACAAAATAGGTGCAACAAAAAAGTAACTTAAAGTTTACTAGTCACTCAACAAATAATTTGTGTACAACTAGAAAGTATACAACCAAAGAGAACATGAGTCAGAAAAATATAACCTTTCTTTCTCTAAAGTTCATGCATGACTGCTAGATCACTAAAAAATGAAGAGTCCACTATATTAATATGGATCAAACCAAAGTATTGATTAGTATGGAGTAATACATGTAAAAGACTGAATGAATTTGAGTTCATGAATTCATGTAAATTTCAAGTATACAAGATAAAGTTCATAGTAAAAACAGCAATTGCTTTCATGAAATGAATACGGGAGAATCTTTCTAATTCAAAAATGTATATGTCAACACCTACATTGTTATTTCAAAATATTCTCAGTTGCCCTGGAAACTTATTTTTAAAATTACGAAAATAGGTCCAACAGCTAATCACATTAGAAATGCATGGAAATACATGTATTTGTTTCTTTCATTCTCAAACATCTTTATTCTTGGTTACTCCCATTTTTATTTGTTTGTTTCTCATCTCAGCATAATATTGCAATTCTTATTTAAGTTAAGGAAGATCAATACTTTCACTTCTCCAGCTATTAATGCACAGTACTTTGACATCTATATGATATTCATTATTGGTTATCTAACATTACATGTCTATACTTGAATAATGTACATAAGATAGCATTATGGTCAACAATGGAAAGTGCTGCGCATCTACAAGAAACAGGTACTGACACATAATTCCTTCTATGATATCTAAATATTTCTACCCCATCTCCTAATCACATATCGAGGGTTCAGTGACACAAAGACGTAACTCCATTTTGGTCATTTTGAGAAAAAGTGGTTTATGTGTCACTGAGCACTTGGGCCTTAAGGAGTTAAGTCTATCACTAGCCATTGACTTCAATGTGGTGTTGGGTGGAGTCTTTGTGTTTACTGGAAAGCCCACATTTTTCTGAACATTTTGATATCAAATACTGATTTTGGCAAAATATGGAGTTACGTCTTTGTGTCACTGACCCCTCGATATGTGATATCTACAGGTGAGTGCAATCAGACTCTAAAATACAGACAAATGATGTAATGCTGGTCCAGTGCTGCAGCAAGCATGCAAGCAAGCAAGAGGCGCAGCCCCAATCCTACCTTCAAAACAGGTGTGTCCGTCTGGACTAAGGGTGTAGCCTGGTGGACAGGTGCAGTAGTACCCCCCTGGGGTATTGACACAGGCGTGGCTACACTTTGGTTCTGGTCCGGCAGGGCAGCGGGGGTCACGGCAGGGCATGGTGGTTCCTGCGTTGGCCACATTGCACTCATTCAGATCTACAGAAATGAGGATAAAATTGGTTAAAAAATACATGTACCTTTCATCCCGAAGGCTACAGGATAAGATATTCCAAACACCCTCTTCTTTCTTGCTAAGAAACTGTCAGTAATTGTATATGTGTATCTGTGTATATTTCGATTATCTATATACTTTAAAAGGGTTTGTGAAAATATGTTATTATATATCTATTTTATTGTGATTATTAAGACAATTTAAAATGATTTATGAAAATAATGTTCACATTATATCTATTATTGGGACCTACAAAAACAAGCTATGCTTTCCAGTAGATTCCTGTTTCATTTCATAATTTTGAACTTACTTTGTAAACTATGTTCTTTATTGTGCAAACAAATTATATATGAAATGAAATAAAATCAATCAATCAATGAAAACATCTAAGGAAAGCATAAAATGAGAAAACAATTTAATTTAAGGTAATCCATGATTATACCTAATCAGGAAGGGATGGGTATATAAAGAACCTATGTACTTATTCTGTGGAACCTTCATCTGAATACTTGAACTAATTGGCTGTTTCTACTCTCTTGAGGGGGAGGATTCTAGAGCAAAGACCATGCATTAGCAAAGGTTCTCCCCCCCCCCCCCCCCACTTGATTCTGCCAAGGAAGGAAAACTAATACAGCGTTTTGAGAGCAGAAAGACCTGTACAGAGAGAAAGAGAACTGCCTCACAAATGAATTGAGAACCATGGTCTAGACTCTGGATCATGCCTCACTAAGGACTGCCTGAATATTTCTCCTCTATCAAATTTAACTTGGCACTGGCCGGACTCATGGTTGAGTCTCTCGCCTCTGGGGCAGATATCATAGGTGGTACAGTAGTGGACCAGAACATTACTCTATCAAATATACCTTGGCACTGGCTGGACTCATGGTTGAGTCTCTCGCCCCTGGGGCAGTTATCACTGGTGGTACAGTCGGGACCGGAATATTACTCTATCAAATTTACCTTGGCACTGGCCGGACTCATGGTTGAGCCTCTCACCCCTGGGGCAGTTATCACAGGTGATATAATGGGGACCAAAATATTACTCCATTAATTTATCTTGGCACTGGCCGGACTCATGGTTGAGTCTCTCGCCCCTGGGACAGTTATCACAGGTAGTACAATCGGGACCAGAATATTAATCTATCAAATTTACCTTGACACTGGCCGGACTCATGGTTGAGTCTCTCGCCCCTGGGGCAGTTATCACATGTGGTGCAGTCTGGCCCTGGGGTACATTGCCTCTGGTCTACGTGGAGTAGGTACCCTTCCTGACAAGAGCATGCGTAGCTACCAAGCGTGTTACGACAGTTGTGCTGGCAGCCTCCCTGGACGGGCATGGCACACTCATCAACATCTGCAGGAGAAGTGCAATATATTGATATTGGATATTTATAATTACTTCATGACCAGCCTACATATACTTGACTGATCTCTTTTGTTGTGTGAATAACTTTTGTTTTTAAGTGGCCCAAACATTGTGGAGCGGTGTGTGCAATGCTTTGTAACCACAAGGAAAAGGCGCTATATCAAATATCTCTTGGATTGGAATTATTTCTTCACAATGTGGAAATATGCTTCCCACCAGCATTACAATAATAAAAGAAACAAAGTACAGTAATATGAAACATGCACACAAAAATAGCAAACAATTTGAAAACAGAAAAAATCTTGTCCTTTCTGATAAGGTGATTAAAAATATCTCTCCATGCTTTTAACAGGCGATTCAATATAATCATCATTGATTGTGTGAGTGTGAATGGTCTAACAACTGTCAATGGTCTAACAAATAGGCTGATTTCATCAAAATCTAAGGACTTCCACGATATGAAACTTTTGTGAATTGTTAACAATGGCCATATTCACAGAAAAAAGATTATGCCAAAAGCTAATATTCAGTTTTGTGATTTCATTATTTTGTGGCACAAAACTTTTCCAAATCTACAACATTGACAAAATTCACGAAAGTTTGATGCAAAGTTTTTTGCAGTTTTTACCAGACACAGTATAAAGAGACATGCACTTTTTATTTTCTAATTTTAAAGTTATATAATTTTTCATTAATTAATCATGTAATACTATTAAAAATCCATTGTAAAATCATGAGCTGTAATCATCTTCATCAACTTTGATGTCTTCTCTTTACATTCAAACCACAAGCAAATTCTCAAAAATCTAAAATAAGAAAAGGAAAGATATAGAGAGTAAGAGAGAAAGTAGGGGGAGAGAGAGAGAGAGGGGGGATAAGAAGAGGTAGAGATAGACGAACCATGATCCCCTCTTCACAGTGCCTTCCACTATCATTAAAAAAGTGCTAAAGAAAGAGAGAGTTCATAAGAGAGAAAGATCATAAGAGAAAGAGAACAGGAGAGAAGAGAAAGAAAGACAGAGAGAAGGGAAGAGTAGGATAAGAGGGAGATAGACAAACCATGATCCCCTTTTTACAGTACCTTCCACTATCATTGACAAGGTGTTGAAGAAGGAGAGAGAGAGCACAAGAGAAAGGGAACAGGAGAGAAATGAGAGAAAGACAGAGAGAAGGGGAGAGAGTTGGGCCTTGTTCATACCTTCATAGTGCCTTCCATTACCCCCATTGAGAAGGAGTTAAAGAAAGAGAGAGGGCATAAGAGAAAGAGAACAGGAGAGTAAAGAGAGAAATACAGAGAGAAGGAGAGAGAGTTGGGCCTTGTTCATACCATTACAGTGCCATCCATTACCATTCAGATAGTGTTACAGATAAAGAAAGAGAGAGAGCATAGGAGAAAGAGAACAGGAGAGTAGAGCAAGAAAGACAAAGAGAAGGGGAGAGAGATGGGCCTTGTTCATACCGTCACAAGAAGAAATAGAGATAGCATAAGAGAAAGAGAACAGGAGAGAAGAGACAGAAAGACAGAGAGAAGGGGAGAGAAAGACAAAGAGAACGAAAGAGAGATGGGCCTTGTTCATACCTTCACAATGCCTTCCATTGTTATGTAATCTCATGCCTGAAGGACATTGACATCTGAAACCATCAGGTGTGTTGATGCAATTGTGTGAACACACTCCGTCTGTACATTCCCTGGGTGCTGCTTATCAGAAAGATCAAACAAAATCAACAAAATATCAGGAAAAGACCAAAGATGAAATTCTTTACAAACGCTCAAATAGATTTCATATGACAAATAATATTATCAAATATTAAGGAGCCCTAAAAACAATAAGTACCACAGTGCTTACAATACAAATATATAAACAGAGGAAGAAAATGTACAGTACAGGAAGTATATCACATAGATCATTGGGGAAAAAGGTGAGTTTTGAGGGATATTTTGAAGGTGGCAAGACAGGTAATTTCCGATGAATCATAAACATAATACCATAAATCCATTTAAAAATGATAACAATTTGAGCTGTTCACATATTAACATTAATCATTAAAATGTTAATATTTAAACAAAGCAGTGCATTCCAAAATTTATAAATCTGGACGAGAAAGCTGATCATACCTGTCTTATACCAATGTTGTATATTTTTATTTATTTTTTTTTTTTTGGGGGGGGGGGGTTGGTGACATGCCACAAACTAATTAAAAAATCTTGCAAGTTTGAATATATGATTATATACGAAGGGACGACTTTGACAATTCAACATTTTTACACTAATCATTAAAATGTTAACATATAAACAAAGCAGTGCATTCAAAAATTTGTAAATCTGGACGAGAAAAGCTGATCATACCACTGTTATATATACATCTTCTTTTTTTTGGGGGGGGGGGGTGCCTAAAAGTATTTTAATAGTCTTGCAAGTTGTGATGAGTGATTAGATACGAAAGAATGACTTACCTTGGCAGTCCGCGTATCCCAGTCCCTCGTAACCAGGTGGGCAGGTACATCTGAAGCTACCAGCCGTGTTCTCACATCCAAACTGACACCCATGGTCCTGAAGACATTCATTTACATCTGCAAAGATTTTAAACAGTTTATAAAGTCAAACCTGTTTTAGCAAGCCCCCTATATAGAAAGACCACCTGTCTTAAGAGACCGCATTGTTTGTTTCTGTGAGCAGAATTTCCCATTGAAACCTGTAGTAAAGAAATCCGTACACAAAGACAGCCTGCTCTAAAAACCTCTTTACTTGTATTTCTTGAGCGGTCTTCATATATTCACTGTATATTGATTATGACTGGGTAACTTTGAAAGGTACTAGGCAACTGTTTGAAGTGCAAAATGAAAGAAAGTGGTAAATGTGTGTACATATTTCTCTTCTGCTAGATGCGCGCACTCCAAAGTGATGCCTACACCATAGAGCGATTTTACAAACCAAAACAGAAGCAATTTTTGAAATCCATTAACAGGTTCTCAGAATATCATGATTACAAGCGATTTTTCATAAACATGTATGACCCTTTGATCTCTGACCTCATGACCTGAAAATCTAATCAATTCATTGGCTCTGCAAGATACATACATGTCCTGAGATTGATAGTAATCCATCCATCGGTTCCAATGATAATGCATTCACAAGCTATTTTTGCATACGTAATGAGCTCCAAACAGCACTGGATATAATAACTGGGATTATGTCACTCAAAATGTTACAGTTTGCATTCAGAGTTCAAAACTGGTTTCAGAGTGATAACAGAGGGAGACTCACCAGTACACATCCTTCCATCGAGACCAAGATCGTATCCAGGGGGACACAGACACCGGTAGGATCCCTTGGTATTGATGCACTGGTAGTGGCAAAGACCCCTCTCAAGGGAGCACTCATTAATGTCTGCAAGAAGAGAGTTAAAACAAGAGATAATCAGAACAGACACCGGTAGGACCCTTGGTATTGATGCACTGGTAGTGGCATAGACCCCTCTCCAGGGAGCATTCATTAATGTCTGCAAGAAGAGAGTTAAAACAGGAGATAGTCATTTCAATTCAATTCAATTCAATTTATTTATGTTTCCAACAAAACATTACAAATAAATTATAAACATTTACAACAAATGTAGAAATACATATTGGAATCAGAGGGGTCCACTAAAAAGCAATGCTTGTACAAGTGTGAACACCTCAAATGATACGTAAGAACACATTCACTCATCTTTTACAACAATAATTAGGAATCCCGCAAGGCAAAACAGAGAAGACAGTCTAATTTGTAAACAGAGGAGTTTAGGTTTCATGCCATTAGTTTGAAGGCCCAAAATTACAAAACACTCTTCGCAGCAATAATTAGGAATCCCTCACAACAAAAAGAGAAGATAGCCTAATTTGTACACTTTTTACAGATAATTGTATTGATTTTAAAGAAAAATCACACAAATTATTATTATATCTCAAAATAAATTTTATGTTTTTTAACGTAATTAACAATTTTGTCCATCCTTTCTTACCAATACAGTTCTGTCCATTGCTGTGTATCTCGAATCCCTCAGGACAGCGGCATCTGTAAGAGCCTGCTACCTCGTCACAACCAAACTCACAAACAGCACCATACCTCTCGCAAGCATTCATACCTGCAGGATGAAGAAAATAGACATTCACGATACTTCAATTATTTTCAATTCTACTCCTATTAACTATAATTTTCAAGGAGTCTGATAAAAAACAAAAATAATGTAGTAGCATTGCACTAATAGCTAAACTGAAATGTATCATCACACAAGTAAAATAACGGTACTGCTAATGAAATCATGTGCACCGTTTTCCATGATAATAATTGATACATGATTAAACGATACAAACCTTTCTTAATTAAAAAAAATGCTTTTGAAACAAAGGAAAATTAATTAATTGATTATTAAACTGACTCACTGACTAAATGATACAGATAAATTGGTTAGATGGTTCTTGAACTGAATGGATAATTTGATGAATGACTAACATTTTTTTATCAATAAATGGATCAATCCATTCACAAATCTAAACAATTATTACTTCCATTTGTTTATGTTTTTACAAATGGTGGGCCCACAATTATGGTACACTAAGAACCCTATTGATTAGCTGACTGGATTATCAACTATGCGATGCAGACGTCATTGAACATAACCTAGAGTCTGATCTTAGTTTATAGCTTTACAAGTGGTGGGCCTGCAGTTATGGTACAGAAAGTACCCTATAGATCAATAGACTGCATTATTAACTATGTGATACAGAATTAATTGAGCATGTCTTAGGTCTGATCTTAGTCTATATTTCTACAAATGGTTGGCCTATTATTATAGGTCAGTAAGGACCATATGGATTATAACCTGACTGTATTATGGACTTTGTGATGCTGACTTACTTGAGCATGTCCTAGTGTCTGATCTGAGTGAGTACCCTGTCCGACAAGTACAGAAGTAGCTTCCTTCTGTGTTCATACACAGGTGCTGACATCCACCGTTAGCCGTTCTGCATTCATTCAGATCTGAAAACAATATCACAGATTATTTTGCTAATGGATGCCATTCCCATATCAACTTTATCCCAGCATTAGATGAGAAGCCATCTTGTAGATTGATCACAATAAGTCAAGGGTTTATATTCCCATCATGTTTGTTTAAGAAAAGTGGTACAGTTTACTTTTTAACACTGATCTGAATTCAAAATGGCTACTATGATTAAAAATCAAAATTTGAAAAGTATTCTGAAGATGTACAATTTGGTACACTACAACTTGCTTTATCACCTTTTATTTCTCATAACTTGCTTTAAACACTGATAATTTAAAAATGGAATATGTGATTAAAATTAAAAATTAATTAAATAAATATACATAAAATTAGTATTGTTAGTGTTTTGTTAAGAGATTTGTTCAGGAGTCGACGGCTAATGGGGTGCAGGCTAGACTTACCAACACATCTTCCTGCAATACTGGAGTATCCCTTAGCACAGTTACAGTGATAGGACCCGATGGTGTTAATACACTTTCCTGTGCACCCATGGGGTTGACTGGCACACTCATCGATATCTGTGGAGGGGAAACAGTTCATTTGAAACAGCTTGTAAATGTAAATGACCTGTACGTGCCGATTAATCACACTATTGTTGTCGCAATTGTCTGCCCTAACAGGTGCATTATTATGTCATTGCTGTTAATGACAGCATTAGCATTACACATACATGTAGCATCTGCATTCTGACACTCAAAGTGACATTCACTTACATCATGCCATTTTCTTCCGTATTTCAAAACCTAGTATACACTACTAAACTAGCAATGGTGATCCTAGTTGAATAGCACCAAAAACTACCATTATCACCAACATCTAACACAAAAACTTAGACATATGTTGTCATTGTTCAACATTTCAAAACCACATCTGCACTGAAAAAAAAACTTCAAATAAAATCAGAATATTCACAAGTTAAAACGTTGTTTACTCCTGGGGTTAATGCTTGCAACATAACATCTTTACCAACACCAGTTTTAACACTACATATTATGTGCCACATATCTTACCACCTTTCTTCATTTTAAGTCCTATTCTGCCCTAAAATGTTTAGCTAACTTAGGTGATGATGTTAAAACAACACCAAAAATAACACCAGAACTAATCCCCACAAGTCACACTATCTTCCTACATTTCAAATCCCTTGTCTACACGAAAGTTTTAAGCTAAATTTGGTGTTGATATTAAAACAACACCAGACATAACACCAGAACTAATCCCCCACACGTCACATTACCTTCCCATGTTTAAAATCCTTGTCTACACTGAAATGTTTAGCAAACTTGGTGTTGATGGTACCACAACACCAGCACTAGCACCAGAACATATCCCCACAAGTCACACTATTTTCCTTCATTTAAAATCCTTGTCTACACTGAAATGTTTAGCTAAAATTGGTGTTCATGTTAAAACACCAGAACTAACACCCAAACTAACCCCCACAAGTCACTCTACCTTTCTACATTTAAAATCCTTGTCTAAACTGAAATATTAAGCTACCTTTGGTGTTGGTGGTTACACAACACCAGAACTAACCTCCACAAGTCACACTACCTTCCTTCATTTAAAAACTTTGTTTACACTGAAATGTTTAGCTAATTTTGGTGTTGATGCTAACACAACACCAGAACTAACACTGGAACTTACCTCCACAAGTCATGCCATCTTCCTGTAGTTCAAACCCTTGTCTACACTGACAGGTGTAACTGCCGTGGGTGTTAAGACACCTGTGATGGCAAACACTGGGTCCTCCGCTCTGCCTGCACTCATCAATATCTGCAACAATAAAAAATATTTAAAAAAGTCAAGGAAAAATGAAAATTCTTTCAAAAATATCAAAAAGTACATCTTCCATACAATCTAAATCTCCACATCTCCAAATATACATAAAATAATTAGAGAAATATAATTTGTATATTCACTGATGTAATAGGCTCTAGTTGTTACTATATGTATGGTACATGTACCTAAAGAGAAAAACACAACACTATTTTCTGAAGGGAGAAAACCATACAGAGGCATGGTACTTTTATGTTGCTGATGATAAAATTCAACTTTACAGATAATATTACCATGGTCATCAGATTCATTCATGCACAATATGCACCATCTCCATTCCCTGGGGAGTAGTAGTACTATATGGTCACCGTGAAGAGTATATAGCAATAACAAATACAAATGCTTTCATCATCCTACCAGGTCCCCATTTCTCTCCTGGGTATGGAGTGGCAAATGTAGATTAATGCCTTGGCAAAAGATACTTTCACATAGTCCTGTTTCAACTTTCATTGATTTCTAATATCTCCCTTGCTCCTTGTTTTCTTTTTCATTTTACAGTTTACTCTATCTACCTCCTCATGCTCATAGATTTAATTCCATATTTTCCATTTTCCACTTTCTTTGCCCCACCGTGACTTACCAATACAAGATCTTCCGTTCATATGGAGTCTGAATCCTTGTCTGCACGAACACCTGTAGCTGCCGGCTGTGTTCTCACAGCTATGATGACACGGCTGCCATTGGCTCTGTCTACACTCGTCGATATCTGTAATGGTGATGATACAAAACGTGTTAATCTTAACAAGTCCATGTTCTTACTGAATAGTGACGTTGAAGTGTCGTGCAATTCAGATGTAGATAACTACTGGGGCTCCAAATGTGTTTAGATATCACATACCCGTTTGTACAGATCCAAAAGGGCATTAACCTTTGTGTTTAAGTATATGAGTTAACACTTCTGTTACTTTCTTCGCCTCCCTGCCCAGTCGCTTATTTGCTATGCGTGCATTTTTACACAAAACAGTAGGTATCAGGTGAGGGAAAGACTGCTTTGTGCAACAATTGGGCTTTGCAATATTACCCTATTATGTTCTTGATTTGCTCCATGGCAACCTGTTTAACACCAGCATAGATTAATCTTGCAATGGAGATAATTAAAAGTAATCTCAAAGCCTTTGGTATGGATATGTACCTTTTTTGGAAAAGCTTTATTTACAATTGTTATCTTCTTCTTTTTCTTAAAAGAAAAACATGCTGAAACCAGGGAGATCTCCCTGCTCAAACATAGCATACATGTTCATAACTACACTATACACCATGTTTTATAAAAAATGTTATTAATAAAGTTTCTTGGCAACACTAGGTATGATTTTAGATTACAGATTAATCACCAACAAGGCTTACAGGAACATGATTATAAAAATTGTAAAAAACACGAGTTTCCTTTCCATTAAATATTCTTTTAATTCTAACTATTGATATTTAATTTCCTTTCCAGCTATACTTCAATTTTGATGATAATGAAGATGATGGCTTCTTGTATAGAGCCAATATCTGTCTCAACAGGGCATCATGGCTCTTGCTCTAATAAAATGGTTCTGAGTCAGTACATAGTACAAATGACCCCAAATATCAACAAATCTGTTAAACATCTAGTACCACTCTCTGCACTTTAAAATTATCACTGCCAAGGTGATGGATGTGCTTCATACATACTTTTTGTTTGCCTTCTTAGGACTTGAATAATGTGCCATTTTATTGTAATTTTCCCCATAGTCTACAACCTGCAAACTTATCAAAGCATGGTATGAAAAACTCAAATAATTTTGAGTTATGTATTAAATTTCTTTGCCACTGTATCTCAACCCGCCATATCTACAATCTGCAAACTTTCCAAGCATCCTACATGTAAAAGAAAAATACTACACTTTTGAATTATGTACTCATATTGCCTGTAGCTTATCTAGGATTTACACGCTACTCCTGCAATCAACTCCGCTTTCATTTACAGAGTTGGAGAGAAAGGTTTTGACATCGGGCAGGTGGCGACAAGCTAAATTGCCAATTTGAGGATCAGAGAGCGTCTGAGTTTGCGGAGAAGTGCCAAGTGGCAGGAAACCTCAATTAGACGCTGTCATATCTTCAGCTGAAGGCCTGAGAGTTTTCATTCAGAATTTCACATGCAGGCGTGCCTAGATCTGCACTGTATGATCTGGTATTGTTTTGTTAGATGTTGTTAGATTTATGAGAGTGCATAGTGACCACCTAGGGGAGGTAAAAATGTAATTTCTTTTAATGTAGATTCCTTGTCTGCCTCATAGCAAAGATATAATTGATTTTCACATATTGTCTGTTTGTAAGCAGTAGGTTGTTTTGGGGTGTTTTAAGTTACCTTACAAATCGTAAACAGTGAACATTTATCAGTGGCATTTCTTCACACAATTTATTGATGGAATTTTGAATAAAAAATTGTGGAGTACCACAATGGTCCATTCTTAGACCCTTTCTATTTTTTTTATTTATATCAATGAATGATTTACCATATTCCACTAAACTCTATATTAAAGTATATAAATTAACGCCCTTCTGGCTCCAAACAAATCATTCTTCTATAAAAAGAATAGGACATTCAAAGATGAAGACTACCAGGTTAAATTAACTGTGTTCATGTCTTTGTGTATACTTTGAAATACTTTGTTGTATAAATTGCACCCCAATGCATCATTCTAAAATATTTCTTTCCAGGGATAAAATCATTACAGTGAAGTCCCTCCACTTCTTTAAACATGGATATATGTCATACTTATTACAAGATTATATATCTTTACTTTCAGAAACACAGAGTACAACAAGAAAATGTTAGTCCATGACCAGTTATCAATAGATAGTATTCAAACTCAAACATTACCATTTTAGAATCACTTATTATAAGGAACCTTTTTTTTTTTCCTTTTCTATCCCTTTATCCCATGTTTCAAATGCCAAATAACCCTTTAGATCTTTTACATTCCAATCTATCAGTATGACTAAAAGGTCTTAATGGTAGTTCAAGTTCAGAGTTGCATATATGCATTCAGGATGGGCCAATTATATAGTTCATCAAACCTAAACATTGCCAGAGTCCCTGGGGAACATGACACATTCAATAGCTGGGTTCACTTGATCAAGAGTCCTTTAACGATCTTGGAGTTAAAGACTGCGTGGGAACACTCCTAGTTTTATAAACTAAGATCGGTATCCTACTAATTCAGTTAAACCTGAGCCTGGGTCTAAAATCACATTTCAAAAAGGAACATTTAAACCTTCTTTATAATTGGCTTTTAGTGAAGCTCATGGCGTCAAACCTCAATGTTATCTTGGAGTTAAGGACCGCATCGGAACACTCCTGGATTTCCTACTAATTCATTTAAACTTGAGCCTGGGTCTAAATTCATATTTCAAAAAGGAAAAAGAAACCTCAGACTAACTTCCTTTGTTAAACAAAAGTTTGGAAAAATGTGTTAGCCCAGCATCAGATTTTAATTGTAGCAAAATATAGATGCATAGTAGTGGGTTTTCATGGGGAACTTGACACCATTCTTGTGTAAAGCAATAAAGCATTGTGCCCTAGCCTACCACCTTACATAATTCTCATCATATATCAAATTTCCCTCAATCTCGAGATATATAGGCAAGTTGGAGCATTTTCTAGTGGGACTACAGGGTTTGCTGATTCAGGGACCCCTTTGCACACACAAACACACTAATTGGTCATTAGAATAAAATTAGTGTCTGTCAGCAAATTATGATGCAATACACATGACACTGACTATTATTTGGCTTTAACGTTATGGAAGATTTAACAAACCACAAGCCTTTTCTTTCACAATATAATCGCATGACCAGTACTCAACTTTGTTTTTCATCGCTAAATAGTACCTTTAAGATCATGAGTTGAGAAGCAATAAAAGTGAGAGAAAGAATTAAAGGAAATAGCCATCTTCCTTTCATAGGTCAAGCGCTCTTGTTATGTCATAAAACTACAGATAAGAGATATTTCAAAGACACCATCCCTTCCATTTTTGTCATTCTTGTCTCTCATTAGTCTATCAAATAGAGGAAATTGTTCGTTTTTAGCCAGATTAGCATTAACTATCCAAACTCACTATTGCACATCTGTTTGTCTCCTGACAGAGTGAGTACAGCTGCTTCCATATTGACAGCTGTATCCCCCTTCAGAACCCCTACCATCACCATTCCCTACCATCACCATCATCATCACCACCACCACCACCACCACCACCACCACAGCTCCCTACCACCACCACCACCAACATTACCACCCCTCCTTCCTGCCCCTCCACAATGATTAAACTCACCTATGCATCTTTGTTTGTCCGCCGATAAAGTAAAGCCGCTTCCACATTCACAGCTGTAACCCCCTTCTGTGTTCACACACTGCTGGTCACATTGAGAGTTCTGACATTCATTCACATCTAAGGAAAATATAAGAGAAACAGACAATGAGCACTTTTCTTTTTAAAAATTATTCAAAAGTAAATAAATATCATTGTTGCTATTCTTTAAAACCAGAAACATTTTTAAAAATGATTGTGATTCATGAAAGTTTCATGTCACTGCATAATCTAATCAAATTCATCAGAAGTTCACAACACAAAACTTTTGCCATCAGTGGAAACTTCTTGCCACAACCATGGTTGTCATTATTAATTTGCAAAAGGTTCATGTCACATAGGTGATTCTAAAGATAGGATCTGGATCTGTATCAAAAGAAATATGGAGGGGAATATTAATGATAGCTTTTCCTTGTTTTAAACCAAAACTGTTCACAAGAAATAATTTATAAATAGTGCAAACACATGCGCCCCCAAAATACTGTAACACTCTGATATCCAAATATCCATACACAATAATATGGAGGGAATATTAATAACTTTTCCATGTTTAAAACCAAACCTATTCACATGAACCATTTGATAAATAGTGTAACCACATGATTAAGATCTCAGACAGCAGGACCAAGATCTCAACCTTCCAGTCCAAGAATTACAGAATCTAATCTTGAGACATTGGCTCATTTGTGTCACAATAACAAATCTGAAGGCTCTTAAGTTAAATTCAAAATGTGGATTGTATTTCACCAGGGGGAATATATACATGTACGTGAAGAATGCATTTCATAATACATTGATTTATCTCATTATGATGTAAACACACTTGCTTTCTCTCTCTCTCTCTCTCTCTCTCTCCCTCTCCCTCTCCCTCTCCCTCTCCCTCTCCCTCTCCCTCTCTCCCTCTCTCCCTCTCTCCCCTCTCTCTCCCTCTCTCCCTCTCCCTCTCCCTCTCCCTCTCCCTCTCTCTCTCTCCCTCCTTACCTCTCCCTCTCCCTCTCCCTCTCCCTCTCCCTCTCCCTCTCCCTCTCCCTCTCCCTCTCCCTCTCTCTCTCTCCCTCCTTACCTCTCTCTCTCTCCCTCCTTACCTCTCTCTCTCTCCCTCCTTACCTCTCTCTCTCTCACAAGCTGGGAAAATGAGCAGAATAAAATGTGATTGTAATAAATTCCAGGGCAAACTGATGCTGACATAATAGGTTTAGACCTGTCAGAGATGATCATATGATCTGCCAGGACGAGACACGTTCGTTTCCAGATGTCTAGCCATGCAAAATCAAACATCAAACAAGTCTTCATCAAAACTGATTTACCACATGAGGTATTTGTACACACCTAGAGTTCAATTGCAAAAGTGAGAAATCCAATTCCTAAATTTTAAACATCAGACAGTCACACAAAATGCTTCGTCAAAATGATATACCATATAGGATACATACAATATGTTTACATCTGAAATAATAATAGTAATACTAACAGTAAGTTACATTTCTACAGAGCTTAATACAAATGTTTCTAAGCACTTTACATCAATTTGTTGAAACAATAAAAAAGGCCCTTACTTTAAAAAATCTACGATGTTTACAATATTTAATCTACATTTACAAAGGAATGTGTAAGCAATATCAGACACCAAAAAGGAGAATGGATACCAGAATTTATAAAATACTACAAGTAATAAATTCTTTAAACTACCATCTAAAAGCAAAACATAATGAATGACAATAAAGAGGCATAGAGAGATGAAAGTAGCTTTTCAGTTTTGAAACTTCAAATGTATATTTGTGAAAATATGTGTTTCTCTTACTTTTGCAACTTCAATATGACTATTCATATCAATTTTAATTCATTTTTCTAAAATAAATTCATAAACTAGTTTTCTATTGTTTTGGGTATTCTTCATAGTGACCTGCTTTATTTCCATTCCATAAAGTCTAGTAATCAACTATTTCTATTTATTTCTAGAAGTGTAAACAAGTAGGCCTATATAGAATATTTTTCTTCAAAAAGATACAAATGTTACAAAAACTTACATCATCCTAAATCGTTAGAGAATCCCTTGAAATTACATAGTAAGATTTATTTTAAGCAAACTATAAAGTGAGCACTTTTAGCTATAAAATAAAACAGAATATCACACAAACAGGCCTTCTATAAAGACATCAGTCGACAGCAATAAAAATCAAATAATTGGCAGATTATATCCTTCCCCTGTGTCTTGGTACCTTGCCAATGCAAACCTTTGCTATGCCAAGTCCATGGTCACAAAACTCAATAAAATATCGGACACTTTGGAAGTTTGTTGAAAATTCATTTTGTATCTATATTACACGGTTCTACTTAGAGAGTTTTCAATGTGTTATTTGTCACTGGTCAAGACTTATTATTGATGGTTCGCTGACCTCACAAAAATATCTGTTTTTTATGATTTCCTATGACATGGAAATTATATATGTATATTCAAATACAGGTATTTCCATCAAAACTGTAACAATTTATATCACTTTCAAATAAAACAGGTACAGTATTGCTTCATTGTAAGCAAAATGGTTGCAGGAACTCTAAATCTTTTGGCTTCCTTTGTAATATAGTATTAATGACTGCTTTGAGAGAAATAGTTGTTTTATTACGCTCAAGGGAAGGTTAGAATTGTGCTATTCCCCGAGGCTTGCCGAGGGGAATAGCCCAATTGTAACCTTCCCGAGAGCGTATGAAAACAACTATTTCTCGAATATTAAAGCAGTCATTAATACTTTTATATGCCGAAAAAAAATAGACTAAAAAATGAAAAATGAAAAATATTTATCACTTTAGTCGAAGACGGGATTCGAACCCTTGCGTACAACAAGAGGTGTACCGAAAACCAACGCTTAGACCACTCGGCTATGGCCCGCCGTTAACATTCTTGGCAGTTTTCTCCAATATATACATTAAAATGGATTGAAACCGGCTTCGCGTGTGATGAATGCTTCGCAAAAGCTCCATATACGGACTCTTCTTTTACTTTTGCAATGCATATTGGCACGAACTTAGATCAAGATCTATCGGCAGATGTTGTTTTTTTGTTTTTGGAAGTTTATTTTCGTCTTCATGTCAACAATGCAAGATAAAATTGTCGGTAAGATCGATCGAGATTCAATTGTATTGAAATTACCGACCAATCCTTCGCACACATACGGCATCCTCCATCGCTCAAACCATTTTTTAACATGTAACCCTATGGGGTAACCATGGAGGCTGACCAACTTTTTTTAATAACCATGGTTATTAAAAATATTGAAATGTTTTATGCATGGTTACCGAGAATTTTACAGGAACAGTTGAAGTTTATGAATGCAATTCGACCAATCAGATGGCTGGATTTCTTAAGTGAGGTATATAATGCTTGTTAATTTCATATAAAGCCCTATGTATCACTTATTGAAGTGTGTCAATATTACAATGTACGACCGATCTGAACATGATACCTATGGGGTGAATTATGAGATAGGGTACTGAAACAGCTATTTCATGTTTTTACGTTTCATGTTTTTGGTCTTTCCCTAGGCCTGTCTTGATCAGACCGAAGTTGCAAAATAACCCGCTATTTTCTGACTCGGGACATTTTCACGAAGGTCAAACTGCGCCCTCACCAGACCGATGCGTTCATCACAAACTAGTTTGGACGGGCACAAATGAGCCCACTATTTTGGAAACAAGACCGAAATTTCTGGGGATATTTTTTCAACCAAATAGACTGCTAATTGCAACTGCGGACTGATGAAAACGCAAATTAGCTTGATAATTTGAAATCAGGCTAGTTAAAATAGCAGGCCATTTTGCAACTTCGGCCTGATGAAGTCAAGCCTCCTGGGTAAATTAAGGGAGAGCTCACAAAATTCAATAGTCCTTGATGATCCAAACATCACAAACTTCAGTAACTTTATAATAACACCCAAAAGTTCAACCCTATATTTCAATGTCAACAGCCTTGGAAATAATAACCGATTGTCTAGACCACTTCAGGAGCAATGAATCTCCTTACATATTGGATTATTTTTCGGTGGTTGATACGTGATACAATTAAACAGCATTTCCCCTGGTTTTATTTTGGCTGTTTGAAGGGAAGCCGGCGGAAGCTAGACACATGTGGAAGGAAGCAAGTCGGGGGAGGAACGTCAGAAGCGAGGTAAGAATATCTCATGTGTACGCTTAACAATTTAAAGGGGCATTGACAAAATTTGGTGTTATCATGAAATACATTAAAGGGAGTGTAGCTTGGCAAATACTGGTTAACGCCATCTACTTCTTCTATTGGACAGCTGCACGTAAACGAATGGACTTGATTAACGGTAGTCAGCGACTTAATCTTTACATGGTCAGCGTGCGCTAGCGTTCGCGAAACAGACCAAAGTTCTCCTCACGCTTCGGTTTTGTGTATGTTGCAGGCACGTGATTGCTGCGGTCGTGTTGTCTGTAGTCGTATTATACCCCATTGGCCCCGAGTCTGGCCACGGGAAAGACACATAGTCTCGTCATGCTACACTCCCTTTAACTCTGGGACAGGCCCCCTCCTCAATTGAAATCATCACCAACAGTAAAACAATTCAATCAGAGTCATTTTTTCTACATTTTTTCTTCTAAACAAAGGGGTTCACAAGACAAGAATGAGAAAAATATCAAAGCAATCAGATTACAGTATAACAGGTACAAGGAAATGCCATCTCATATATGTGCTAAGTATTGCAAAATTATGAACAATGCCACAATAAGTGAATTCCAAATTCTCTCAAGTATGACGAATTAAATATTATTGCTTTAATCTGCAAACTTCTGCAAGGTCTATTGTTAGAAATTGAAATCTATTTTGACAGCACAGAAGGAAATGTTCCAGCATGAAAATAACATTGTGACAATGAACCTGGTTATGACTTTGTCTGGATTAAGAAGTTGATTCACCTAATAGAAAACCACAACCATTCTTTTGAGTTGAATTCCTGTCAAGTCACAGTTTTTAACCCTGAAAGTAAATCCCAATTACTCATTGTATAAACTTCTAAAGGCATATCTAATGATTATTAAAGTTATAAAGGGAATCAAACATCTGA